TCCATTCGACATCCACTCATTACAATTTCCTATTGCTGGGTTTATGACCAAAAAAAAAAAAAAAAAGAAAACAAGGAAGGAAAATACAGGGAAGGGATTTAGTTTTAATCATTGTCCGATGACCGGATGAACTGTCATTAGAGAAATATTAAAACCTGCACACATTACAACCTAAGAGGTTTAGGCTATGAACATTTAAGGGCTCTCAGTCATTCTCAGTGAACTAGATTTTAGGTAGACGAGGAAATATCATACATTCTGGCCGTGAATTACGACGATTTAAACATGTCAGTATCACACAAAATCAATCTACGACGCAGTAACGCAATCATAATGATTGGTAGATAGTTTTTATTCTTCCTTTTGTAGCAGTTTGTATTTTATTGAATTGTTTTGTATGAGTGATTGATGGTGGGATTATAGAGCAGCCTGGAGGTTCCCTGTCACCTGTTGGCAGACACCCAAAATCGTGCCAGGATATGTCTCTGACATGTTTAGGAACGAACACCCCTTGATCATACTAGCAACTTGAGATTTTCGAGAGTTGCTTTTGCTTTCGTGGGTTCCACATGCCTGTAACATAAAACTTCCAGCATATGTAACAGTACAACAGGGCGGAATGTGCAATATAAACTTTCTGTTTCTTGAACAAGACTGTTGTTCTGGTGTTAACTCATCTCTAACAAACGTCATTTTCAATTTGGATTACTCCATCTACTGTCTGTGTCATCTTTGTAGAATACGACTTTTCCCCAGCAGCCGGAGCATTTTTCTCTCTATCTGGGTATTTTCTAGACTTTGTCATTTCCATCGCAAGTATAGCTTTCTTGTATCTAAATGTCTTGTAATAATACATAACAAGGTGCAGCATGTCAGACACAAACCCAAACTTGGCTGCTAATTTTAGCATGTGACAAAATTTCTGTCAGCAACATACATTTGTTTTCATGCATGTTAGTTTGCAGATTGTGTAATATAAAAGCCATGCTCTGAAGGATTGTCGCCGTGATTTTTTGCAACATGACAACTTGATACTGTGTCAGACATGAACCTATTAGCTGTTCTACTGTTGTATGCAGGGAAATTTTCGCCCCCGTTTTATTTTTGCCCCTTTCGGCTGGCGAATTTAAAACGGGGCAAATCAAAGAACACAGTTTAATTTCTTAAACAGAATTGTGACTGGGCGAATTTAAAAAGGGGCAAAATTGTTTGCAAGTTTGAAAGGGCGAAAATAAAAGGGAGCGAAAATAACCCTGTATAAAATATATGCAAGTCCTTTACACAGAGGCGGAGATCAGATGAGGATTGTGCATAATTATCACAAATTATTTCAAGAAAAAGTTCTAAATCAAATCAGCCTTCGAGATTACAGTCTGTTCATCTGTACAAATGGTCAGTCTGGGATTACGCTGGACATTTCTAACATAGGGGCTGATGGAGGAACTGTGAAGCAAGCATTCTACCAAACCCTTCTCATACAATCCATACAGTCTACTGAATAAATTCTGTTGTGCTTCTTCATAGATTTTAGAAAGAAATATATTGTTTTCTGGAATGTAAAAGTTAGGACAGACCCCTTCATACACCCATTTAAAGATAACTTTAAAACTGATTCAGAAACACTGCAGGAAATTTTGTGGGCCCCAGTCTTTTGTGTTTTGTTGAACAACCTAGAAAACTGTTGTCTTCATGTGATAGGAACACAGTGATTTATCATCTTCTCTTATCTTATTGTTAAGTACTTCTTTTAAAAACAATACAAGTAGACCTTAGAGCAGGAACTGGTAGTGATTCATTGAGCGCACAAGAATTTGCTCTGCCAGAGAAAAGGATATCCTACACTCAATGTCTTTATGATTTTCTAGTTTGGGCCCCATCGCTACAACGTGACATCCCTTTCTGATAATTGTTTTAACAACATAAGGCTGAGGCCATACGCGTACCTGTTAATCCATGATGAGGCAGATGGAGGCCAAAAGTGACTGACAAAGCAGTGGGCATGGTCATATTCCATAATATCACCCAACATACCACTAACACATGATCCATGTGGTTTAGAATTGGGATATACTGATGGACACATGAATTTTCTATATTTAGAACTAGATACAATTAATCTGTCATTTTCTCTCAGAGTGGCTGCCATAACTTTATCACGAGCGCTTTCCATTGGTAACCAAGGGAAAGTGTATCCTGGCGGACTTTCAGAATTGTCACAAAGAATCATTGTATGTCTGTTTCGGTTGTAAAACAGTGTCTGATATATGTTCCAGATCACTCGGTTCTCAGGCAACCAAAACATGGTGTCAATGTCGGATCCTTTAAGTCTAAATCCTTCTTTGTAACTTCCATTTTTCATCTGACAACCAACGATTGTCCCTCCTTTCTGTATTTCTATTGTACCACTGATGTCAGTAACATCCCTTCTAATGACCACCTGTTGTGAAGTTCCCACTATACAAATAACATGCAAACAGATTCGGAAATAAGCTGTAAGTCATTCATACTGTACGCAGCTATGTTAAGACTTCCCGAAGCTTTAAAATGCGCTCAAAACATATTTATGCCATTGCGAGTTCGGTTTTGGTTTTAATTTATAAGCATTGAACTTTAGAACTTCCAATTTATATAGAGGGTTTCCTCGGCTATATATTAACATATTTGTTATGATATCACATGACTCTGTTGATCACGTGACGGTCATTTATATTTTTTTGAAGTGTTTCATATAAATCGCTTCGGTGCAGCTGATTAACACAATAATTATTAACTTTTTGTTATATAAATAAACTCATCGCATCCTTGTGTATCCGAAATGTGCTTGGGAAAAGTCATAGTATTACTTAGATACAAAATATTTCCTGAGAAATTTAACTTACCTACAAATTTGAGGGTATTTTCCACACAATATCGTAATCTGTATTAAAACAAAGCCATTACACATTTTTCCCAAGCAAGATTCTGTTAGAGAACAACCTCTTCTTACAGATTTCAACAAAAATTCTCAGATTAATCCTCATTAATCACCTGCGCCATACCCTTTTATACACACAAAATGAATTTTACCTCCAGCCACGGGTATAAAGCAAAGTACATTTCAAAAGTATATTTTTCATTAACATTTTGAACATGCTAAATTTTCAATCAAGGTTAGGTAAGCAGTATATTTTTAAAATATTCGGACATATAAGACTGAAAAAACCTTTAACGACCCGTGATTTTTGCAATAGCTAACTAGCATTTTACATGCGGTTTGAAATAAAGTGTAAAGTTCATGACACTCTCCCCGTTATGACACCTCAAGTTTGCAGTGACTTGACATCATTTTCCATTATGACGTCATATTTTGGTAGTTCAGAGATGTGAAGGCACAGAGTGCACTGTGATATTCTACGGGAAGCCTTAACCTACCTGCGTAATATCAAGAACATTTTGATATGATATTTAAATACATGTATTCACTTTAAATAATGTATATAAGCTGTTTCATAAGTACTTCTCACATGGTATGTTAATAGAAGTTATCAATGTAAACTGGAAAACCAAAGATTCTACTTTAGGTTTGAAAAACGGACAGCTTCTCTGTTATTATATTTGAAAATAATGAGGACATCAGTAGTTACTGATTAGCTCATACAATTTATTTCCGATTTCATGTTATTCAATTAACTTATTATTGATCGATGGTTATTGCATGGTTATTGTTATGCCTGCAACTTCTGAAGAAAGTTTGGGTACTTTGTTGTCATCCTAGTCCATCCGTCTGTCACACTATATTCTTTCTCAAACTCCTCTTACATTTAAATCAGTAGCCCAGTCATCTTTTGGAAGATTGGTGGGGTGTCCTCTACATGTGCTATAAAGTTTGCTTCAAAAACCTAATCTCCAAAAGCCTTTTACTTGCACTTTTCAAAGTAGCACATTGATGTTTTGAAATGTGATTGTTAGTTTGCTTTAGATGTGCATTAACGTTTCAGAATTTTGATTTTCATCCTTGGAGTCAATTGCGGGTCGAAAAAATATGTTATTCAATAAATTTTAATTCTATTTTTTTATATAGATGAAAATGTAAAGATAACGAACAGTTATCGATCTAAAAAAAATCTACAAACAATACAAATCTGTAAACAGTGCATACAACACGACCTGCGGAAATTCCAGAGGTGAGATCAGGTGCCCAGAGGTGAGATCAGGTGCCTAGGAGGAGAAAGTATTTGCTGTTGACATGTCACACCCGCCGCGAGCCCTATATTTTCATCAGGTAGACGTAACGTCAAATTCAATATAAAACAAAGACCTTACATTTTGTAAGAAACATGTCAGCCAAAATACGACTTAATGATAGGTTATATTTGCTAACATAGTTATTATAACGACCATAGAATTTAAGAAATGCTGAATTTGAATAAAGTTGTTGCAATCACTGTAACATCAACTTATCTGTCAGTAACCTGATTCAGTTTAAAAATTAATCGTACTCAGAAAATGTTCTTGAGTATCGAATAAGTTGGGATAATTAATCACCATATGCAGGTGAAAGCTTAATGCTATTACATAAACAAGGACAGAGAAGAACTTGATTGATCATTTGCTTTTGCAAGACCCATGCAGCAGTGTAAAATAATTTATCTTTATGAGTCCTACTGCTTACGTTTACATCTTAAGCCTTTTGTTAATTATAAGGTCTAGTATCGATTTGTTGCATAAATTCTGTACTGTTTTTCAAATAGTACTTTATAAATTTCTTTTTTTCTTTAACGATATTACTAGGAGACTACATAAACGGATGTACAGAGGAATGGGTCAGAAACGATTTTTATATTACATACAAACATATATTTTATAAACTTTATCATGTTAATATACTAGTTTCAATGTAAATACTACCTTGACTTCTAAAATGTTTGTTTAACCAAGAAAATTTGAACACCTTTTCAATGAATAGAAATAAAGTTAAAGTGCTGATAACGGATGGTCTGATATCAGTAAAATAAACAAGAACAAGGTAGTAAAGAAATAAAGATAACAACAAAGATGGCCGTCCTGTTTATCAACACTCAACTTCTCTTCGGGATCCTTCTCTCATGTAAGTAGTACATCTCAAGGTACTAGCAATCGCTGTTTTAAATAATCAAAATCGAGTAATTAAGGATACACCAAAGGCTTTTTTTCAAGATTTTCAACAATTTTTAGATTTTTGGCTAAGAAAAAGAAGTTAATCACTGCTTTATAATGTATGTAAAATTCTTGGTAATTATGAAATGGTTTTCTAATTATTTAACAATAATGAAACATAAACACTACCACATGTGAATGTTCCGTTATTGAAGCTTCTGATTTGATCTCTGACTGCCTGCTCATGAAGGACGCAATAAATCACTGTGACCACTTGGGGAATTCTTCACTAGCCACACAGAGATTATCAGTAATTAAACTACAGGGACTCTAGATTAAGAGAAGGAGATCTAACAGATCACTGATGACCATAACATAGGAGGTGGAGCTTAGCTCTTGCCATTTTGCCGGGAAATCTTTCTAATTCAGAATTGAACCTATTTTACTTAATTAAAAGCATCTAAATACAGAAAAGAACCTCCCATTCTTGTGAATATGCATAGGAAATACGGCTAAGTGACAGGTATCCAAAGCTGAATCTCCAAGGTGTCATATATTCCTAGCTTTGGCAGATTTTGTTGTGTAATGGGTTTTTGCCCTCTACTGTAAAGTAAGATCAGACAGTTTGTGGTATTATTTCAAAGGATTCAGCTCCCTCATTTATTGACCAATTTCTCTGAAAATTGGATGGGCTGCTTCTCAAATGTGTGTTCACAAAACCGTATCTCAGATTTTTGATATCTAGCTTAGTTTTGGAATTATTGAGGGAAATGTTAAATTAGGCTAACAAATTGGTAATATTGAAGAGCAAATGGCTATAACTTTTGAATTAGAAGATTTATCAAAAATCTGAGATACAGTTTTTAAGTTCAATCTTTAATCTACCTTGAGGCAAAATGACCACTTTGAGGGGTTAAATACAAAAAAGTTGATTTGTAAAATATTTATGCACTAAAATTTACATTAATATTTAAATAATTTTTAAATAAGTTATTAATTAAAGTTTAAATTAGGATAATTAAATAGTAAATTTAACAAGCTTTCAAATGATATATACTTTTATTATGTTATCTTTGATAATGAAAGAATTACCTGCCACTTAAATTCTAGCATTTGGAAACCTTTGTTGTATCCTTAAGCAAAGGTATAAAATATCTATTCATTTTTCATCATTATATAAGAATATTGTGATAAAAAAGTCGATATTTTGATTCTTGTGTTCTAGATAAACAATACAAAATAATCAGTAAGATAAACCAAATTTACAATTCAAAATAAAAAGGAAAGGACCTTTTTCGGATATTAGGCTTACATAAATGATCCTTGTTTCTTGCATTTCAAACTAGGGGGGGGGGGGGGTATTTTATTGGATAGATGTTAAAATTAAAGCTCAAACATTAGCTCTTCAGCACAAGGACTAAGACTTAACATCCTTTTCTAAAAATCCTGAGGTTCCACCGAGATTATTAATATTATTTTTTTCAGTGGCGTTGAACTGCATTTACATTTTGTTAGAGTTAAGGTAATTTTAGTGATAAAATTTACAGCTTTATAATGTTAATTTGTTTGTTAACGGGGGTAGGTTTTTAAATAGAAATGTAACTTTGTTGAAAGTGCTTGTTTGCCTTAATATCGCTTACTTAATACATCTGTATTTATTTAAGAAATAAACAACGTTATTCAGTGAACATGGCGTTATGAATAGCAGAGCTACTGCTATTCATAATACCATGTTCACTGAATAATCATTGTTTATTTCAATATTTGCATTCTGTGATGTTGTCAAGAATATTGGAGGGAATCCTGGATTACATAAGGGCACGGCTGCTTGCAATTGTCTCCATTAAAAAAAATATGACAATAAAATCAGTATACCTGATTTATCAACCTTTTCTCCAATAAATCACAAATAATATATTGGATATTTACATCTCAATCACAGTTATATTGACATAAACCGCGTCGTCTTTAAATTCTCATATTTTTTTGTTTTGATGCAGTTTTGTTGTGACGTCATCGTTCAAACCCTCTAAGAAAAATTAATAATTTAACAGTGTGATGAACATAGCGTGTTTTTATATTAATTTAATTTAAGAATGTTTTTCTATGTTTTTAAGTTCTTAAAATTCATTTTTAAGGGTTGAAATCGTTTTTAAAACAGATAAACTATTACAGAAATTTCGTTTCCTCTGAATATAAAACACCCTAGCGTGAAAAGTTATCGTTCTTTGCAAAAATATGCGTAAATATGAACAGAAAAATTAAAGATATAGCAATTCTTTTCAATATGTTTCAAGTTTGATTATACAATTAAATACATTGACCAAAATTTATTTCTTAAGGATATAATTCAGCAATTCTAATCATTTTGAATTTCTTTTTTTTTTCGAAGGTTATTATTAAAAACTAAGATTTATTCCATTTGCATAACATTTCATGTAGATGCTTGTAGTGTGCGAGTGTGAAAAACCAATTGCACTCATAGCAGAAGAAGTTGCGTCTATAGTCCAATGAACGCAATTGCTTAGTGCAGGATCATAGTGGGAGGAAACAGAGAATATGCAAATACATGTATACATAAATGTACAAGACTTCTATAGATACATATTAAAGGTGTGTGTAAAACCGTCCTATTTGTAACTAAGTTTATTTATCAGTAAAGTTAAAAAGTTGCAAGAGCTTATTATAATAAAACTTTTGGAAATGTTTTAATGATTGTAAATCATTGAATCTCACTCTGTTTGTAGGCGTGTGTTGTGAAGATTTTGGCTGCAAGTTAACACCATTTCGGAACGACATGACACAAAATGGGTTGCTTTGGAATTGCAGCCATCAGAACTTGGATTATATCCCTGCAATTCCAACTTCTAGAAATGTCACAGCAGTGGATATATCATATAATAATCTGAGACGGATACGGAAGGAAACATTTACAAACCTGACTTCTGACGTAGAAATTTTACGGATGAATAATAATAGAATAAGAACAATTGAGGCAAATGCTTTCGTGGGATTTGAGCTCAAAGAACTTGACATTTCGAGCTGCGAGCTTGACCATGCATCGGTATCCAGTGGTGCTTTCAATAACCTTACTCATCTCAGTGTATTGCATATCAACAATAATTCCTTTAAATCCTACCCAGGCGATGAAATCTCAAAACTGAGATCGCTAGTTAATCTGACAATTGATATATTTCCAGGATTCATATTTGGAGAAAAGTTTCTTTCGCTAAAACAACTGGGTTATATAAAATTTGTACCACAAGGATTAATCACCCTAACGAATTCCTCGTTTCAAGGTCTACGTAATTCGCCCATATTCTACTTGGATTTAGATTTGTTTAACCATGTAGCTGATTTCTGTGAGGATCTTAGTGAGGAGCTGTTTTGCTCGTTCCCTTACCTGAAAGGATTGTCAGTTTCATTCGGTATGAGCTGCAACATAAAAAGAATTTTACGTACTTTGAAATGTCTTCAAGGTAAAGACTTGGAGTATTTTCATTCTTCAGATAATCATGATGTGTACATTGAGAAGGCTGTCATTATTAATGATTCTGATGTTGAATACCTCAGAAATATATGTATAAAGGAACTTATTTTGCGAAATAATGACATAGAAGGGATAAATTTTAAGCTTCCGCTTGGAAAGTTTCAAAGTTGTCTCCAAGTCCTTGACTTGTCATCCAACAATATACAGTTTTCCTTAAATTACAGATTGTGGGGGACACTAATACTCTTTACGCCGAACATAAAAGTGATCAAGATTTGTTGTCAAAATGCAGATGTTTCAAAGTCTAGAAATTGGGGTTATTCGACGTACAATGATCGAGTTTATAAACGTCGTGTAATGCGGAACAGAAGACGGGATCCTTATCATATTCTTCTTCCTCAGACACTAGAATACTTAGATATTTCAAATGCAGCTGATATCCGAACACAGGAAACAAATATAGTTGTTCGTGCAATAAATTTAAAGTTTCTGAACATTTCTTGGACAGAATTTGATATTCGGTATAGAACCCGCTGGACATCTGTCAGTCTGGATTTCCCCTCCCTAATTGAGATGGATGTGTCTTATTGCACGTTAAATGCAAAGTTCCTCTCCTTACAGAAATTAACATCTCTGAAAGTTTTAATAGCTAGGAAAAGTGATTTCATTGCTGTCTCTAGTTCGGGATATTCCCATTCTTTAAGAGAAAATATCTTACATTTTCTTAAAAATTTAAACCAAATTGATATTTCAGACAATGATATATCACATCTTCCTCGGAACTATTTTGTTTTCCAGAGAAATTTATCCATCACAATTTTAATGGATAAAAATTACATCAAATCCGAAGTTTTAGCGGCACTTCAAGTTCTGACTAATATAAACAGGCTATATATGCGCCATTTTACCAACGAATGGGAAATATATTATTTTAATTTCGAGCCTCTCCTTTCCCTTCATGTCTCTCAAATATACCTTGAATCGGATGAATACGGGTGTGACTGCTATGAAAAGGACTCGCTAAATACCTTATGGAGAATGAGGGACACGATTGCAGATCTGAATAAAATGACTTGCAGATTCGCGTTTTCTGGAAAACCAAAAACCCTTCAAGAGCTATTTAGAGATGAATCGTGGAGAAGATTCCGCCTAAATTGCATTGTTAACGATTTTTTACTAGGATTTTCTATCATATTATTGTCGACAACTGTCATTCTACTGATACCAGCTATGATTATTTTCAGATGTAACATCATTTCACGTTGTAAAGCTATCAATTTTAGGGATAAATTAAGAAAAATACGTTTTAGATTTCAGGTGCTATGGGATGAAAGAATGAGACGGAGGGGATATCGTTATTATCCCGTACATACAGGGGAAACCCCAGGAACAGTAAGCACGGACAATGAACTTAGCTCAAATACAATTTCTCAGGAATCAGTAGGGTTGGAAAATAAGGAAAGCGAATAACAGAATGCTGAAGAATACAAAGGAACCTGTAGGAGATCAAAGGATACAGAATATAACAGCAATGATATGCAAAGCAAAGAAAAATTGATACTGACTCCAAATTTTGTTTTAATTGTTATTGAACTACTGAACTACTGCAGTGTGTAAGGTTCGACTTTTGAAGATTGTGCATGGTGTACCTTGAGTGTTAGACGTGTCCAGATTCTGGTAACCAACTTTTATCCTCGAAGAAGATATATCACGTTTCGTCATTTTGTAATCATTGTGCGATTTACTTATTTTTTTCGCCAAAGAAGTAGCCCTAATATACATTACGAAATTCAATGTATCTATGAAATAAATGGTTGGGGAGGGAAAATATTCACAAGAAATATATCTAGCACGCGAATAAAAGCTGGTTAGAAGTAACTGGCAATTTATGTAGAACAATTCCAAGAAGAAAAACCGTTCACGGTAGCTCAGTCGGTAGAGCGCTCGCTCCGTGATCGGGAGGTCGTGAGTTCGAATCTCGGCCGCGACTGACCTAAGTCGATAAAGAATGGGTAGCAACTGTTCCTTCGCCATGCGCTCGGCACTTTGAAGTGAAAGTTGCGGGTCCTTCGGATGAGACCTTAAAAACCGATGCCCCGTATCACGGCAGGCGTTGACACGATAAAGATCCCTCACTGCTCAATGGCCCTGAGTGCCGAGTAAAGGTCAAAATTTGAAGCCCTTCACCAATATATGGTGACGTCTCTATATGAGTGAAAAATTCTCGAATGGGACGTAAAACAACATACAATCAATCAATGAATTCAAGAAGAAAACCATAAGCATCCCTAACATTGTGATCCATACAAATATCCATCCTTCCAACCGTACATACAATTCTGTTATCTGTTACCAATGATGGCTAGAGAGCTTCCGATTGTTGAGATGTGAAGTTTTAGCGTATATACTGTATATTGTTGAGATGTGAAGTCTTAGCGTATATACTGTATATTGTTGAGATGTGAAGTACTAGCGTATATACTGTATATTGTTACTATATATTGACAATGTTTCACATCTTTCTTCCTGAAACATTAATAATACAAAAGAAAAAGATGTTCGCTTCAACCGAACAATAATGAGGTACTATTGATGTGAAATTCTAGCATACAAACAAACGAGTTTATTTACTTATAGAGTATGTTCACTGGATAAAACTTAGGGAACTATTATCAATGTTTCAAGTTTGTATGTGTTTTAACTGTATATAAAATTATATGTATTTGTGAATGGCGAATACACAGCTAGGTGAGCATGCGGCATAATATAACTACATATCTGCGTCCTCTTCTAACTTTGTGAATCTCTCTCTCTTTCTCAATGTCAAAAAAGTTACTAGTATTTTATAGTTCACAATACTAATTTAAACGAGTCTTTTTAGTTATTACGTAGTATATGCAACACAGGACAATAAAATACTTCATATATTTTCCTCTTTAAAGATGGGGCTCTTATTAATAAAGATGCAGTCACACGATACGATTTCCTCTTTAAAGATGGGGCTCTTATTAATAAAGATGCAGTCACACGATACGATTTTCCATTTGATTTTCCATCCGATTTTTCCAAATGATTTGCTTTTGATTAAAATCGTACCGTGTGACCACCTTTACATTTGCAACTTTGATCCGGGATCCGACTCTTTAAACTTCAAACTGCACCAGACACAGCCTAAACTGTGACGTCACCTGACGCCGTATGTAAGTTGCATGTCTGTGACGAAGTCTAAATAGACCAAGTGCAATATTTTAACGAAAGGCATTATAGAGTAAATGCAACTGATTTTTCTTTTAAGCTCCCTGCATAAATTAAATCTTTAAGAAAATAAGGGACTGTTATATTCGCTATTAGGCCTGCCGCATGGAATCCTGGTAGCGAAGAAATTCTGGAAGGGTGCACAGGAAAATTTGCCTGACAAATATACAAATTTCATTCCGAATTTCCTCTGTTCTTACACGTTAGTCTACTGAGCTAGCTTCGAGAGCGGCGCCTCGCTGCGCTTAATGTAAAAATAAGTGATAAGAACAAATATCTTGTTATATTTTTACAATCAAAAGGCAATTAAAAAACATGCTTTTGAGATCTTGCTGCCAGAGCCCGAAAAACTTATTTTGCCTTAAAGCATAAACTACCCTTTGGCTCAGGTCTCTTTCCAAACTTGTGGTTAAAACTATATGAATCAATTATTGTCCCAATATTTACATACTCCTCAGAAATTTGGATCTCTGATTTTAATGCAAATCAGAATAATTTGGATAAAACTCCTTTTAGATATATGATATAGCATCTAACTTGGCAACAAAAATTGAATTAGGTGTTTTCCCTATACATGCCAAAATCTATCAGCTTGCTTTTAAATACTATTCCAGATTGGAAGAATTAACAAAATCAGATGATAATTACAATGTTTTACTAAGGAATGCTTACTTGGAAGATACACAGTTGGCTAGTGAAAATTAAAAAAAATGGCTAAGTTGTATAAAATCAATACAGAAGATGTTAAATTTTAACTTTGACACAGAATTTAAAATGATTGGTCCTAAACTTAAAAAAATTCTTTGGCTAATGAAAATTAAAAAAAAATGGTTAAGTTGTATAAAATCAATACAGAAGATGTTAAATTTTAACTTTGACACAGAATTAAAATGTTTGGTCCTAAACTTAAAAAATTCTTTGAAAATAAATTCTTTTCTGAACTTTAACGTATTAACAACACTCGATGCGGTAAGCTCTCATTTTAAAGTACATCATTCAACCATGGTGTAAAGAAACTAGAAGTCCAACGATATTTATGTCTTCCACTTCATAAGAATTTATTTTCTTATCTTACCAAATGAAGAATAAGTGCACATCAGTTGTATGTAGAAACACGTAGATATTGTAATCCTGTCATTGATATAATACTTTAATACTCACTTTAAATAACGAAATATATATCAGCTGTTTCATACATACTTCTCACAAGGTATGTTAGAATTCATTTTTACTCTTGGTCATAAATAATAGCAGTTATCAGCATAAACTGGAAAATCAATGATTCTACTTTCGGTTTGTAAAACGGACAGTTCCTCTGTTATAAATTTTGAAAATAATCAATAGTTACTGATTGGTTCATACAATTTTATTACCCATTTCCTGTTATTAAACTTCAGCTAACTTAAAATTGGTCGATGGTTATTGCATGGTTATCTTTATGTCTGCACTCTCTAAAAAGTTTAGAAAAATTGTTGTCATCCCAGTCCGTCCGACGGTCACATTTTTTTTCTTTCTCAAACTCCTCTTACACTTAAACCAGTAATCCATTCTTTTTCTGGAATATATTGCTTGTGTCCTGTACATGTGCAATATAGTTTTGCTATAAAATCCTGGTTCTCCGGACTCTTCTTACATACATTTTTCGCAGTAGCCCGTTGACGTTTTGATATATGATTGATGGTGTGCTTTAGATGTGGAATAAGGTTTTGGATCTTTGATTGTCATCCTTGGAGCCAATTGGGGGTCGAAAAAGACTTTATTCAACAAAAACATGGTTCCTAGAACTTTGCATACATTTCATATAGTAGCTCATTCATCTTTTAGAATATATGACTGGTGGAGTCTTGAAAATGTATAATAAGCTTTCATAATTTTGATCTTTAACCTTGTGATCGATTAGGGTCGTACTGCGATGTTTTTCAACACAAACGTGGTTCCCTGAACTCCTACATTTCATTCAGTAGCCCGTTTATCTTTCAAAACATAATTGATGATGTACTAAAGATTTACAATAAGATTTCAGAATTTTCCCAGGGGTCTCGATAGGAGGTCGAAATGCAACATTTTTCTACAAATTTATTGCATCTTGACATAAACACCACGAATATATTATATGTGGTTTAAGGATCAAAATCTCAACTGCAATTGTTTTAAAGATATTTCAACATTAAACATAATATATGGAAGGATGACCCTCAGCCAATTATCCAAACAAAACACTTATAAATGGTGTTGTGATGGGATCCCAAGAATACTTATAAAACAGGGGTGAGGTAAGACGAGCCCGGGGTATTTGCCCAAAGGAATTGTCAGTGCATCTTGACTTCAGCGGCAGAAAAATATATATGGTTAAGGGGTGGGATCTTAACTGTTTAAGAAGTATTTAAACAATTATAAAATGAGGGGGTAGATACCAGTTCTGTCTATTTGGCCTTTTTTCTTCGCCCGATGTTTCCTCCAAACCTTTAAGGTAAAAATAACAAACAGTAATCGATCTTTAAAAGATTTACAAATAATACAAATCTGTGAATATGGCATAAAGCACGGACCTTCGGAAATTCCAGCAGTGGGATCAGGTGCCTAGGAGGAGTAAGCTTCCACTGTTAACCGGTCGCAACCGCCGTGAGCCCTATGTATTGATCAGATAGACGGAACATTACATACTCAAATTTATTATAAAAACAAAAGCGTAACAATTGTTATGAAATACGACCCAATGATGGGTTATTTTAACAAAGTCATTATATGTCAAGTTAAAGGCCACATCAAGTGTTTTCTTCTAACGTAGAAGTTTTTGAATAAATTCTGCTTCATACGAATATTAAAACAGATGGTTTAATAAATGCCTGTTGGAAGACCTGGTCTCCCGAATCTATATAAATGTTGTCAATGAGGAACTGAAGCATCCTGTTGATAGCAACTTCAAAGTAGTTGTATGTAGAATCAGAGTAATTTTAACAAGGTAATTTTGCTGATGACCAATAATAAGATAGAAGAATTTCTGAGTTCCATTCTTAATGTAGAAGCAGTTGTCTATGATATCTAGAAACCTAGTTTTAAATTTATCGTGAGGAATGATTGAATAAAGTGTGGAAAAGTCGCAGGTTTTGATGTTAATGACTTTAAAAAAAAATTGTTATTTTGAATTTTCTTACAGTTCTTCGAAGTTTTTGAGAATACGCATTTGATTGATATCACTTCTAGAATATACTGTAGCACAGTGCGTCTGAAGTTTCTCCATTATAGCAGCTAATACTTTTAAGGAGTAAAGATAGGATTTGCTGAACCCAGCAATGTATAATTATCTTTTGTGAGTTTTACTGTTTACGCTTTAGTCTTAAACCCTTTGATAGTTATAAAGTCCGGTGTCCATTTCTGCATAATTTATTGTAATGTTCTATAAATAGTACTGTACAATAATTATTGACTTTTTTTCTCAGAGAAATCACTAGAACTCGGACTCAGACAAATGAGTCAGAAGCGATTTCTATAACTCATCAAAAATTCTGAAAAACTTGACTATATACTAGTATTAATGTAAATATTACCTTGAATTCTAAAAAGTTTCTTTAACCAGGAAAATATTGAACACTTTTTTCAATATATAGAAATAAAGCTAACACGTTGATAACGGGTAATCTGATATCAGTAAAATAAATAAGAACAAATTTGGCTTTCTAGAACGTCTGAAATGTCATCTGAAATGTCATCTCTTTGGCTTCATTAATGTCACAGAATAAAGAGTGGAATGCAACATTTTTTCTCACCTTTTACAGGCAGCAGAATCGTTGGTGGGGGAGTCAGAAAAAAAAAACATTTCAACTTATCTAAACAATCTTTAGCTAGGAAAAAAGGGGGTGTCCAAACACGAATATCATATTTCGTGGATGGGAAGGGAAGATTTAAACTTTTTGAGTTTTTCCGAAAAAAAAACAACAATTTTTTGGGGGGAGGATGTGATTATATATACCTCCCAATATGTTTAAACATAATCTTTTACTATTTCAAATGTTCACTGTGAAAGGCTGCTTGCCCCCCCCCCTCCCATATTGGGTAAAATCTTAGCATTTCTTTGGACTTTACTTCACAGCAGCTTACTCTCACAGCAGCCAAGAAGTTTTAAAGCGCTAACTTAAATTAGTCCGACTCGAAATTGATTTCCGGTGATTTTCCTTTATCTTATTCTCCTAAGTGACTTGGCCATCGAGTTACTGGGGATATAAAGGGGGAAATGAGTTACTGTTACATCAAAACCTTCTACTGTCTAGATTCAACTTTTAACTCTTTATATGATATAAGTACATGTACACGCTACTGAGAAAAATATAGCTTAGAAGAGTGAAAAAATTCCATCAACGTAACTTTTCTAGCAAAACACGTAAAGCCTACTTTAAATATATGGCTTATCGAAAGAAATAACGGTTATATGCATTTATATAGAGGTAAGTTATAAAATTTAAAGCGTTTACATATTATCTGAAAAAGAGTTCCAATTTACCAACCCTGATTTTTATGCCGTTTTAGTTTGTTTGTGTGTTTGTTGTTGTTGTTCAACGTCCCTCTCGAGAATTTTTCACGCATATGGAGACGCCACCACCACCACTTGTCGGTGGAGAGTTGCATATTTTAACCTATACTCGGCACTCAGGGCCAATGAGCAGTGAGGGATCTTTTTCATGCCAACACCTACTGCGACACGGGACCTCGGTTTATACAGTCTCATCCGAAGGACCGGTCTCCACGTCCCATGATGGGATTCGATCAACTCCTTACTCCGCGACTCTAGAGCGAACGCTCAAACAACTGCGCCACGCGGGCGATAGGCTGTTTTAGGAAACAATCATTTAATGTAATAATTTATGCTTTATTTTAAGAATAGGAGAAATGATATTTTTGCCATTAACCAACAATGCAATTTAAAATTACAAAAGAAAATGATTGCAGATGCTTTAATTATAAGTCCTTAAAATGCGAGTAAGGTTAAGAAATTTCGTGTTTTATGTAGGGATAACAATATATTGTACTTTTGACATTTATTTTTTAAAGAAAGATTGAATGAATAGTCCTCGAAAAATACGCACAATGATTCTTTAGAATCTTTCTTTCAATGCCTGTAATTTCTTAAATCAAACATTTATGATTCTGCTTTATTTATGCTTTAAATTTCTAATATTTTTTTTTTATCGAAATGCATTCGCTGAATAAGATTTCTTTTATCTTTAATAGGAATGGCAGCAATTTATCGAGTGACTAATGTACACATAAAAGTAAAGTTTTCGTCATCAATTCATATCAGTTGTATTTATGCATTTAATGCAAGTATTTATGTAAAATTTCTTTTTTTCTGTAAAATCCACGCCTTGCATAATCTATTCGATGTCATGTTTAGTGTATTTTGATATACACGCGCTTACCATCATTTACGCAGTAGCCTAGATAACTGCACGTATTTTGAGAAGACCCACCACTACCCAAGCTATCCTGTTAGACTCTTTAGGATTACTATATAGTTTTTCTTTAGGTCTGTTTTGTTTGATAATAAGACAGATCGCTCATTCTCATTCTTTGAGCAGTTTTGTTTACATCTCTATATTTAGAAATTGCGTCATTATCAAATCATCAGCTTATCAATTTAAAATGGGACTTCACCAGCTATTCCAGTTAACGCCATTTTATTTAAAAATAGTAACCAAACGGAAGGCATAAGGCAACCACATTTTCACGTTGTGATAGAAGACGGGTAGCTGAAGGTAGAGATAAGTAAGTTTTAGGCTATAGGTACTATATATGTCTGTGACATGACAATAAAAGCTTATAGATCATTTTGCTTAACATTTGTAATGATAATCTATTCCTTAAATGACGATCATATTGCTTTAATTAAAAAAATAAGCAAGTCAATGCTTTATAAATAGCATGACAGATTTTGTATTTTTGTTCTTTGTCTGTATAAAGTTAACATTAAGTAAGATAAAGTAGTGTAGAATGATTTCTCATTACCTATTCTCTATTATTGATATAATCAAAAATATTTTAGGTCTCACTTTTTGTCACAACTTTTTTAAACTACGACCAACTGTTTTACAACCAAAGGTAATGTAAATAAATTACCTGCCCTTGTTATAGTTTACTTCAGAAAATGAAAGTTTGATTTTGCATACATATTAATGTACATATTCATTATTACAACATCTTAAAGCATTTTTTCCCAATGAAGGCCTGTTGTTTTATATTCTTTTTATTGTTGGTTTTTATTGCGTATTTTGTATAAAAATTATTAATATCATATTTATAGTCTTAAAAGTAATATTTTTTACAGGTCTTGAATTGAAATTAATTAACTGTATACTCGAGAGTGAAATATCAACAGAAAGATTATCCATAATATTAAGGTAAATATACTTTTAACAGAGTTTTTATGTGTGTTTCTGTTTGATTTTGTCTCGTACAAAGTAAACATGGTAATTGTATATGTGTATGTGTCTGTGTAACACATACATACATTTTATTTTATTCTATTTTTTATTTTCATTTCATCTTTAACTTATTTTATTTCATTTTCAATTTCTTATAATTTTGTTTCATTTTTTTTCTGTTTCATTTTATTTTAAGTTATTTTTATTTTATTTTTTCCTTTATTTCATTTTCATCGTCATTTTATTTTACACAGCATATATGGTAATCTCTAACATCTGTTACATCACTATATTTTTATCTGCTAAGTTATGACAATGGATCCTTTATATTTTAGCAATAAAGAAACTGATGACGAGCACAAAAGCAGTGCTGATTACATGCAGAAAGTTTATAAAAATATTTGCACTGCCCTTGGTTTTGTGTGCTCCGAAATAAGCAGATTTTCATTACTTTGGTAAGTGAAAAAAATAGTAAAAGAAATTGAAAGACTCAATAAATATACCAAGAAAGAAAGATACACTGCCTACTGCAGAAAAATTTACTTTTCCTAATTCAAAGAAAGAGATGAAACCAGAAGGAAATGTTGAGAAACCGAAAGAAGGCAATAGTAATACTACAAATTTTCAGGAAAAATTAAATGAACAAGCAATAACGATTCTGCATTTAAGGCGAGAAAACGCACACAATTAAGAGATCGTTTAAGAGGCATAAACATTACCAACATGAATCGAAATTTTAAGAGGGAAAAAAATTAAATGTTACAAAAAGAGATTGAGGTTTTAAAACATAAAAAAAAGTATTTTAAAAAATACAAAAGAAGAAAAAGGTGTTCAATGAAATATTTTTAAAACACACACACACACACACACACACACACACACACACACACACACATATATATATATATATATATATATATATATATATATATATATATATATATATATATATATATATATATATATATATAAAAGAAATGGATGTTTTATTGAAAACAATGTAGATTTTAAGAAAATGTTAAAAGGGAATCCTTTTAATTCTAAATTAAGAAATTTGTACTATATTATTAGAAGCCAAAACATCGGAATTATACATAGTGCACCATTTATTGAAACAGTTTTAAATTTGTTTAATATTAATGTTAAAAATTACCTAACAAAAGTACTGCTGCTGTTTTAACTAGTGAAATGGGTGTTGTTTCTAGAAACCAATTGAATGAAAAACTTTTATCTTGTAAAAATACAAATATGCATAGGGAAGCCACAACAAAAAAGGGAAACATTTTATGGTGTAAAACTTAACACAAGGAAACAGATTTTTACTGCAAGTGTGAGAAAGGTATATAATAGAAAAAGGTTTTAAATGATTTATCCTCCAATGAAAGTGGTGCAACAACTATTTTAAATTCAGTCTCCTGTTTAATGACAGACAGAAGTGCCACAGAGCAGAAAGTTAATGACATTTTAAGCAAGGAAATATACCTCATGATGTAAATTCTTTTAAATATGCTATTCATCCTCTTTTACAGTTTTCTGATGTGTGAATTGAAGAATCTTTTAGTATTGAAAAAGAATTACATGTAAATTTTAACGGTTATTTAAATTCAGTCAAAGAACTTTTAATCTTGTGTCTTTTAAAATCTGTTTCAAAGTTGCTGTTGTTTTTTTTTAACAAAGATGGTGTTGGGGATCTCAATACTTTAGATGTTTTTATGAAAAACCATGCATTTGAAAATATTCCACTTATGAATTTTAGAGGAAAAAGTTTTAATGTTTCATTTCACATGCGGCAGGGATTTTTTTTCTCCACAAACTATTGTTATAATATTTGTTTTCATTGAAAAGTTCATATTCTTTTTTACAGAATTTTATTGTTTTATCCATACAAAGTAAGTATTTTATGTCTTATAAAAGAGCTTAGGAATTCTATACAAATTAATTACTGAACCTTACGTTTTAAAGGCTTTAGAAGCTGGCAATATTTATATATGGGGTCTGTATATGAGAGGCTTTTACTCGTGTTGAATATGTTTTATGATGATCCATCACTGGTTTTAAAACAACACTTGCGATAACTGTACGTGTACATAAATTGGCGTATTCAAATTTTAGCGCAATCACTGGCGATGGAGTTGTTGGCGTAATCATGAATTAGCGCTACACATGTCCGTGCCGTGTATTGTATATATGAATGATTTCTTAGCGGTATTCATGAATTAGCGCATCGCTGTCTGCGCCAAATTAAAGCCGCTAAAATATGAAGCCCGCTTTTTTAAGTACACATGCAGTATTTTATGGGCTACAGTTTTATGACGATGTTTCATATTTTTTATTTGATCGTTGTTTACATAACACCTCACCGTTGTATTTTTTAAAAGACTCTGTAGTGTAGTGCAAAGAAATTTAGTTATTTTTAGGTGGAATAGCTAATTCACATCCGGGTTTCAAACGTAAGAGAGAGATGACAACAAGGTAGTAAAGAAATAAAAATTACAACAAAGATGGCCGCCCTGTTTATCAACACGCAACTTCTAGTCGGTATCCTTTTCTCGTGTAAGTAGTACATCTCAAGGTACTATAGTAATTGCTGTAAATAATCAAATTCTTGTGATTAAGCTATAAGGTATAAAACAGTTACTCATATACTTCATCATTATATACGAATGTTGTGATTAAAAAGACAGATATTTTAATTACTTCTTTTATTAAGGAATGTTTTTAAGTTTTGCTAGCGCTTCATGAAAAATATGCCTACATGCAAGTCAGTGTGATTTACACACCAATAATTCACACTAAACTTAAAACATTCGTTATATTTATATTTTACATGTTTGAAAGCACCAAAAATATACCCAATGATTGAATTATTCGCTGCCCTATATCGTTACATTTTTATGAACGTCTCTGTAGCCTCATTATGACGTCATTTCAGCGCGAGTTTTTCCGTGCATATTTCTACGCGTGAGTATATACGAAAATGGCATTCAAATCAATTTCACTGTTGGCATTCAAATCAATTTCACTGTTGGATTAGTAAAAAAAACAACACAGCAAATGTAAATATTTGTGGTTATACAACACAAAACAATCTGTAGGACAAACTAAATTTACAATTCAAAGTCAAAAGCAAGGGGTCTTTCTCAGACAAGAACATGAGCCTTGTTTCTTGTATTTCAGATTGAACTATTTGGGGTGGAGGTATCTTACTGGCTAGATGTTGAAAATAGAGGTCAAACAAAAACTCTTAAAAATAGTGAGGTTCCACCGAGATTTCTAATGTGAGAAAAACGGGAACAAACCCGACGACACCCCCCCCCCCCCTCCGATATATATCCTTTATTTCTTTTTTCTTTTCTTTTTTTAATTCAGATCAAGTCACCCTTTTAAGTTAGATATTTTTGCTTGTAATGAAAACGAAAAGATGAAACTAAAACATTTCTTAAATGAAGTCAATCACGATTATAAGGCATGATTCCACATCTAATAAAATTAGAATATAATAACTATTAGTATTAAAGAATTACTTACCATGTAGAAATATTTTCTCAAGGTCAATGTCTAATTTAAATTGTATAAGTCTGGAAAACTCAATGACAAAACTATATGTCCATTACCTTCAACAACCAAGCACGTATTGCCCAAAACACAAAGCAAACTCTGTGAGGAAAAACAAAAACCAATCCGAGAGCATAAGACAAATTAAAAAAAAACCGATGAAATTAAAATATATATAATTACCATGGCCAGAATATAATTAGAGCCTTAAGGCTAACTCTGGACTTTTCTTGAAAATATCAATTTAAAAATCAATACACTTAACTACAGGTTAAATGAATAATTATATACTTCAGTTGTAGAAGTGTGCTGCAAATAAAAAAATATATATATAATAAGTTTATGAATAAATGCATAATTATGCAATATACATTCCTATGCACATACAATGTATGCATGATAAATGAAAACATGAGTCTGTCACATTTTCATTAATAAATATAAAAAGTCAAATGAACTTATTACAATAAAACGTTTGGAAATGTTTTAATGATTGTATCGTGTTTAAACTATCAATCTGACTATATGACTCTATGTTTGTAGGTGTGTGGAGTAAAGATATTGGCTGCAAATTAACGCCATTTCGGAACGATGTGATACAAAATGGGTTTCTTTGGAATTGCAGCCATCAGAACTTGGATTATATCCCTGCAATTCCAACTTCCAGAAATATCACAGCAGTGGATATGTCACACAATAATCTGAGACGGATACGGAAGGACACATTTACAAACCTGACTCCTGAAGTAGAAATTTTATGGATGAATAATAATAGAATAAAAACTATTGAGGCAAATGCTTTCGTGGGATTAGAGCTAAAAGAACTTGACATTTCGAGCTGCGAACTTGAACATGCATCAATATCCAGTGGTGCTTTCAATAACCTTACTCATCTCAGAATATTGTATATCAACAATAATTCCTTTAAATCCTACCCGGACGATGAAATCTCCAAACTGGAATCGCTGGGTAATCTGACAATTGATATATTTCCGGGATTTATATTTGGAGAAAAGTTTCTTTCGCTAAAACAACTGGGTCATATAAAATTTGTACCACAAGGATTAATCACCCTAACGAATTCCTCGTTTCAAGGTCTACGTAATTCACCCATATTCTACTTGGATTTAGATTTGTTTAACCATGTAGCTGATTTCTGTGAGGATCTTAGTGAGGAGCTCTTTTGTTCGTTCCCTTACCTGAAAGGATTGTTAGTTTCATTCGGTATGAGCTGCAACATAAAAAGAATTTTACGTACCTTGAAATGTCTTCAGGGTAAAGACTTGGAATATTTTCATTCTTCAAATAATCACGATGTGTACTTTGAGACATCTGTAATTATTACTGATTCTGATGTTGAATACCTCAGAAATATATGTATAAAGGAGCTTATTTTGCGAAATAATGACATAGAAGGGATAAATTTTAAGCTTCCGCTTGGAAAGTTTCAAAGTTGTCTCCAAGTCCTTGACTTGTCATCCAACAATATACAGTTTTCCTCAAATTACAGATTGTGGATGACACTAATACTCTTTACGCCGAACATAAAAGTGATCAAGATTTGTTGTCAAAATGCAGATGTTTCAAATTCTAGAAATCGGGGTTATTCGACGTACAATGATCGAGTTTATAAACGTCGTGTAATGCGGAACAGAAGACGGGATCCTTATCATATTCTTCTTCCTCAGACACTAGAATACTTAGATATTTCAAATGCAGCTGATATCCGAACACAGGAAACAAATATAGTTGTTCGTGCAATAAATTTAAAGTTTCTGAACATTTCTAGGACAGAATTTGATATCCAGTATAGAGCCCGCTCGACATTTGTCAGTCTGGATTTCCCCTCCCTAATTGAGATGGATGCGTCCTATTGCACGTTAAATGCGAATTTTCTGTCTTTACAGAAATTAACATCGCTTAAGACTTTAACAGCTAGGAAAAGTGATGTCATTGTTGTCTCTAGTTCTGTTAGAGAAAATATCTTACATTCTCTTCAAAATTTAAATCAAATTGATATTTCAGACAATTATATATCAAATATTCCACGGAACTGTTTTGTTTTCCAGAGAAATTTATCCATCACAATTTTAATGGATAATAATGACATCAGCTCCGACGTTTTAGCGGCATTTCAAGTTCTGTCTAATATAAGCAGATTATATATGCGTCAATTTAACAACGACTGGGATATTGATGACTTTAATTTGGAGCCCTTTCGTACCCTTCATGTCTCTCAAATGTACCTTGAATCTGATTGGTACAGTTGTTATTGTTATAAAAAGGACTCGCTAACTGCCATATGGAGAATTAAAGACAAGATTGCTGATTTGAATAAAATGTTTTGCAGATTCACGAATTCTGGAGAACAAAAAACCTTCCAGGAGCTATTTAGAGATGAATCGTGGAGAAGATTCCGCCTAAATTGCATTGTTAATGATTTTTTACTTGGATTTTCTATCATATTATTGTCGACAACTGTCATTCTACTGATACCAGCTATGATTATTTTCAGATGTAGCATCATTTCACGTTGTAAAGCTATCAATTTTAGGGAAAAATTAAGAAAAATACGTGCAAGATTTCAGGAGCTATGTGATGAAAGAATGAGACAGAGGGGTTATCGTTATTGTCCCGTACATACAGGAGAAAACCAGGGAACAGTTAGCACAGACAATGAACTTATTCCCCAGGAAACAGTAGGGTTGGAAAACAAGGAAAGCGAATAACAGAATGCTGAAGAATTCAAAGGAATCTATAGGAGATCAAAGGATACTGAATATAACTGATACTGAATATAACAGCAAAGATATGCGAAGCAAAGAAAAATTCATACTGACTCCAGATTTTGTTTTTTAAATGTAATTGAAGTCCTAAACTAATGTAGTGTGTAAGGTTCGACTTTGAAGATTGTACATGGTGTACATGTACCTTAGTTACCTTGAATGTAAGATGTGTCCAGATTTTGGTAACCAACTTTCATCCTCGAAGAAGATGTGTATATCATAATCATTGTACGATTTACTTTTTTTTCGCCAAAGAAGTAGGCCTATTATACACCTATTTATTGGTTATGACAATAGCAAGTATATTTTCCCCCAAAACAGCAACTATTTCCCGAGGCGCAGTCGAGGAAAATAGTTGCTGTCGAGGTGGAAAATAAACTTGCTTTTGTCCGAATAGTCAGTAAATAGGTGTTTTATTTTACCGAAAAAGACTTTACTTGCCTCACATTAATTACGATCTGGATAAAACCAGAAGAGTTCCGAGATGAAATGCGAGGGAAATGGAATGTTGTGGGTGAATAGTTCGATGACTATTTCACCATGGGCAAATAGCACAAAAACTATTCCACGCTTCGGGCTGTTTAAAAAAAATAGCACCTTTATTCATCATATTTTTATAAAGAAAAAACTTACAGAGGCATAATAAACGGGTCTGTGTATTGTTTAGACTTACGGTATATATATATATATATAGTGTATATAATTATTGAGATGCGAAGTCTTACTTACCGGTATATAATATACTGTATATTGTTTTAATTATTGACGGTGCTTCACATTTTTCATCCTGACACAATAATACAAAAGAGAAAGATGTTCGCTTCAACAGAACAATAATAAGGTACTATTGATGTGAAATTCTAGCATACAAACAAGTGACTTATAGCGTAGCTTATCAGGATAAAATTACAAAATCATTATCAATGTTTGTATGTGTGTTTAATTGTACATTGTAACTGTAAATGTCGAGAACACAGGAGAGTTACATTTTACATGTTTTAATTGCATAGATCTGCGTCTCTCTCTCTCTCTCTCTCGTAAAATAATTACTCACAATAGTTCACAATACTTAAATAAATTTAATGAGTGTGATGTGATTTGCGTTCTTTTTAATTTTTACATCAAATATTCAGAAGTATTTTCCTCTTTAAAGGTGGGACTCATTTAGACAATTAAGTTCTAATCTATTTACCCATCATTCCTTATCTCTGGTAAATTGGTTTAATTTAAATATTTTAATATTTATTGAAATATTTCCAAGTATAGAGTTTGGAATCCCCCTCCACCCGGTACCGACATACTAAGGCTCTTAAAATTTAACAATTAATATTCATGCGTCAATTTCACATGTGCTTGAGGACATGACCCCCACCCCCTTCGATATAGATCACCGGACATTTTCGATTTCTTTTCTCTGAAATTATCTTTCAATGACACATTTGTGATATAATTTATATCAACAATTCGAAAAATTACCTAAAACAAACATATTATGAAATCTACCCCACTCTCTCCATATAAATCAATTTATATATTATAGAGTGTGGTAGTAATTTTTATAAAATGTTTGTTTAAGCACAAATTTGTCATCCATAGATGATTTATGAGAAAAAAAATTAGAAAAGGCCCGGGGGTCTATATTGGAAGGGATCCCCTGTCCTCAAGAATCTGTGGTCAGTTCCGTGTTTGATGTCAACTATTTCTCATAAATGACTTCACCTCCAAGATGATGTAGGATTTTCTTACTTCATATCTAATAAAGCCTGCTTTCTGTGGATTCTGATCCGTATATTACAACAATGATTAAAAGTATTAAGCCAGAATCGAGAAACCCGAGAGATTCCGAAGATGAACGAGCTCCGATTACGGACTTTACTGCAAGATCGCTATAATACGGAATTCTTTTCCTTAGTTCACAAGATAAGTCGTCCATTTACTGGTAAGTTTCACTTAATTATTTTATACTAAGTGATAAGTAGTTTTCATAATTAAGCTGGCATTTCTAGTTCCCCATAGGATAGCTAACCTACAATATCAAGAATTGGCTGTGAATGACATGTTCTCTTTGAAAATGGTTATACCGCCCATGCTTACTAGGCACATGGTTACATTTTCCCAATTATCATTTTCAATTTATTGACCAATCTTGTTTGTTAAATGCTATTTTGTTGATCTGCAATATAACTACCCTCATTTAACATTATTATGTTATATACATATTTATGGTTATTCTTGTTTGCAAAATTTAAAAAAAAAAAAGATTTTAATTTTTAATCGTTTTATTTCTACTTCAAATTCAAATGAACCGATTGAGTTTCTGTTGCCGTATGACTAATACTAAGACTTGTGCTGCACTTTCTGATTTTTTTTTTTTTCATGGAATGAACTTAGTAATACATTTTGGCAACATGTGCGAACCACGCCGCATTCCAAGCCTGTGAATCTATTTAGCGTATGCATAAGACAATACACACGAACTGCACGTGCGCTATGAGGATAATAAGCAATTTACACGTGGCTTGTTGAATAAATTTAGTGTGTTTTGTGTTTTCCTCTTAATTTATTATGATTCTTGGGTTTAACCGGGGTATTTTCTTCATTACACTTTATATGGTTTAGCAAAGAAAAAAGTGCATTGAATTTGGAGGTAATAAACCCAAGTTCATACAGTGTCAATACTACAGATCTCGACGAAGAAAAAAAAAACCATCATCATTTTAGCTCAGTCATGTCCTTGGAATCAGAACAACGGATTTAGAATTTTTGATGGAAGTTACATAATTTTGGGCGTGTAGAAAATTCATTCAAAAGTAAGAATATCATGAAAAGTACCTCATATATAAATAACAATACCTCAATACCTCTGAACTTAAAAGGACGAATCTGCCCCTAAAACTATTGTACACTGGGAAAATCCCCCCCCCCCCCCGTTTTATTTTCGCCCCTTTCGCCCTACTCACTGGTAAGCGAATTTAAAAAACACAGTATAACTTCTAAAACAGAATTGTGACTGGGCGAATTTAAAACAGGGCAAAATTATTAGCAAGTATGTTAGCGCGAAAACAACACGGGGCGAAAATAACCCTGTATAAGTAGTTCATATGGACACAGTCTTAAAAAAGAATAGAATTAATTGTCTTGTAGTAAGCACTTTTTGGAAATCGAAGAAATAAAAGCCAACATTACCTCGTTGCTTTGTCAGGAACACACGCTAGTCCTTACAAGCGGAGAAAAGGTCTTTAAAACTCTTGATTTTATACTGCGGCTATTTTCAGTTGTACCATAGATATGTTAAAAGTGTGGGTTATCTGTACATAACCAACAGTATTATATGGAATAACTACTACGAACTCCAAGCTATCCTAGCATCCAATCATTATTCTACGGCTATTTTCAGGGACACCATGCTATTCTAACATCCAATCATTATTCTGCGGCTATTTTCAGGGACATCATGCTATTCTAAAATCCAATCATTATTCTACGGCTATTTTCAGGAACACCATGCTATTCTAACATCCAATCATTATTCTGCGGCTATTTTCAGGGACACCATGCTATTCTAACAACCTCGCCTGCCATCCTACTGTTGGAGATATGCGAAGTGCCCTGAAAGTGAAAATACAAAATGCCATTAATTCAGCAGTTCTTGTTGAATCTGAGGATCGTGGGATATTTGTAGGGGGTCGGAGGAGAAACAGGAAAAAGAAACGAACCAAACATGGTAAACACAAACAAACAAACAAAATAACCAATAATGGTTCATGGTTACAAAGGAATAATAGTCATTTCGGGCTTTGAACTTGAGCTCATAAAGAAAATTTTCCTCAGTGAGAGTTATCTCTCTTATCAGACGAAGAATGACCCTTAACTATAAGATATACTAGTAGTTCGCTTTATCTATTGTTATTCTGTGTTACGTGTATCTAGCTGAAAGTTTAATATTTGAAAATACTTGTATATTGTTGTTTTTTCTTCATTTGTTAATTCTCTCTCTCTCTCTCTCTCTCTCTCTCTCTCTCTCTCTCTCTCTCTCTCTCTCTGGATTCATTTAAATATGTACCAATTGATAATCTACTTTTCGTACATTCTTTTCAATGTTTAAATGTACCTGTATTTGTGCCTTGATCTATATGGAGAGAACGATCATAGGCATTTATGCCTGCTGTTCAATCCATTTCATTGATATGAATAAAATATGTTTTAAACTAATTTAATGGTTTTAATACATGTTGATATAATTTTTATCACTTATTTTGCAAATTTAATGATATTAGATACATGTATGACATTAATATTATATTATTTTGATTTTTTAATTAGTTAAAACAGAAAAGAAGAAAACAAAGAGGTCAGAGGTCGGAAAGGGATCCCCCAACCTGACGGATAAGAACAACAGAGGTAACGTCATCGTCATTAGGAAATAATGAGAACGGCCCTAGGGCCGATTATAAGTCGATCTTAATTGTACATTCATTATTATTTCATATTTAAAATAAGAGATACAAAATAAAAAGTAAGCAAATGAAGTCAAGCATACCTGGCAGAATTTAATAGAAAACATTGTTGATGATGATCTTTTTTTCATAATGAGGCTCCTTCAATGAAAAACAATAACAAATGAGATGTGAGATACCAAATGAGATGTGAGATGACAAATGAGATGTGAGATGACAAAAGAGATGTGAGATAACAAATGAAATGAGAGATAACGAATGAGATGTGAGATGACAAATGAGATGTGAGATGACAAATGAGATGTGAGGTGACAAATGAGACGGGAGTTGACAATAAGATGTGATGTATAATTCATTAGAGGTGTCCCGGTTTTCTCTGCCCTTTTTTGTCCAAAATTGCATTTAGAAACGGATGTTGATATCGATTATAGATACAGAATTTACAAGTATTTTACAAAAGAGTGCAAGGTATCAAGGATGGTGTTCATATAATTTAATATGAATAGATTCAACAATTCATTATTGTGTGTTCATACATAATGCTTACATACTGAAAATAAATATCATTTTTTCGTTCAGAAATCAACTTTTAAATTTGAATTATATTTCACATGATAACACCTAGCCCTGGGTCATTTGATCAGATATAAATGTTATGTAGATACATACATCTAAAACACTGGACCTGGTAATTTGATAATTCGTCAATAAAATATGTGTAAAAACCGGCGGCCTGGCAACATCTGTATCCGTGTAATGTTTGTGAATTGTACAGGTAATACTGAACAGTCCATGTTGTTATTCATTTGTTACTGTACAAGGTAAATACTTATACATTCCCTCTGTATGCGAGGTGTCTTACCTGTACGGGCGGACAAACAACTCAACAATCTCCAATATACACGTAAGTATCTAAAAAACACCTTAACAATCTCCAAAATACACGTAAGTATCTAAAAAAAAATTACGAATTTGAATTTGTTGCTCATTATTTATCATTTTTACATCGCTTTTACCTTTAGGCCATACCAAGTTTTTTTTCTATGTTTAACGTTCGAGTGCGCTTAATTTGGTTTTTTGACACCCCATGTCATAAAAAACAAACAAAATCAGAAGTCATGAAATTGATTATTCAGGTCGAAATCTTTTAATTCTGTTAATTTCTCTAAATATTTGTCTACAATATGTCATATTAGGTATATTGTAAGCATTTTAATACCTTGATTTTGCTAAAGAATAGATCTTTCTATGAGAAAAATAGATTAATGAAATCAAATCCTTTGAATGACGCCATTTTTATGATTATAAAGTCTGTGTTATAATTTTTTGGCTTGTGTGTTTTTTGCGAATAAGTAGGTAGGTTTTTGAAGACGACAAACATCTTTTTCGCGATTAATGGTAGAAGTACATTATAACGTAATAATTCGCCTTGGAATAAAGTGTCTGTCTTACATACAAGAATTGTCTGTTTTCTGTTGTTAGTTGTCCAACAGAAGTCAGTGGAAGAAGACACCAAACCTCTGATCGAGTCAGGATTCTGTGACAGTATTATCTCCCTTGAAGACGTGCTTGGCCTTGACCTTGAGGAAGAAGAAGAGGAGGGGATCCCGCCTCTTGTGGAGAGTGGAATCAACTTTGGTCCCCTTGTGCAGTATACATATGCAGTTCCAAACATCACAGATTACATAGAACAGATAGAATCTAACGATGTAAGTGTCTAGTAACACATCAATTAATAACCAAATTTTTTTTCTTGGAAAGAAAGGAAAAACACACTTCTCCTAAAAATCATTGTATTCTAATATTCCCGAGTATATCCATTTGTTTTGATATTTTTTATATCAATTATACACTCAAAACTTTAATGCACAACGTTAAGCTCGGCAAAGATTCAGCTCAACTGGAAAATTGGACTGATGCCTTCATAAGGCATAAATCCAAATATCCAGACTACATTAACATTAGCGTTACAATAAGTTAATATATACTCTACACACACAGATGCCGTTCTTTAAAAAGAAACAATCACAGGAAGATGTTGGACAGCTGCAAGAAAAATCAAAAGAACAAGTCAACACTAAGGAAGAATCCGAAGAACAAATTGTGGAAATCAGAGAAAACAAAGTAGAGCAAATCAAGGAACCGGAAACGGAAGATGTAAACCAAAGCGAGGCTAAAGAGAAACATGACTCATCCCCGCAGGATGGGACGGATGGTGGCACTAGTTTTTCAACAGAGGATGGCAAGGCGACGCCAGCGAATGGCGAAGTTAAAAATCCTGAAACAACTCTAGACAAGACAGAAACAGAAGAAAAACAGACACTGGTCGAGGATGGCATCACCACAAAATACGAAACCGAGGTTGATGGCGTCGTCATCGAAACAGAGCAAGTAAGTTTATCTATTTCCGAACTAAACTTATCCCGTAGATCAATACTGATCGTTAGTTAACTTTTGGACACCCTTTTTACGACCAAAATTGTTATAACACTTTTTTCATGGTAGGGTTGATTCTGGATGGAAAAAGTCAAAATAAATATTCTTCATTCACTTAATATGTATCTGATTCTGTCTGCTTTTGTGTTTATTTTTTGTTAACTCTCTTGATAGAAAACCGTTGCTGCTGTAACAGAACAGCCGAACGGAAAGCAGGTCTCTAAAGAGTCGTCTCCCCTGATTACTAAAGAGGACGATGGGACGTGTCTGTGCTGTACAATCCTTTAAGTAGAAAACAAAAGACTCAGCCGATTTTGTTTCGTCGGAACTTAAACTTTCGATAGTCAGCGTGACTGTACAAGACTAAGAACTTGCATGTTTATTGTGATTTTTTTTAACCGCTTTCAATTGATAGCGTTTTTGGAATGTTTTTCAACGTGGCGAATTCATTTAGGTGTCTTATCCATTGTTTCAATCAATCTAACTGAACATTGATATACTGAAATGAATATAATTTTTCACAGGGGACAGAAGTTTATTCAGGTTTTAGAAGAAAAACAACGTTTCAATTTAAAAAAATGAAGAAAAAAAAATGTTTAGAAACCACAGAGCATAGACCACGTGATGAACTTGGTCACGTGACGGACTGGGTACACTATTTGTTTTTAAGAAGGAATATGCATTTTCATTATACCGTTTACATTTGTACCATTTTTTGTGCTTAAATGCAGTCAGACCTTTAATAGAATGTCGACAGATTTAGCTTACTTATCATTCGATGATGATTGCGATGTTTTTCCAACTCAGTATATGTTTATTGTGTGGCTTGAATAAAAAGTAATCGGTTTATAGTACACAGCAATCTTAACACTCCTTTGTTTTTATTTATTTCATTTATTTAATTATTAATTTATCTAATTTTTTTTTTTTTGGTCACCTGATTTTTGAGTATATAGTGTCAATTTGAAGTATTTTATTTTCGTAATGAAAAGCTGTATCATGACCTTTCAGTATCCTTTCTAAGCCCCATTCTTAACTCCTTACAAAAATATGGACTGCTGTAAAGGAGAAACTTCAGACGTACTGTGCTACAGCATATTCTGGAAGTGGTGTAAATCAGATATGGATTCTCAAAAACTCAAAAGAACTTTTAGAAAATTTATTTAAACGTACGATTTTTCTACAATTTATACAACCATTTCTCACGATTTATGAATTAAAAAACAAATAAAAAGCTGTCAATATGACAGCAAACGGGATTTCTTTGTGTGAACAGAACTGGTATTTTTCGAAGAAAATTATAAAACTGTTATGAATTTTACACTTTTTACCAATGACCTTAAACTTGCTGGAATGACCTGGTCAAGGTTATGACACACCCTCAGGTCATAAACAAATACATGTATGAGCTTTCAATGATTCTCCATTACAAAGTTACAGCCAGAAAAAGAACTTTATACTTTTTCTGCTAGTTACCTTGAACTTGTCGGAATGACTTTAATTCAAGGTCAAGACACATGGATCATAACAATCATTGTACTCAGTGTGAGCTTCCAGTGATTTTCAATTCAATATTTTAGCATGGAGAAGAATTTTATACTTTTTCATCTAGTGACCTTGAACTTGCTGGAATGACCTTGGGTCAAGGTCTTGAACACATTTTCGGGTCATCAGCAATCTCTGTACTAAGTATGAGCTTAATTTCAATGTTTCTCATTTACAAAGGCATAGTCCGGAGAAGTTTGCAGGGACAGACGGAGAGACAGGTGGACGGACAGGCGGACAAGGTGATTTCTATATACCCCCCCCCCCCCTAAATTTCGTTTGCAGGGGGTATAAAAAGTTCTTGAAAACGGATATATCCAGACAAATGGAGTACCCTACATGCAATATTTTGAAAAAAATGACGAAGCTCGAAAGCTGGTATTTTTCTCTTTTGAAATTGATCTGCAAAACAAAAAAGTCCCTCAGTAGCTTGAAAACTGTAAGAGGAGTAACCCGGACAAAAGGAGTACCCTATGCGCAATATTTAAAAAAAAAAAAAAAAAAAAAAAAAAGACTAAGTTCAAAAGCTGGTATTTTTCTCAAAAATTAAAATCCAAGCAGTATTTTTTTCAACTGATCTGCAAAACAAAAAAGTTCCTAACTTGAAAACTGTAGGAGGAGTTATCGGAACAAACAGGATACACTTTTGGCAGGCGCCCGCCCACCATTTTCAGGCGCGTAGCTGCCGATACGCAAATACGCAAGTGCGTACACATCATTTTCAGAAAAAAAAAAGAAAAGAAAAAAGAGAGAATTATTCGGAGAAAAAAATCTCAGTACCATCCAACAAATAATTGTGTTTCAAATTATTCTGTGTCATACTGTGTCGATTTAAATTTTAAATTATCATGGTTGTATGATAAAATTTGAAATCTTTTATTAAATAACCGCCAAAACCATATAAATCATTCATTATTTTGTCATTGTTTTATCATACATTGATATTGTTTAAAAGATCTTTGAAAAATTAAATTTCAGCCACATCGTTGAATGCTATCATCTACTGACTAGTATGATTTACAATACGATATTTTTTGTTCATAATTGAAATTTTGTATACGTGTTTTTAAACGTTAGGAATGATTATATGATACCAATTAATATATCGGTTAAATTTTTAGCCTCAGTTATATGTAGAATTAGTTTCCATGGAATATTAATTTTCGTTAAAACAAAAAATATTACTATGTCTTTAATTCCTAAACAAAAGCTAATTGGCGTAATTTTTATATTTCACGAAAATGAATGAAATATTTGGTAAAATTCCGGAGCTTCTGGGCCCTCACCAGCAGGCACCTAGTATCAGGGGAGCCTCCCCCTTCTTTTTCCCAAAACCTAACCTTTTACTATTGAAAATGTACATTGAAAGGGTGGACCCCCACTGTTTGTTGCACCATTGTTAAATCATGGTAATTTGGTAATGTATTAATAAAAATTAGGTTTGGACACCCCCTTCCCCCTCAACAAACACATGCACACAAGAAATAGGACTTCGAATTTTGACAATCTTCCTTTTTCCTCCTTCCTAGTCAAAATTTTTAAAGTTGTGATTTTTTCCTGGCTGGCAAAAACTGTATTACGTGCCTGACCAGCTAGAGCCCTTAAACACTGGAGGGGGGGGGGCTCAAGACCCCCCCCCCCCCAACCCCCTGCCGTTCTCTGCGTACACATCATTTCTATTCTGGCTACGCGCCTGATTTTCACCATTTCAATAACCGGATTTTTCCTTCGAAAAACCCGGTTAACTTGGCTTTCTTAAGCATATATATACAACTGTTTCTTCAATAAAAGTGGAAGTCGACTTCACAAGAAACGATTGGTCATTAACAAAATTACTTCGTTAAAAGTCACTCTGATTCTACACATAAATTAAAAACTAGATTTTTTGATATCATAGACAACTGCATCTTTAATTAAAATGGAACTCGGAAGTTTTCGTATCTTGTCATTGCTCATCAAAACAACTATTTTGTTTAAAATCATTCTGATTCTAAACAGAAGGCTCTGAGGTTGATATTAAAAGGATGCTAGAGTTCCTCATTGACAACATTTAACTAGTCTTCAGAGACCAGCTCTTCCAACAAACTGTTGGAATTCGTTTGGCACTAATTGTGCTCCTCTATTAGCCGACCTGTTTTTATATAGCTATGAAATAGAATTTATTCAGAAACTTACATGTGAGAAGAAACCTTCGGTACGTTAATTTCTGTTCTAGATTTTATATTCTGTCAAGTCTCTTAGGTAGTCCTCTTATGAACTGCATTTAGCTCCCTGTGATGCGAAGTACAAAATATGGACAGATAGGCTATACCAGAGAGCTACATGTCCATCCAAATTCGATTTATAGCGATATGCCCCCCCCCCTTTCTCCCCACCCACGTTTCGGTAATATTTTTTGCATTATGCTATACGCAATACCTGCCAGTAGTTCAGTTCTCTGGTATGGTTGTCCATATTTTCTGTCCAAGAGAGACAGTTCTGCAGCTAGTTGACAGTATTTTCTGACGTTTGACTTTGCGCATTAATTGATGATTTCTCCTACAAAACTATTTCATCTTTTTCTGTAACATTAAACATCAGACACATAGTACAATATCATTTAACTGAAAATTAAATGTACTACAAAAATTTAAAAAAAAAAAAAAAAGAGCGGAGGGCTCGTCCGGGATTTGAACCCGGGACCTCTCGCACCCAAAGCGAGAATCATACCCCTAGACCAACGAGCCGCCATATTAAAAACGGAACAAAAGAAGATTACGAAAATCGCTTCAATGCGCTCGGCTATTATGATGTGTTTACTTCCTGTTCAACGATGTTCTGATAAAATTCGAAAACTGAGATGGATTTGAACAACTGATGCAAGTAACTACAATCATTGCGAGTAAGAAATGAGTTACATACAAACCAGTTTGTCTATTATAACTGGATGTTATGCTTAGGGTGAAAAAAAAAACCCATACATTTTTCCTCATGTGATATGCTTACTAGACCTATACATATGTACATGTACATATACATGATATACATATATATATATGTATTAAATTATCCGTTTTTTCCTAAAGTAGTTCTGTACCCCTTACGTATTATAGTTGCATTTTAAGTAAACACACCAAGTTTTGATAACGGTAATCTGATGTGGCTTATTTCTTTGTAAAGATTAATATATATATATATATATATATATATATATATATATATATATATATATATATATATATATATATATATATATATATATATTCGCTATTTTGCTATCTTTTGCAAAGAGGAATAACTCCGAAAATATTTAGGTGGTGTAACCTTGGACCTAGTGACTAAAAAAATCTTAGAAGGGGATGTTGGGGGTTACACCATCCAGGTGCCTTTTCCTAACATACCTGTACATCACTATATGATCTTTTCAGTTTGAGATTTTTTTTGGGGGGGGAGGGGCATATTTTGTTGTTTTTTTTCTCTAATCAGCAAGCATTGGTGAGAAAAGCATTTTAGTCTGGTATTAGAGAATTACTATTTATTTATTTTAGATTGTGAATAATATTTAAGGAACCATATTTAATAAAACAAAGAATAGAGATCTACCTGGAATACCTGCATGAAGAAGACAAGTTGGTGAATTGACTCTCGAAGATACATGCATATGTCCATGGTGTTGTCACGTACTGGTTGTGCTTGATCGCCTTTTTTCCCCGTATTGACCACCTATAACCCTCAACCACAATGGAACACAGACACAAGGAAGCCATAAGGAAAAACTGGACATTCCTCCTAGAAAACATTATTGTAGACGAGCTAATGGACTTTCTTATTTCTCATTCAATCTTGACAGAAAATATGAAGGAGGAGGTTGAAATCCAAAGGACTAGGAGAGAGAAGGCGACCCAGCTTCTATTTATAGTACAGAAGAGGGGGCCCCAAGCCTTCCAGACATTTGTTGATGGACTTAAAGAGTGTCAGATGGGGTTCATAGCAGAAAGATTGGAACAATCTGTTTGATATTGCGAGGCTCAAAGAATTTCAACATGATCTTGTTTTTTTAGTTCAAGACATTATGTATAATGCTAAAGGGGAATGATTTTGATGTGTGCTAGTTTTTTTCAGATATGTCTTATTCCACTGTCACAGTAGATTTGGATTTGTTTACTAAATACTAAGTCACAGTTTAGTGATCAGAATTGAATAAAATATTTTTTTTAATGTTAAATATGTAAGCAGTTCCAGAACTTTTGTGTCGTTGGCATATTGCATTCAAAACGTAATTTATCTATTATCATTATATGTTTGTAAGCTTGGGTTCAGAATGCATTCAATTAAAGCTATATATGGCATGTCTGAGCTAAAATAAAAATACGAGATTGAGTGTAGTTGAACATGATATTTGTTATTTACGTTCAAATTAAAATTTTCACCAATTTTGAACTTGAATAACCCCACGTTTCTATAGTTAAATTGACTTTACACTGTGTCTGATATTTAAATGCGGAGTCGGTAAATAAACGGTTATTCAATATTGTTTTAAATTTTTAATATCTATGAAACGCGATTGATTTAAATTGTGTAATTTACAGAAAAGTCCTATCTTTATATTTATAAAGTAATAAAACAAATAGAAAGATCTTTTTAATTTTAGTTAGTCTGAACTTATCAAAAATACACCATATATGACTTTAACTCTTTGTTGATACATGTCATATATTACATATTTTTCAATTTTCATTAAGAAAAAATATTGCAGGAATGCAAGCCAGCAGATATCTTTTCATTTCAAACCCACCCTCTTGAACCTAATTAAAATAAATTCCTTTAGGATTGTTTGTTAAATACTCAGCTTATTCTTGTTTAAATACAATAAATTATTAAACAAAATAAATCCATGTACTTGTTTCATTATTTATTCTAAAATAAAATATTGAAAATGAAAGTGGAAGCACTTACAATGTGATGAACATGAAGCACTTGATATTAAATGTAGATATTACACACCAGCAAGTGTACAGTCAGTCATCAACACTCAATTGTATTTATACAGCACAGTAATTACTGTAGAATATTAGATTTCTGTGACATATTTACATGTATATGCCAGAGATCAAAGTGTTAAATGGAGAAATGATAGTATAGATGGGAAATAATGATTATTTATAAAGAACACATTCTGTCAACACAGTTTGATTCTACAGCCTTGGAGTAGAGCGTATATAAGGCCAAGATAAGTAAATAGTGAGTTTCCTATTCCAACCTGAGAAAAAATAGGGTAGGTAGGTAGGGAAAACATTTTATTTTATTTTAATATTTTATTGGCAAGCATGCTACCATTTCTCCCATGGGAAATCGCTGTCAAAACATTTCTGATAAATGTGTATAGAATCAGGGACCTATATACTAACGGGATAGGCAACTCTCGCAAGTCTCCCGATATCTCGTAAGTTGCGGGATTTCGTAAGTCAATTTTAATAAAATATATCTCTTTTGCTATCAAGTATTTCAGAATAAAATCTTAATTTATCTATCAAAAAATTATTCAAGATTTGTTATTAGCACTGTTTTCACTCCTTACCTTAGAAGTAATTACATTGTACGTTTATTTAAAAATCAGTGTGGGCCCCTGATCGGCCGTATTTCCGAGAAAACGCCAATTTTGGTGGTTGTTTACTTAATATCTAAATTGTTTTAAAATATGTGCTTTAAAATTCATTAAATATCCATTCCAATACACAAAAAGAATAAATTACATTAATCAGAAAACAAGCTTTTTACTGGAAAAAACGTATTTTGAAAAACTTGCAGTGTTGTGTGTGCCGTTTTGGGTAAATAAACATGGCGCTGAAGGAGTTGCCTATCCCGTTAGTATATAGATCCCTGATAGAATATGCATTTTCTGAAACATAGAAGTGATCGAGATTAGGATTTCTAATAGTGAAAACTGGAATAGTTTACTCCTGGAAAGATATCTGCGGATAATTTTTTAGGGTCGGCTCATATATTTTAGGGTCAGTCGGGGAACCGGAAACAAACTATTTATTTATCTAGGCCTAATCATGATAAATCAATCAAATTGAGAAGGAGTATTCAAGGTATTACAGAAACACTGACCACTTCAATTTTCCACAGTTATGGTCCTTAATTCAACTAAAAATTTGTTTGTTTTTTGTCTACACACTGTTTCTGTTATCTCAGATCCATTCTTTTTCAGTCTGATTAAAATCGGATCCCTCGATCCACTCCCATAACGGATCAAAGGATCTGATTTTAATCAGATTGCTTCTTTTTCACTAAATCATACAATGAAAAATCACAAGTTGAAAATCCTCTCTATCTCCTCCACGTTAATGTTCCCTGGGCTGTTTTTTACGGCCTCCAGGAGTTTTTTCACTGTTGCTTGACGTCCCTCCTTCTGTTTCCAAGTGACAAGCATTTTAAAAATTTGCGTCTCTGCACTGAAGCCATTGTTCATAATGATATGTTGCATCTTTATGCTGTCGATGCCTAGGTATGCTCCCACTAGCTCGAAACCAGCCCCAATATGTTTGCTGACTTCCACAAGTTCTCTCTCTGTTGGAGGCCTGTCTTGAATATTAGCTGTAACATTAGAAAGCAAGAAGGATTTAGGTTAAGATTAGACCTGTAATATACTATTCTCAAGAAAGCCTTTTGTCACCCAGAAAATTTGTTCATGGATACTTGTTACTAGATTTCATCTTTGTGTATGCTAATAAATGCTGTGTTTAATTTATTTTATAAAAAATATACTTGTACAATTTATAAATTTTTCTCTGTTTTCTTTATTCTATCATCATACATGTATATCTATGATAATCATGTGAAAATAACTTGTTTTCTGACTATATCCAATGCAAACATTTCTCTTTTACCAGACTGAAAATTCAGTATTTATGTTTGAAAATTCCAAATAAAAGCTCACCACCTGCCATCAGTTTTGCCTTATAAGTTCTTCATCATCTGGAATCTGGTAAAATCTGAAATGAAATCCATGAAGAAAATTGATGAACGTAATCCAACATAACTCTAAGGCTATCATATATCTTATATTTCAATGGTCTGACAAATTTTGGATAGAAGGCCAGTCCCCAATATCTGTAAAAGTATCTGTTGTATGTTAACTTTCTTTTATACCATGTACCCCTTTATCCCATGGATATCACTCAATGGATATTTTTTTAATGTAACAGAGACATTTATGTGCCTCTGCTGGGGATTGAACCTGGGGCCTCTGGCTTGCCAGTCCAGTGCTGTACCGATTGAGCTAAAGGGTTATCCACTAGCTAGCCCAAGCTAGTAGGATGCCATGTATCTAACACTACCACATAGTCCCCCTCAAGAGAATGAGATGTCCTCATCTCTTTTGGAGTGCTGACACCTGTGGGGCGAAGTTCTAGGGGCAATCACTCTCACCTGCCAGAGAACACCCGGTCCCAAAGTGGGCATTAAATGTAACAGAGACATTTATGTGCCTTTGCAGGGATTGAACCCTGGGCCTCTGGCTTGCCAGTCCAGTGCTCTACCGAATGAGCTAAAGTGTTAATCCACTAGCTAGCCCAAGCTAGTAGGATGCCAAGTATCTATCACTACCACACTGATATCCTACAGTTGTGACGTCACGATGGGTTTTGCGTGAGAGTGCTGAAGTAAAATAAAGTGGAGTCCTATGTGAAAACAGTGTAAAACTTTGATAGTGATGTATACATGGGAAAAAAAGTATCTCCCATATGATTTGAGGATGGATATGATTTTTATCCAACTCGATTTGTGTTTTTTTCTCCTCGCCAAAGCTTGGGGATAAAAAACACACAACTCGTTGGATAAAATCATATCCAATCACAGATCATGGGAGATCAAATATTAATCTAATTAAAATTAAATACTAATGTTACATCATGTACATACAGTGAATATGTGAGCGAATTTAACATCTAATTTTAATTACATTGATGTTCCTAAATAATGTACATCTTAAAAGTATACGATATATAACTCTGAATTTTTTAGACGTGCAATGTAGGACCATACACTTTGCACAGTATATTAAAATTCTTATTTTTGCCTAATATATTAAAGAACAAAGTACGGTTTCAATACAAATTTTGCCCTGTGTTTTTCTTAAAAATGAAAGTAATGTAAAAAATTAAAACTCATGATTTCTGAATCATTGAAATTACATGCAGAAAGATCATACAAATCATTTTTCTCACATGACCTTCTAAATGCTAATTGTGACGTCATAAACTTGTGCATTTTCCCATATTTTCTTGAAAAGTTGCAGAAGACACCAATTTTCAATGGAATTTTCTCTCAGATGATATTGTCCACAGGCATCGCCCACAAAGATTTTGAGATATGTGATTTTTCAAAGAATTTTACACAACATATCCGAAAATAAACGTGGGCGACGGCTGTGGACACTATTTTCTTAAGGAAAATAACCCTTGAAATGGGTCATTTTGAGGCTTTTTCTGTTTAAAATAGAGAAATGCATTAAATTAATGATGTCATATTTCCAGAATGGTACTCTTTCATGCTATATTTTTTCCTGATTTATCACTGTCATATACTCAACAAATGTTTAAGCCAGTTTCAGAAAGTATTAAATTTTTAGGGCACAATAAAGCTAAAACCGTACCTTCCTCTTAATCAAAAGATATTAATTCTTGAATATGAAAAAAAATCCTGGAAATTCTAGCTTAGTGTGTGCATTGTTTTTTGATTAAAAAAAAAACATCTTTGCTTGCCAAGGGTTTCCGATCCAAAGTTGTAGATTTCAGATCGGAAACCCTTGGATAGCAAAGATGATATTATGATAAAAAACGTGATTTCCTCAAATTTACCAGATAACCCTCATATAACAGTATTATATCAAGCAGATACCCTGGTATATTAACCTCTCAGTCCCTTTAACTATTCAATCCTACCTGGGATTATTACTGACAGAAAATTGACAACATGGTTCAAAGTAGTTCCATTTTAGTGATTAATTTTATTTTTAATCCTTAGCTTCCATCTCTTTTCTAAAATTTTAAACCTATAAATTTCAGCTTTTTTTAATCCTTGTATCCATTTCTTACAGTGTCTCAAGCGTACCATGTGTAACCAACGTAACGTGTTCTGCTGTTCATCAGCACTTATTTTACCACCACTATTTTTGCAAATTTTAAAAAGATTTCACGAAAACTTACAATGGACTGATGAAGAATGGTCCTCAATACCTTTTTTCTTGCTTAGAGTAAAAATTCTTCCTGTAAAGACATGCAAACCCAACGTTGACAAAAATCTAATCTACAGATTCAACTTTCGTTTTCGATAGTGGCTCTTCCTTTTTGAAGGTAGATAAGGTCTTCGTAAGCCTGTCGTCAGCAAAGCCGTAAACGGTAAAGATAGTGTGACTGGACGACAGGCTTGAAGCAACATTCTCCATATAGGAATCAAAGGGGGAAAAAAACTCTTCAACCGTGAAAACTCTTCAGCTAAAAAAAAGTGTTGATATTCAGAACTTGAATATCTCCTGATTACACATGCCACTTTAGTTGAACTTCGAGCCCGATGTTTTAACAATGCGTTTACTTTTAAGAAATATTTTTATTTTCTCGGTTCTGATAGTTATTTCAGCAAACGACGTGTGTGATAAGGAAGATAAAGAGTGTAGAGAGAAGACAAGTGAAAAATCAAAATATTCTAAAGGTACTGTTGTTTTAATTTTAAGGTTGCAATCGCATATGCCTGCTGTACCCCTTGTTAGCACTGTGCCCCTTAGAGGCAGCTCTGTTCCTGAAATTTTATCCTAGAAAAATTGGGCCTCTAAATCCTTGTATCCATTTCTTATGAGGTCATGTGGCACAGGGATCATCATGATTATATCATAATCATATATAAAAATTAATATCTGTGATACCTTTGTAACAGGAGAGTGCATTAGTGTCTTTGGGGGAGAAAACCTTTAAGGAGGGAGGAATGTGGTGAGCAGAGGGGTTTAATCAATATATATACACTCAGTTGGTAGAACATCTTACTGAAGATTCAGGGTGCATGGGGTAAAATCCTATTCTGGTCAGTTGCATTTTTCTTCACTCCTTACACCTTACATGCATATAAATAAACATGATCAGAAGACTGACAGTAACAGCATAAGTCTGCTCAACTGGTTAATGTTTACAGTGCATGTTGTATGAAAAAGATACACCTACCTCATTCAGCAAACAAAGGGTTTTAATCATGATTGATTCCCAGAGTATCAGAAACTACTCACACAGTAACTTGCAAATAATCCTGTATATATATTTCCATTTCTATTTGTTTTCTCTGTGATAACTCTTTGAAAGTTAGTTTAGTTGATTTCTTGATCATTCTATCGGAATGTAAATTTCGCCAAGCAATAGGCCAGGAGCTAAGGAAGCCTAATATGCATGTACCTGGTAAATCTTGTGCGTCTGTCTTAGCGTCTGACGCTAAGGAGCCCCAATATGCTTGTAAATCTCATGCGGCTGTCTTTGTGTTTGACGTCAGTGGGCGTGGACTATTGAAATTGACATGGGAGGCTTCGTGTAATTTAAATTGATTAGTAATATTTTTAAAAGCTAATTTAAAATTTTATTTCACAATGGAATGAAAATATAAGGAACCACTGTCTAGTTAGTAGGGTATGCCAGCGACATCAACAATAGTTGGAAACGTGGGATAATTTACGCATAATCCCACGTTTCCAACTATCATTGATGCTCTGGCATACTCTACTAACTACACAGTGATTCCTTAATAAATATATTATGATTTTTATGCAATTTTTCAAATTTTGCTTTGAATCAATGTGCCTGAAAAAAATATTAAATTGTAAACATGAACCAAAAATAATATACACTGTCATTCATTCAGGTAGTCCTAAATTGTAGATGTATCCTGAGAAACATACCTAATAATTATTATTATTAATTTCTGATAGGTATTTATTAATTATCAATTTCTCAAAATGCATCTATAGAACTTAGGACACCCTAAGTAACCATCTGCTTTGTTTCATTGGTCATGATAGGAAATGTTTCCTTAAAGTTTTATTATTTATAAATAACAGATGCAAAGAGTAATAAATGGAAGAAATACCTGAAGAAGATAGAAAAAGCTGTAATGGATTATACGGATTGTTCACAAGAGGACTGCAGCTGTTATAGAAGGTGTGTGCAATGTGAGAGATTCAAAAATTATTCATTAATATGTCTGATGGTGAAATTGTTAGGGCAAATACAGTCAATTAGACTTTTTTCCTGTTTCTTTTTTGACAAGTGTTATTGAAGAAGATTTAACTCCCTGGAAGAGTGGTATTACAGAAGAAGTCTTCAAACAGGCCAGAAGTCAAAAATATGGCTCCCATTATCAAATTATAAATCATAAACTTTACAGAGAGGATGACTGTATGTTCCCAGCAAGGTATCGGTTTATTTTTTAGAGCTTTTTATTATGCTGACATATTGTGGAATCATCATTATTCACGTCGGACCAATGTCCATGAATTCCATGGGTCACCCTTACCCAAGAATGAACATCTCCACAGACCATAACAGTTACTGTATCTACCTGTTCAGTATTTCCGAAATAGTCAATGTACTGAACAGGTAGATACAGTAACTGTTATGGTTTTGTATACATGTATACGAATTACCCACAAAATGACATCCCCACTAACAAGTAAAACTTTGGTTATCCATGAAGATTGACACCCCCCCCCCCCAAATTAAAATGATTCCACAGTATACATGTGTAGTCTAAATATTATACCTATAATTAGCAGATGTATAATTCCTTTCTTTATTTATTCAATTGATGGAAAACTACACAGAGTGCATTATTGCTATTATTTTTTCTTCCACATCATCTGCATGTTAATTGAAAATATTTAGCAAGAGAGCATTTAAAACAAGAATCAATGAATGACCTCCCTTATCACAGGTGTAGCGGGAATGAACACTTTATTCTGGAGGTAATAAAGAAGTTACCTGACATGGAGCTTGTCATTAACACTCGAGACTGGCCACAGATTTCATCTTATCAACAACCCATTCCTGTCTTCTCCTTCAGTAAAGTGGTAACATTCTGTCAATACATGTACATAAAGTTCAAACTACATTTTATGATCATGAAACATGAAATTAAGAACAAAATAGGGTTTAGTTATTTGAGCACTCCTTATTGACTCAGCTCTATTGATTTCTGAATGGTTTGTTTTTGTTCTGAATAAAATTGATTAAAGGAATATAGAACTTCATGTGATTGTGAAAATGGACAGAACAATCATTGTGATAAAAGAGGGATGACACTTAAATTAATATGATAAATCGCTGTGATGAAGGGGAGTAACTCTGATGTGAAAACAGGTTGAAAAGTCAGAGTAGTAAAGGGGGATAACTCTGATATGACAACAGAGTAAAGAATCATGATAAAGGGGGATAGCACTGATGTGATGTTAGATTGAAAAATCACTGTGATTGAGGGGTATAACTCTGATGTGAAGTAGATTGAAGAATCACTTTGATAAAGGGGAATAAATCAGATATGATTCACTGTGGTAAAGGGGGATGACTCTGATGTGATGATTGATTGAAGATTCACTGTGATAAGGGGGATGATAACTCTGATTGCTGTTTATGTTCACATTGCTCTTTCACAGAGGGGGGAGAGTCATGACATCATGTACCCCGCTTGGACGTTTTGGGAGGGAGGACCAGCGGTCTGGCCAATCTATCCCACAGGACTGGGGCGCTGGGACCAACAAAGGGAGATAATTTCAAGGTACAAGTAAAAGGAGGTAAAACTTACTCATCTTCATGCATGTGTTGTATTTTTTGCTCTTTTGAAATTGCATTAATGCCTCTTGGGGAAAAAAAATTAGATATTTAATCATAGAGGTTCAACACAGACCAAAATTGTTGATAAAAATTTCCTAATGAGAAAATATGTATACAAAGTTTAAAGAATTACTTTAAAGATATGAATTATTTGTATGTTTCAAGGTTTTTTTTTATATCAGAGCTGCCAAGAGCTGGCCTTGGGAGAAGAAGAAAAATAAGGGATTCTTCCGTGGATCTCGAACCAGTTCAGAGAGAGACCCCCTGATTCTACTGTCTAGGTCTAACCCAGAACTGGTGGATGCTGAGTACACTAAAAACCAGGCCTGGAGGTCTGAGGCAGTGAGTATTGGGGGGGGGGGGAGGGGAAGGGGGGTGTTACACTAAAAACCAGGCCTGGAGGTCTGTTTCAGTGAGTATTGGGGGAGGAGTACACTAAAAACTAGGCCTGGAGATCTGAGGCAATGGGTACTAGGGGAAAGAGTACACTAAAAAGCAGGCCTGAGGCATAGAGGTTTGATGCAGTGAGTGCTGGGGGAAGGAGAGTTATAATAGGAATATAAAAAAAAGCATATATATATATATATATATATATATATATATATATTATATATATATATATATATATATATATATATATATATATATATATATATATATATATATATATATATATATACATTGTACACATTGTACATGTATATATGTTCTGTCAGATGCAAGGTTCAGATGCTGTATCAGACATTTTATATTTTATGTTTGGATGACTTTGGTAAAGGACAGTATCACAAGTGCTGTACGAACCTCACCTGCACACCCAGTCATTCTTTGATATTTGCATTGGATGCTTCATCTGACCTAAAGTTCAATTCAGTGACCTTGAAGAAGATGGGATTGACCTTATTTCCAGCTTTTAACAAGAGAAATACTTAATGATTGGTTGCAGTTATGGATGCTTTTTTCTGTGCAGTATTTAAATGAACTATAAAGTTTAACTTAACTTGCTAGGTTATCAGCTCAATTTGAACTCCTCTAGTTAATACTATTTATAAAAGTACAAGTGTACACATAATGTAACCTTGCCATAATTCTGATTCATTTTCTTTTCATGCAAGTAAAAAAAAAAAAATTGAACCATTTTTCTCTGGAAGGCAACTATGATATTTACTCATCAACTATCAATATGGTAAAACGAGTTTGTCTTTATGACAGGACACATTACACAGACCCCCAGCAAAGGATATCAAGTTAGAAGACCACTGTGATTACAAGTAAATCAGCAAATTTAATTAATAATTTTAACATGTGACAAAGAAGAAGTGTAAACAGCAATTACAGCTAAGAATGTTTTTTAGCTCACCTGGGTTAAAGGATCAGAAGTGGGTTTTTCTGATCCAAGCGTGTCTGGCATTCCTCTGTCTGTTGTGTGTTATGTATCCTCTGTAAAACTTTCACATTTTCAACATCCTTTTCAGTCTAACTTGAGTAGTTTCAACCAAACTTGACACAAAGCATTTTTGGTTAAAGGAGAGTTCAGTAATATGCAAAAGAATGGCCTCACCCTTTTTAAAGGGGAAATAATAATGAGAATAAGTCATTTAAGAATCCTCTTCTCAAGACCCACAGGGCCAGGGAGGCAGAGTTAGAGGTAAGATTTGTTATTGAGTATAAATACAGTGGCGCCTTGTTAATCCGGATGCCTCCGTCCCCAACGTAATCGTCCGGATAAATGAATCGTCCGGATAAGTGAATCATCTCTTAAAAGACCCTTTATAATTAACGCCAGTTACATATTTCTTTTCTAAAGTTATGTTCATTAATAGACTGTAATGCAATAAATAGAAAGATATTTTCTTGAATTATATATCCTTATAAATTGTCTTATGAAAAGAAAAAAAGCATTTCAAATATATGTACGTTTAGAGAAATGGAAAATCGCATTTTGTTAAACTTATACGCAGCTCAAGACCGCAACAAAATCTATTGATTTATTTTTTAATTATTTTATTTACAACTCTCCGAAATTCTCATAAATTGTTATACCGTTAGCAATTATATTCTGAAAGTATTTGTATTTACAATATAAGCTAAATTCTTTGAGCTCCATAATATAATAGTCGCCCGCGTGGCGCAGTGGTTAGAGCGTCTGCTCTAGAGTCGCGAAGTAAGGAGTTGATCCTTACGTCGCGGGTTCAAATCCCACTGTGGGACGTGGAGACCGGTCCTTCGGATGAGACCGTATAAACCGAGGTCCCGTGTCGCAGTAGGTGCTGGCACGAAAAAGATCCCTCACTGCTCAATGGCCGTAAGTGCCGAGTATAGGACAAAATTTGCAGCTCTCCACCGGCAAATGGTGGCGTCTCCATATGAGTGAAAAATTCTCGAGAGGGACGTTAAACAACATACAATCAATCAATCCATAATATAATAGACGCATGTTTTATTTGGGGTAAACACACACTAATTATAGACGCTATTGTTTGGAGGTCACAGGTAACCATCTTCAAACTTACTTCACGGACAATGTTTTTACAACAATTATCACTACTGCAAGATAGGTGTGAAAAAGTCGTTCCTTGAAAAAGTATCATCCGGATAAACGAGTCATTTTTCAATGAAATATTACGTTTTGTAGTAGAAATTGACCGTCCGAATCCGGAACGCAAATTTCCGGATTAATGAGACAAAATAATGAGGAAAAAATCGGTTCCCAAAAAATATTGTCCGGAAGGTGAAGCGTCCGGGTTATTGGCGTCCGGATTACCGCGGCGCCACTGTATTATGTTTGTTCAAATTATGACCCCAAGGCTTCTTGTCAATTATAGGACAAAGATTTAAATAGAAACATCAGAAAAAAATCTTTTAAAATCTTTCTTGAGAACAGCAGAACCACCGATAGTAAAGAAAATATGCAAACAAGTACATGTAGGTTGTAGTAATATTTTCTCAGGTGAGCAATGTGGTCCATGGGCTTAGGTTAACTCTTGATCAGGAAGTAACCTGTACCATTCTATATAATACATTAATGTTATTTAATATTTAACTTTCAGGACATTTCTTTCATTATCTATTTAACTTTTTGGACATTTCTTACAGGTACTTATTTAACTTTCGGGGGGTCGCTGCCAGCTTCCGTTTTAAGCATCTGTTTCTCTGTGATTCTGTAGTCTTCCATGTAGGGAGTGCCTGGTTAGAATTCTTTTATCCTGCCATGAAACCCTGGGTCCATTATATTCCAGTCAAAGAGGACCTCTCAGATGTTGTGTGAGTATTATAAAACTGTTCCCTCAACAAATGTACACTTTGTTAAACTACCTCAACAAATGTACACTTTGTTTAACTAGAGTGGACAATTGTTAGCGTAGTTAATTAATTAATTACTATATAGCTAGTTAATTAGTAAGTCATTCTGAGGCTGCTGTATATACTGTTTACTTTAAATAGAGTTTTGATCTCCGCACTAGAGTTTCCTGCACACCAAAAAGCTGTGGTAGTCTATGATAGTTGTATATACTGTTTACTTTAAATAGAGTTTTGATCTCTGCACTAGAGTTTCCTGCACACCAAAAAGCTGTGGTAGTCTATGATAGTTTGTTATGGAACTCCATACAGTGTATATATTTCTTGGATTTAAAAATTTAAATTTTGCTATGAAATAATTTGCAAAAATAGGAAGTGTACAATAACATGCCTATACTGTAACTGGCGCTCTGAATGTGACCAGGTGTAAGTGTTAGAAGCAGCTCAGATTTAGATACAGAATGTGATTGTCTGGAGAAGTAGTCTGCTTAGATATATCGTATAAAATTGATATATTGTAGATATTTTTACTTACATTACTGGGTATTTTACAGGGAACTTTTGGAGTTTGCAAAAGAGAATGATGATGTTGTCCATGAAATAGCCAAAAGGTAAGAAGAAATGTACAAGGCATCTAAATATATAACATTCACTTAATTTTGAAATTCTAGAATATTTTTATTGAAAAATGACCACTTTAACTCTTTACATACACTTAATGTTCACGTCACAGAAATGTGAAGTTACCTTTTCCCCGTAAGCACTTTATAGCGAGGCACAAGTTTCTCTAAAGTTTAGCGTAAATAATTATTTTGTAATATTTTAATAAGATTATAACTTTTCTTATTTTATGAGATTTTAGCAAGTATAAATTAGAAGGGAATTGGCATTAAATTGAAGATTAAATTTACTTTTGAAAGTGCGTGAAAAATGCGTGATTGCGGGGAAACGGTATATGCGTGATTTTGCGTTAGAAATAGGAAATGGTTTATGCGTTAAAATGCGTGACTGCGGGGAATATTATTGAATGGCAAGCAAATGATTTCATTTCACTGTACTGTGAATCTGTGGTGGAAGTATTGGCCTTTTATCTTACATGTATGTTTACAGTTTGTCCCAAGAGTTTTCATAATTTGTTTTAAACATTTATTGTCGTTACATTATCTCTGCTTGTTTTTCATTTATTTTAATTTATTGGAAAAAGTGAAAAATAAAAGGAAAACATTTACAGGAAACTTTTGTCTGTTCCTGATTATATTCGTCACTTTATTGAGTTCTGTTATTCTATAATAAAATTCATTTAGACGTAAAGCTGCATGCCCTCTATTTTATTTCTTTACAGAGGTCGACAGTTTATTTGGGATCATCTCAGAATGGAAGACATCTCCTCTTACTGGGAAACTCTACTTAAAAAATATGCCAAACTGTTAAAATTTAAACCTAAACGAAACAAGAGTTACTCACAAATTAAATAATTTATGAACATTACTACTAAAGAAATACACCAAACTTTTAAGATTTAAACCAAAATGAAACAAGAGTTTCAAGCAAATCAAATAATTTATGATCATTTCTCTTTTGATAGTTTTTTTTAAATAGTCTTTTATAATTATTTTTTTTTATACACAATGGTTAGTGGATTTATGTTGTAGTAAATTTTATCTCTGCCATGTACATGTATGTTATATCCTTTTGACCTAGGGGCATTTTTAGAGGTGCGTGGCCATAACAAAATAAAATGGATGTAAAATTCTAGGTTTATATTGCCATGAGTGATTTTGTGGAGGACCACCATAACATTATAAAACAGATATTGAAAAAAAAAACTTTTTTATAGTCGCATTGTACAGTACATGTACATGTAAAAACGAGTAATATTTTTTCATTTCCCTATATATTCCGTATAAACTTTTCATACTTTTATGAATTATCTTGGCACAATTGTTCCAGAGTTGATGTAATTTTTCTGAATGATTGCGTTTCAGTACACTATACACCTGCTAGAATAAAATTATTTGAAGTCATGAAAACGTTTCTTACATAAAATATTCAAATGTCACGATACCATGTCAACTTTTGTTGAGAGTATATTTCAGTATGTTAATAACAAGTTGTAAAAACAGCTGTAATGTATTTTAAATATGCAATATTATGTTTGATGTATTTAAATGGTACAGTTTTCTTCTGTAATTTTTTCTCTCTATATTTTGTTATATAATACATATATGTAATATAGTGTTGAATCGATTGAATTTGTTAGCTTAGTGTGTTAAAAAAAGATCCAGATTTGAAAAAAAGATAAATATATCCTCTTTAATTATTATGCTTAGGCTGTCCTCCAGGAAATCACCCTAGGCTGTTTGAACTCGGTTTTTATATCCTGTTTATTATGTTACTGCCACCAAAGGATAATTTAGATTTACATGCCATATACATGTATCAGTCTATCTATCTTCATATGTATTTTATATAGCTAAATTTCATTCTGGTGGAATATTTATGCCCCCCTTTGAAGAAGGAAGGGTATATTGCTTTGCTGCTGTCTATCAGTCGGTCGGTCTTTCTGTCAGTCCACCAACAGTTTCCATTCATTTTCTTTGCAGAGGTTACACATACTGATTGAAATGAAATTTGGTATACAGATTTATCATAAGAATATCTAGGTCAACTTCTCTTTTGGGTACGATCAAGCAATTTTTGACAGAGTTATGCCCCTTGGACTTAGAAAAATTCCAATTATTGGGGGGGGGGGGGGGGATAAGTGTTTCACAAACATTTCTTGTTTACTTTCAAACATGCAATTGCAATTATCATAAATTACAAAAATGATAATCAGCTAATTTAATGATGTTAGAATGTTGTCGGTAGGAAATGTGTGATTGTGAAATCCAGAGTTTAAGGTCAAACGATACGTTCCTCAAATATCTGTTTTGCAAGTCTTCGTAATGTATGAAAAATATTCAAAATTTTAACTACCTTCTGATTTCTTAGCAGGTTTCTTACTATCTTAAAATAATCGAAACACTAAAAATGTGATATTGACATATAAAGATTTTCCCAAAAGGATAAAATAGGAAACATCATCCTCTGGTATCTTGCACAAATGCCTGGTAAGGTACCTCAATTTTTTGTGAGTAAACATGTTAAAGTAGCAATACTTCAATGACAAAATATTAGAAAAAATTATATATTATTGAGGAACGTATCGTCTGTCCTTAATGCAAAATCCATTTACATCAGTTCCTTCTTTAGATTAAACTGACAGTTGCATGTACACTATTTCTTTTCATGTACATTTAAAGTACAGATAAGCATATAGATTTGACTTATTCGTACCTAGATTTTCAAAAAATTATGATGGGCTTCCAATTTATACAGCAATTTTATTGTTCAGATAACAAGATTTTGTTTTCAATAAATAATACAGTTAAGAGTTTTCCAGTTTGTGTTATATGTAGCTGTACTGGATGAGAGAAAGAGGTTGCGTACGTAATGATAAGGTGTCCATTGTTTGTCCACCCATATCAGTGTCAGTCCATTTGTAAACAATTTTAGAAAATACTAAGAAACAGTTTAGGTCTGATTTCAAAAGAAATTGGTTCACAAGTGGACTAAATATATTGCTGCGTTTACTAAAAATAAAAAGATCTTAAATTCTCTGCAAATTTCTCTGATTTAAAGCTGAACAAGAATCATTAAAGGTAGAGATCTATGTTTATCTGCCATATTTTTCTCTATTTTCTTTTAGCTGACTACTGCCCCTATATAAGCTGTTCACTTAGTTTCGGTATAGTGTAATCAGTTTTCACCTGTGTGGATGGACATATTCTACATAGCTATTGTAAAGCTCTAGGTAGCAACAAAAGTAAAGGTGAGCTTCTTCCACAGCAGAATAGAAAGTTACTAAAGAAACTAACATCAGTTGCACAGGTCAGTGCAGTACAAACAAACGCAAATACATGTAAACTACAATAAAATGTAAACAATGGTATTGTAATGTAAGAAAGTCAACGCAAACGTGTCCATTCCATGCAGGTATCCATGACAAGAAAGCTGTCACGTGTAACAAATGCGTAGGTAATAGCCCAGTTCTGATATCAGAGATAGGAAAACTTATATGGCGTGTGCCTATTTACGAGTTGTGTTCAGCTTTAAATGTTAAAATTATATAAATTCAAAATCAAGTTTAACATTCCTCCTAGGTCATTCACAGTACTGACAGTTAAGGTGCCCTATGGAAATATTGGCCTTTTTTTTAATAAAAAAGTATTCTTAATCAGGGTGGCGATTCTTTTTAGTACTTATCTAATATTGGACAAATGTTATTTAGGTTTTTAACTATATTTTACATATTGAGGATGATTAGATTTTTTATCTAGACTTGTAACGTGATGTGGCAGTCATATGTGATTTTGGCACATATACCAGTTTACTTGCATTATTGAGGATACTGATAAATTTCAGTAGTGCAAGGACATAACCAAGATAAAATTGAAAATTTAGTTTATATTTTCAACACCCATATAGTTTGTGAAAAGTGCTGCGATCCAATACAGATTATCCTATTTCATTGTTAAAATTATAGTTGTACGACTGCATGCTGAATTTTTTGCTGGTCAACTGCATTAAATATAGAAATAATTCATTTTCAGGATCTCGCCAGGATCGCAGCACTTTTCAAGTAGCTTAATACTTCTAGAGTCTAATGTGTAAAATGCTTACTATGATCCTTTGAGTGTATGCCCTTGCCCTAGAACAATTTATTAAGACCCTGTGAACCATACTTGATTCATCAGTCTAGAGATTGAAACCTAATCATGACAAGAAATTTTGCAAGTGAAAGAAGGTTGTGAAACTTTCGGATATATCTCGCACGTGAAAGAAAATGTTGGTTTACATCATTTTTTCAAACTTTATATAGTGACAGGTGAAAGACCTGCCAGGGAAGAGTCTGGGTTGGTGTCTTCAGGGGGCCGAAGACCTTTAAGGAGGGAGGAATGTAGTGGTCAGATGGGTTCGATCACTGGTACCAGACAACTCAGTTGGAAGAGTTCAGTTCAGGGGGCCTGGTTTTGAATCCCAGGTTGGTCTGTCTCTACTCCCCTCCCCCCCCCCCCCTTTCACAAATAGAAATTCTTGATCTTGTTTACAAAACCTCACATACCCACCCTCAGGGTAAAAATTAAAGATATCACTGTACATGTCCTTTCACTGAACATGTTTTGTTGCTAAATGATCAACTGCTGGAAGTACAGATACATGTATTGTTAAAAATAAGTTAATTGAACTGACATAAAAATAACAGAAAATTTTGATGAAGTGTTTATTGCTGTCAATATAAACTTGTGGATGTATATTTCAATATACATAAACATATATATACATGTTTATGTAGACATTTCAACAAATGTGATAAAAATTTTCTAGTGCAGCTAATGACCTTGAATTGTTGATGCATGCACACAACCTTGAAAACATCTGGCACACTCAGATAAATTCAACCCATAATGAATTGATTCTAAAAGTGGATCATGTTTACAATGTTTGCTTAGAAACACAAGAATCTAGATATTGGAGAATCAATACATACACACAGCTGAAAGAAAATCCCAGAAAATTAATGAAAGCTGTAGAACTCGGTACAATGCAGATAAGATCTTAAGTGTTTTTTTACAATGAGTCATTTTTTCATCATGATTGTCTTTCAATGTGCATTATCTTTCAGAATTACCTTATTAAATACCAGATGTCCACCCCTCTCTGTTATTTTTTAATCTGAAAATGAATAGGCACTTATATTTTGACTTGTAAGAAGCATGTTTATAGATAATCTTAAATCTGATTTATGCAAATCATCCCTTTCAGATTCTACATTCAAAGAAACATATTTATGTTGCATCCCCTTTCTCCATAGATGCATACATGTATCTAAATGAATACTGTATAAAACCTGGGTCTTGCATTGATTCCCATGATTATGGTTGTTTTGTTTGTTATTGTCAATGACAGAAGAAATACGCATGAAAAAAATCATGCATGTAATAAATATTGTTAATATACTGTATTCTAAATGTAATGAAATTGAGCTCAAAAATAGATCATGAATGATTATGACATGAAAACAAAATTATAACTGAGTATAACAACAAACAACAACTTTTATTCCCAATCATCTTCATCATCATCCCCACCCCCAGACTTAGGAGGTGGGGGTATCATTGATGAAATTTTGTCCATGGCTCCACCTCCCCCTGTTGGTGGTGGGGGTGGGGCATCTGAACTGTCAGTCGCTCCTTTTCCCCCTCCCCCGCCCCCAGAAATCCCCTTTCTTCTCATGGTCAGTCTGCTGAAGAGGTCACTCATCAGGTCCCCACCTCCCCCACCACTGGGGGCGGCCGCTGCCTTCTCCTCCTTCTTTTTCTTCTTCTCCAGTTTTCTATCTTTGGCACTCTTTAACTTTGCTCCACTGACCCCACCCGTCTTACGTATGGCATCAAGTAAACTGGACCTAGAGTCACTTGGAGCGGTCACTTCTGCAGGGGCTGATTCTGGCACACCACTTGGTGGTGGCGGTGGTGGGGGTGGGGCATCTGGAGCAGGGGGTGGTGGTGGGGGTGGAGGTGCACCTGGGGGTGGGGGAGCTGGTGCAGATGGGGGAGGGGGAGGTGGGGGAGCTGCACTGGGAGGAGGGGGTGGTGCTGCACTGGGTGGGGCTTGGGATATTTCTGGAACAGAGGGAAGTGTTTCTTCAGGTACTACAGAGGGTAGGTCTGGAATGATACTGCCCAGGACTGAGGGAGCTATGGATTTTTCCTGGTCAACCGCAAAGGAAAGATCATCAGCAACACCTACAAAATAAACGTAAGAAACATGAAGTCTGACAGTTCTCCAGTATACACATGTAGATCAAACACTTTTTACATATTCTTTTTCCCATGACCATATATCTATTCTGAACCAGCTCTTCAACAATTACACAATCTCTAGTTGTTAAAGGTTTTCCATACAATATCCACTCTTGGTTTTGTACAATATTCAGAAATGGCATGAAGGTATTACAATGTGTTAGGCCTTTCAAAAATGTTGGGATTTTTCACTGGTATAATGCCCTTTATATAGAACAGCGTTTCTAAGTTCTGGATTATTCCTAACTTTACATACATGTATGTCATTATAAATTGCTTCCAGAGAAAGAAAGAACAATGTTCTATAATTACAAGGGTATTTCTATTTCATCATAAGTTGATACCTGGTAGATTGGGTAGGAATTCTGGGACTGCTATCTCCGGGAAGTCCACGATCACTGGCTTGAAGGAGATGTCGTCCACTCTCTGTCCCTGCAGTCCCTCGTTTGTGGTGATGGTGGTCGGCGCGGCGTCTATTTCACTCTCCTCCTCAATCGCAGTGCGAGTCTTCTTAACCACGCCCAAGGGATCAAGCATTGTGTACTGTTTATATCTGTAATAAACAGAAGAAATAGTATTGGTACTTGGGGTAAAATACCTTGAGGTATCACAGACCAATGTGTTGAGGAATGAAAATCACTGCTGCAAGTGTCATTTCATTATAAGCACGTTCGCTATAAGTGTGTTTAACTGTAAAGTGTGCCACAACTGTTTTTTTTTTTCCTTGCATAAAATGAGTTTCACTATAGGCCTATCGTATCAAGATTGTATGTTTAATTCAAAATCTGTTCATTTACATATCCTTATTATCCTTTTGCCCATACTTTTTACTGTACGTGGTATATTTCTAATGAGAATGTCATTGAAATAAATTAATTTGAAGAGTGGGTGGGTAAGAAGAGGGCACACTTAAAAATCCTGTACTTTTTTTTTAAAGGAGGGAGATTAAAAATCAGTAAATAATCCAAAGAAGTAACAAGTAAGTTGCATTCTTAATCAAATTTTACACACGAGCTTAAGATCCTGTTAACGCAGACATTGTATCCCTGTATTGTAGGGGTTGTGAAACTATTTTGGACTTCCCCCACAATAGGAAATTCTTAATTTGTCCCTGTCTTAAACATGTTAAATAAAGAGAATAATGCATATATACTAAAATCCATATCATATCAGCCCAAGTGCTATGATATATGATATGAATTTGAGTCGATGTGGTATTCTATTTATCATATATTTAAAATATGTATGTAATACGCCAATCCAATTTAAGTCCTTTCTTTAAGAAAGTTTCATGTCTTTTGACCCTTTTCTTCAAAATCTAATAGTCTTAAAGCCAATTTTAGCATATTTAGGTCATTTTAAAACTAATCAAGTCAACAAATTTTAGTTTATGAATTGTATTACATATACATTATATATAATTCAATGAAATTGAGGTAATTAACTTTTAAACATTATTAAAACATTATTTCCAGTTTGATATGGATTTTTGCATGCCAGCATCTGATATGTGATATGGGTTTTTGGACCGGTCGTTGATATGAGGCATTGTGATGTCACTCAATCTGACGCACAGTGTGGAATCGGTATATTTACTACTAAGTACATGATAATTATACCAGACATAATGTATACTTACAGGTTTTCTGACGTATTAAACAACAACAGAGAGCTGATGGAGGGTACAGATTTGGGTAATCCCCCGAGCCCATCTCTCAAATTAGCGTCCTCTTTACGCTTTAACTTCAAATGAACATTGTAGAATTGTAATTTCTCCCTCAATGATTTATCATCAAGTCCTTTGTGTTTAGATGTCACTTTGTAATGAGGTCTTTTAATCTCTCGCAGCCCATTGGTGCTCTCTAAGGGAAACATTATTTGATATTCCTCTAAATTCTCAGCAGCTGGGTATTTTGCTGAAGCGAATACTTTCGTAGCTTTATTACTTCCCTTGATTTTGTCTACTTTTGCCTGAGCTAAACTTATTCTATCATTGACCCTTTGAAGTTTTGTTCGATTTTCACTGATCTTGGTGCCGATTCTTTTAAATACTTCATTTGCCACTTGATCTAAATAGTTAAGGGAATCCGCAATCTGATGGACTGTCTCTTCTCGACGCAAGTCCGGAGGGACATTTGGAATATTGAAGCTTTGGCAAGACATCTCCGGCATTTAGGTATGAAGTAGAAATCTGGAAAAAATCTTCAACATAAGTTACATATTTCTAAACCAGTGGGTTTTTTTTCATATAAATTAATTAATATTCATCTCCCTTCAAATTAGGCATGGTTAATGCCTGAACCACTGCCCAGGCTTGACCTTTTATTTAATATAAAAATTACAAATTACATGGTTGTTAGTAAGTAAATATAGACTAATAACCTAGGAAAGGTCTTTAGTCAATTGTAGGTACTGATCCATTGTGCCTTTTTTAAGTTTAAAAAGCATATATTTAGTGTGTTGTTCTTAAATAATTTGAATCATATTAAAACCTGTCCCTAAACTTCAGAGACAAGTTTTAATATGATTCATTTAATAGAATAATTAAAATAATAAAACAACACACTAAATATATGCTTTTAATTAAAACTTTTTAAAAATCACAATAGATCAGTACCTACAATAGTCGAATTCTTAGAAAAAGACCTAACGACAACTGACACGAGTTCAATGACAGAAAAAAAGTGGGCGTCATCACATGACTGACAAAACTTTATCAATAATGAACAATGACAATTGAATGAAGTTTTGAAGAAGTATTATTTTTAAATAACAGTAAGGTGACGCTCCATGCTTACCCTATAGTTAAAGCGTTTTAAGACTCTTATAAGGTAGGGAAAAAAAAAAACAAGGAAAATTGAAAGTCATATATAGTTCCGTTACCTGTGTGTGTTTAGGCCGGAAGTGCTTATATTTTCTATTGTACAGAACCTAGCAGAACGGAATACACATTTCCAATTTTAAAATCATGATTTGATCTACCCTGAATCGTGCAGAACTAATAAGGGATCGATCTATTTTATAACTTTAAAACTGTTATGTGAATATTTACTTTATAAAGTTGATCTTTAAAAAAAAAAGAAGAAGAAGAAGAGGCCCATGGGCCACAACACTCACCTGAGTAACTTAAAACCTGTTCTTAAAAGAATCCCCCCTCTTTATTTTTGTGAAAATCATGACCCCATACTGTGGCCCCACCCAGACTCTAAGTGGTCTCTGAATCCACACATGGAGATGGTGCTTGAATATCTTTATTTTCTTAAACATTACGATCCTTCCTGTTATGTGGAGTATATTTTTTCCCTATTATGCAAACTTTATTATCAATATTACTAATCAAGGCCCCTGCTGTATTTGAGAAGATCGAACCCCCCCCCCCCCATATATTCCCATACAGAACTTAATGAACTTTAAAACTTAGAACCCGTAATGTAGCCCCACCTTACTCCCAGGGTCCCGGCGTAATTTGAATAATTTACTGTAGTATCTACAGTTAAATACAAATTTCATTTTTCCTGGTCAAGTGGTTCTTGAGGAGATACATTTAAAAAAAAATGTTCCATTAAGTTTCCATGAAATCTATTGAATTTGTGGCCCTACCCTCTCCCCGGGGACCATGATTTGAAAATATATTAATATCTTAAAACACGCGAATCTAAAAGAGGGGGAGGGGTATTAAAAAGATATGAGGAGTCATGCATTTGAAGAAAATTGACTTTTCTACTTGAAAATTGATCAACAAATATGATTTAGGATAAAAAATATAGGTATCCAGGCATTTGGAGAAAATTGCATTTTTTTAATGCTTGTGCAGTATTTTAGTTCTTTTTACTTCAATTGTCATATAATATAGACATCACATATATAAGAACCTAAACTGGATGTTGTTAGATCCTAATTATGTTTATCTACATGAGCAGGGATCAAAAATATCTACATGTATTTTAATCTGATTTCAAAACTACGGAAGCCGGTAGGTGCCAGGTATAAAAAAAATATTTTATCTGGCGGCCGCCAGAATTTTTAAGGTATCTAGCGGCCGCCAAATAAATTTCTGGCGGCCGTCAGATAACTTTGTGGCGGCCGCCAGATAACTTTGTGGCGGCCGCCAGATAACTTTTCTGGCGGCCAATCCCATATACCATCCAGTATTAATAATTCTTTATTGAATAACTTTAAGCCATACGGCCCATAAGCATTAACAAAATAAACGTCATTATGAATATTGCTACAACACTTCAATCCCAAAACATGCACACTAAGAACGATAACTCCCACCCACTGATACTTATACACATCACAATACTCTGAGTTATTTCCCTTAGATCATTACCGGGAGCCAAAAATTGAATAAATTTGAATTTGCACTATACCTGATGAATCATGAACATTAACATGACTACTTATGCCGCAGGTTTTGGGGCCCAACTTAGACGAGCCCACTTTTGATCTTAGTCTCACCTTTTAGCTATTTATTTCTTTGGTAAAAGTGAGACTGAGATCAAAAGTGAGTGTTGTATACAGGTATATAGGAATGAGGAATGGCAAGTTGAACAATGGGGTGTCGATCGGATCCCGCATTTTTTTTTTCAACTTGAGCCACATTACTTGAAATTTTAAAAAAATGTAATAAAATGCTTTTTCTATTTAAAGCAGCAGCACTTTCCAGAAACTACAAGATATGTAGAAAATATTCGTCGATTAAAATTTGAACTTTAATTGGGATATGCCGATGCGATATTGCAATTTGTATATGACCTCCATGTGGTACAAATTTTACTTGACTGTCAAATCAGTTGCCCAAACCATTTCAGAATAGGGTATACTATATGTTATTTCATTTCTTTGCTGTGTGGTATTTAACTAGCAAAAATGAATGCAGTGGTGAGTTTTGATGTAAGTTAATTGATACTTTTATACAGTTTAAAATTGCAATAGCTAATTATTTCATTTTCTGTTATGTTGATAAGTTGTTATATTTTTGCGTGATGTCACAGTAAACATTTCCCGTTAAAAGTAGGCCTGTATCCTTGTTCAAGCCTTGATATAGTGCTGGGTTTCCTTATTTATTCTTTTTTTTAAATATTAACTTCACTCATGTGCAGGGATGCTTTGTGAACAATTTGGTTGATATTGGTCCATGCAGTAGTTCTGGAGAAAAAGTTGAAAATGTGAAAATTACAGACGACATACTGTCGGATGACTTAACAGATAACAGACTGTCGGGCGACTTTACAGACGACAATCTGTCGGACAATTTTACAGACGACACGACTGTAGGAGGAATTTACAGACAACAGACTGTCGGACGAGTTTCAATTACCGCTCACGGTAGCTCAGTCGATAGAGCGCACGCTCCGTGATCGGGAGGTCGTGAGTTCGAATCTCGGGCGCGACTGACCTAAGTCGGTAAAAAAATGGATAGCAACTGTTCCTTCGCCATGCGCTCGGCACTTTGAAGTGAAAGTTGCGGGTCCATCGGATGAGACCTCAAAAACCGAGATCCCGTGTCACGGCAAACGTTGGCATGATAAAGACGGAGCCCTCACTGCTCACTGGTCGTAAGTGCCGAGTAAAGGCCTTCACCGGTATATATGGTGACGTCTCTATATGAGTGAAAAATTCTCGAATGGGACCTAAAACATCACACAATCAATCAATCAATTAGAATCTTTAGCTCAGGTGAGCTAAAAACTCGCTCAATCAGTAGCTCGAACCCAGTTGATACTGAAATATTGATAGACTAAAGCTTTGCATGATCCCATTTTAAAATCAATAAAAAATGCATGTATATGAAAAAAAATAATTAACTAAGTAAACAGATTTCCAAGTCAGATTGGTTAAAACCTAACTTGAGGACAGAGAGTTAAAATATATATATAAAAAAATCATGACAATGATTTATTGAATCCGACCAGGCCAGATTTCAGACTATGCCTTGATCGCATGCGTATTGTGTCATAGCTGCACCGTTTAAAATCCACGTGTTGAATGTTTATCGATAGGTTCTCAGCCCCGTTACCTTAGTTGACCTACTAAAGCTTTTTTTCGCCTGGTTGCAAGAGGGACAAATAGCATAGGTTCCAGGTAGATAAGTTCACCAAAACTGCGCTACAAGTAGAGGTATAGTGTGCATACAAGAAGAAGAAACATGGCGAAAGACACCAGGAAAGTCGTCATAGCAATGGACGGAAGCTACCACTCGGGATATGCTTTTCAGTGTAAGTATAGTTTTCTTTACTTATGTCGATCCATGGGACAGTGACCTAGGTCATTAGGTACGAATATAAATGTATGTCTCATCCATCTTGAAATATGGGTCTTTAGTATAAATCTGTATGGATACGTATAAATCTGTATGCGAAAATCTCGATTGTCTTGCTGTCTTTATATGCATATAGTATGTTTACAAATTTACACCTGACCTACCAGCGTAATGATCAGTGAACACCTTGATTTTATTTTTTGTTTTGTTCTTGTAAGGTGCAAATCGATATCAATACTGTACATTATCTGTTAGGTCGGGGCAACTTTCGGGAATAAGAATTAGGGGGGACGACATCTTGTACAATGTGATTCTGTTGCGCCAGGCAATCCAAAGTCGGAAATATTGTTCTCTATCGCGCACAGACAAGGAATAAATTAGATATGCATTGAAACATGTGCTAATATATTCTGTGTTAAAATTCTGCATCTACAAATAAAGATATACAAATATATTTTACCTGTGTTCAAGTATCATTAAATGTGTACAGGAATAAATGTAGGTTCAAATTAAAATACTTGTTTTTTAAATGCTTATAAATGTACTTCAGTTCAAATATTAATATACCTCCAATTGAATTGCCCACATATTTTCAGTAATAGTCAAGTCAAAGTTCACTTTAATATTCACCCAAACCAAACTTGATACATGGGGTACTAATACTAATAATATAATTACATACATTTCATACAAACTGGTCAGAGGTACATACAAAACAAAACATGGCAGAAAATATAGATAGGCTAAGTTCAATGTCACTTTTCATGATTTAAAGATGGGTGCCCAAGCACAATTCAAATTCATTTTATGATGTATAATTTATACTTTGTAATGGGACCAATGCATTTAAGAAAAAAGTATCTGTTAATTTTGCTTTCAGTGGGCATCAAATTGCAAATAATAAGGTGCATGTATTGTTTATTAAATATATAGACATAGCCCCAAACCATGACCCTGCAGTGATAAATTTAGGTCATGTGTACAGTTTGCCACAAGTGTTAGACTGGCTGACATCGGAGCCAGATAATTCACTAATACTGAAGGATGTACAATAGTCCAAGAAAATTAAATGGCACCATATTTTATACATGTATGATATCTAATGTGTGGTTTGTTTGCCAGAATTGCAAGGCTTTTAGAAAATATTTATTGAAGTGGTGACAGTTGGTATAAATACCTTTAACCTTAAAAAAATATATACTTTTTTTAATTTCTGATAAAAATATATAATATAGCTTAGATATTTAATATGTTTAACTTTTATTTTTCAGAAGCATATTGGATACAGTTAATGACATGTTTTGAGCCATGATTTTTATATCTGATCTTGTGTTTTGAATTGTTGGAAACAAAATCCATATTTTCTTAAATATTCTAACAGCAGTATAGACAACAGGAATAGATATTGATTTTTAGCATTTCAATTTCTTGATCATACAAAACACTTTGGAGTATAATGATTTTTTTTTTCACCCTTGACCTATGACTAATTAATTCTTATTTTTCACTTCTAAGATGAAATCAAGTTTGAAATAAACCTTACATGAGTACATAAAATACCTTTTATCAGTGGTTGCCATTGCAGGAAAAGTATTTGGAATAATTCAAATGAATGTGTTGTCATGACTATTACATAGATATAAAAGACTTTTTTAATGCTTAATCTGAACCTGTTGGAAAATCTGGATCCGCCCATGAATATACATGAGATGATGTTTTGATTTGTCCCCCATCAGCAAGCTGTCACACAAATACTTGGTCTGTTCCTGTGTAAAGCTGTAGTTTTCAAACAACAGGGCTGATCTAACTGGCCTTAATTAAAATATGAAAATCAATATTACATCATGCACATTACGGTATGCCATGACAGACTGCTTCTCAATGCAAATTGCATTCTAGTCATGCACATTTCATATTTCTATTTCTATGACTGCTGTTTATTAAATATTTAGTTTTTTTAAAAAAACCATTTCTTGATCATTAATTTTTTTTTAGAAATGCTTTACTCATCAAAAAATGGCTGCCGTAAGCAGAGTATTGATATGGCGAAATGCTGATTCTATTTTAGCGAGATGCTAATTTGGACGATTAGTTCTTGAGCGCCGTTCTATCATCAAAATGCTTAATGGCTACGGACCCAGTTTTACCTGTCTTGAAACACGGTTAGATTATTCTAAACAGAGCTCCAGAATTATAATCTCCCAAACTGTGAAGATTTACCAAAATTTTAAAGACAAACGTTTATATACATGACAGACAATATATTGTATTGGCAGATAAGTCACCCCCCCCCCCTCCCTTGGGGGGGTCGTTTTAAGATGTGTCACAAAAAATTCACAAATGAGTGTAAAATTCTGAGATGAACAATTGAACAGCAATGCATTTTGAGCACATTTCAGGCCCGTAGCAAACATTTTCAAAGAGGAGGGGGGAAGGCGGGCAACGTGCGAAAGAATTTGACAAGCCCCCCTCCCCCCCCCCCCCCCAAAAAAAACAAAATCAAAACAAAACATAAAGTATTCAAACTCTGAAATCTTATTTCATGTGTGTGTGTGTTTGTGTGTAAGGGAGGGGTCTTTCTCTAACTTTTCGGTAGCTTTTTTTTCTTTCAGATGCTGGAATTTTTCATTTGTTTGACGATACAGCAACAAAAAGAGGGGGTAGGGAGTGGGGGTTAACGGCATCCAAATCAAAATTTATACATTAAAACTACAGAAAAAGACTATTCTCAGAAAAAGTGCCCCCCTTTCCCCGCGTACTTCTTTTAACTTCTCCATATGATCTTGCAATTTTTCAAAACTGAAATGTACCATGTTCTTGTCAAATATACATGTAATGCTAAAATGAAAATCATTTTGAGATGAATTTTACAGGGTACGTGGACAACATACGGCGACCTAATGATTATGTGTATCTGGTTCACAGTATAGAGAGATTACGTAACGAACCTTTCCAGACCGGTAAGTTTCTTAGTATAGAGAGATTACGGAACGAACCTTTCCACACCGGTAAGTTTCTTAGTATAGAGAGATTACGTCACACCTTTACAGAGGGTAAGTTTCTTAGTATACAGAGATTACGTAACGAACCTGTCCAGACCGGTAAGTTTCTTAGTATAGAAAGATTACGTCACACCTTTACAGACCTGTAAGTTTCTTAGTATAGAAACTTTTACAGACTGATAAGTTTCTTTAAAAAAGTCATGTTGTAGACTTTGCAATCAAAAATGTTTATACAATATTTACGACAGATATTAAATCATACAACAGTCTATCACCACATATTGATTTGGTAAAAGCAACGTTTAAAATTTCCCAGTGTCTTCCAATTAATAAATATTTGTATTACATGTAAATCCTTTTTAATGTAATTACATTCTACGAGTCTGCTTGATTTTCCATTTCCCCAAATTTAATGTATTCTGGATTATTATTCAAAATGAAAAAAAATACAGTGGTATTAAAACAGCGATAGAAGCTATACTGTTGATTGTTACCTGCTATTAGTCTATACATCGTAATTTAAGAGCACATAGAGAGAGAGAGGTAATTATCTACCAATGCTTTAATTTAGCTACAAAAACACATTTAAGGAAGTAGGAGTATTATTAGTTTTCATGGTTTGACAAAGAGAATTTCTTCCTGTTAAGTGTCCTATTTTTTAAAGTGCCGAATTTTAAGGCCAGTATATTCATCTCTTTTTTTTAAAACAGGAAGATTTTTTTTTTTTTTTTGTAAATTTGTTGAAATTTTATTATTTGTAGCTATGGGGACGGCTGACGTGCAAGCGATCTGTAAAGTTCTAGAGGAGGAAGAAAGTGCGGAGGCGAATCTACTGGACAAACTGAAGAAACTTATAACAGAAAACCAAGTAGGTCAAGGTCACATGTGTTATATCCATATACATTAATATATAATGTAGATAATATGGACTTTTTTGATGTGGTTATGCAATATCAAGGAAATTATGAAGCCCCAACTTTTTCATCCTCACAATGTCAGGGGTCCCAGAGTCCACTCGTACCCGTGGGACCCCAGACAAACTTTCTTAGATTTTTTTTTGGGGGGGGGGGGATTTCCATGGTTCCAGTGACGTCCTTCGGGGAAATTACGAATCTTATATCCCAATATACCACATTACGCCTTTTGGTGACAGATAACCAGTATCAGTACACTGAGGTGCCAGATCTTACTTTCTGTTCACAGTTTGTGCTAATTTGTGAAAGCTCCAATTTGAGAGAAGTTGCCCCCCCCCCCCAAAAAAAAAAAATCAAATGGAGTTTGTCAGATGCATCCCCACAATGTCAAGGTTTTGTGATTTCGGAACTCCACACGAACCTTTGACATAAGTAGTTATTTAGAAGTTGAAAGCCACTATTTCATTTGTTCCTGTTCTAGGACTGGAACCAATCAGAAAACAGCTTTTATTGTAGGTAAGTTTTGTAAACAAATATGACTCGTCTTTAAAATGGAAAGTGTCAATATTGTAGGATTTGTGACTAGTTACTTTAAATGAAACACCGGGGATTAATTTTTTGAAGATCGTCCTCCTTACATGTACAATCACAAAAGATATGCTCTGGAGTTGGGCAATTTCATAACGACGGATTTGAAAAATATATTCTCATTGGTTAGTTTATACATGTAATTACCCATTATGTCATGTGTAACCACAAGCCCATCTTTTAAATACTAGTAACGACTTATGTCAAGGGTTTGTGTGGAGTTCCGAAATTAAAACCTTGACATTGTTAGGATGGTCAGCTGGGGTCCCAGGACCCACAACCCCGAGTGGACTCAGGACCCCTGACGTTTTGAGGATGTAACCTTTTGAACTTGGAGATCATGCTTTCTCCACCGAATAAACTGTGAAATTTACCATTTTTCCAGCACTAAATGGTTGTACCTCCTCAATAACATCTACTGACCTTTTTTAATTGCTTGTTAAAAAATTTCAGTTCAGTTGTGTCCCTTAAACTGAGATTGCTCCTACAGGCCTGCATGAAAAATATATACTGTTTCATATAATATACAATTATTGACTTCTGATGAGGTCACTCGTGACTATCACTATACGGACCAGGTCAAGTATTGGTTGCCCGAGGCTGAAGGCAAATCACAGAACTATTTTCTTTTTAGGGTTTATTCTAGAATTTAGCAATGACAATGATATTGTTTCAGAAATGTAATCCAAAACCAAATGTAGGCTGTCTGTATCCGTACTCAATTTTTTTAACCAACAAATGCACCACGTAAATACATAATTATTGTAATATTTTGATTGGCTGCTTTCATTAGGGGTGAAATGTTTGCTTTCAGTTAAATGGTGAAGTGAAGACCGGAAGTGGAGGAAAACCCGGAGAGGTTATAATGAAGATAGCGAATGAGGTGAACGCAGACACGATCGTTTGCGGAAGTAGGGGTCACGGAAAGCTCCGAAGGACGATGCTGGGCGTGGTTAGTGACTACATCGTACACCATTCGGAAGTCCCCGTGACTGTATGTCGTCACAAACCACACAATCCCGAGATCAGACGACAGAGTAGTTTGGAAAAATGATTCAGTCTGGTCCTTGATTGTTTCTTCATTCAGGCAGGGAGGACGTGTTCAAGCGCGTGGGCTTTAATAATGCCAGGGATTTACAAGTGCCATAATCTTTTTTTTAAAGAACCATTGATTTTTTTTTAAAGTATTCGTATTGCATGTGTGTTCAATGAAGAGTTCGTTTATAATAAATTAAGTGCGTCTCGTATTCCAAATAAATGTTCATGGTAATACAGTGTAGCTATAGACTTGTTAATTCTCAGAACTGTTATGAAAGATAAATAAATGTACATGTATCTCATTTGTGTAATAGTAAAAAAAAATTGTTATTAAAAGCATTGGTAAGCCAGCAACCATGTTCTCTCTATTTAGAGATAAGGTATATACATGTATCATTAATATCTAAAGAATGTTCGCGCTTGAAATTACTTGTAATTGCATTATCACAATTTTTTCGAGAGGTATCTCCAGGTGTGAGGGTAGAAGGTTTAGATGTCTAAATTTCGGGGGAAAGGAAAATTTTGGAGCAAAATACGTATTTTTCATTAAAAAACAATACTGATATAGGGCATATTCAATACGGGGAGGGGGGGTATTGGCTTATAGAAGTTTAATCATTTATACAAAGAACTGTACCGTAATGTTCGTGTCTAATTGATCCTCTTATTGGAAGAGCTTGTTTAATTCCCTGCCTGTTGCATGCTAAGTCAGCCATCCGACACTGCAACGTCCAGTATCATTCCGATAACCTTGGAAAGTCTAGTCAGAAAAGCAGGAGATGTTTCATATCGTGGTGTGACGTGGATATTGCAGTCTAAGCAATTAAACTAAAGTAAATGCTATATAGAATCCACGACGATAATGGTCCGTATCATCACGTCGGATTGGTTATAAAGGTACCATCTATCGCTAATTTTGAGATACATGTGAATATTAAGTAGACTGGGAATTCATAAATATATATAAATATTTATTTTTATGAATTCTAATTCTAAAATTCTAGAAGAGTCCTAGAATATTGATACACTATTTCGAAGAGTAGGAAATCTTGAAGAACGACCACGAATGTCCTGGTCCTGATACTCAAACATGGTTTTTATCTCTATATATTTACATTTGCAATTTTTCCCCTTGCATAACACTATCTGAGTTACCGGTATTTAAGTTTGTAATTCTAAATTTGAGCATGTAAATACAGTGTGTTAACTTTTTCTACTTTGCAAAGAATCTTAAGGAAAAATATTTGGAAATGTAAATACAATATAATACTAATAACATACTTGCAGTAATTTTATAATATTTACATTTCCAAATATTTTTCCTTAGGATTCTTCGCAAAGTAGAAAAAAGTCATAGCCCTGTGACAGATATTTTCCAGTTCTATTAAATGCAATAGCCTTATAGATAAGGATATAAAATAGATATTTTTAGTACCTTTTATGTAGTAGTCTTGTGATATATATTTTACAGCACTGTTACAACGCGAAATGTAATAACAACGCAAAATGTAATAAGCCGGGATTATTGCATTTTGCGTTATTACATTTTGCCTCGAGATCAACGCAGAATGTAATAACGCAAAATGTAATAACACGATTTTTGGATTATTACATTTTGCGTCGAGATTAAGCAAAAAAAATAATAATAACGCAAAATGTAATAACACACTTTTTGGTCAGTCGGGTTGAGAATGATTTTCAATTGAACTGTGGATGAAGAAAATAAACGGAAAAGAAAATAAAACAAAGGAAAAATAAACACTTGCTAATTCTTACATTGGGTCTGATTTCATCATATATTGATTTCATTAGCCATTTAAAATCAGTAGATATTCAAATTATAGGTGTTGCAAATTAGTGTGTCTGTGTGTGTGTGTGTGGGGAGGGGGGGGGGGGGTATTTCGTTGATCAATGTATCAGTTTGCTTTTGCTTTGTAATAGGCACATGCATGAAATTTAGAAAAGAATTCTTTTTAGTTTTACTGGCAGGTGTAAATATAGCGGGAAGGGTGTTTCTTGACAATTAAGATTTCATACTGTTTAACAAATAATGCGCATTGCAGACCAGCAAAAATAAAAATCCCTCTTTCTCTCTCTCTCTCTCTCTCTCTCTTCTTTCTTCAATAATAAAATGGATGGTTTCTGCATGCGCATAAAAATACAATGATCAACATACGAAGTAACCCCTCCTCCCCGCTTTTTCTCGCCAGACACACACACATGCACTTCTAATTTGCTAACCAATGTACACAAGCACGTCGTACCTGTATATCAAGAGCTTTTAATGGACCCATGGGTCAATCTTTGGTAATTAAGAATGTAAATGATGGATATATGACACAAATTGACTTATAAATAGACATGTCAATCAAAGTTTAGTAAATGTTTTATAAGTATTCGATAAAAATGTGAGAAACAGAATTAAAAAAAAATATACAATTGGATTTAGTAATGTCCGTAAAAGCCGTAACGTTTTTCTCATAATCATAGATCTGTATGTCTATTTAGTAAAGCGAGCTTCCCCTTTGTTATATGTTTAAATCAGTTTTGTAATGTTTCGCGTTAAACAAAATACAAAAAATAATTATATTTTGTTTTATTACATTTAGTTTTATTACATTTTGCGTTGTCATCAATGCAAAAATTAAGTAACGCAATATGTAACAACGAAAAAGTGCATTTTTACATTTTGCGTTAACCCCAACGCAAAATGTAATAACGCAAAATGTAATAATCCCAATTTATTACATTTTGCGTTGTTATTACATGTAATAGCCCTGTGACAGATATTTTCCATGCAGAACCATTTTTATCTGGTTATCCTCTTACAGATTATTCAATAAACATATCATCTATTGACCCACTTGCAGATATATCATGGTACCTTAATAATCTACTTAGAAATGGTACAGTTAACTCTGTACCTCCACAATCTGGCAGAGATTTCATGGCACGTCTAAAATTAAATTATCCACAGGTACTGCTAACCGGGAACTCATATCTAGTAATATTCCATAGTTAAAGCTCTCCGAGTATATTATCTGATGATCCTCTGTTCCATTATCAGTGATGGGACATCGGTTATTTTTCATAATCGATTATCGGTTGGACTCGGTTACTGCTTCCCATGCGATTTTACCGATTATAATCGGATGTCATAGTTTTGTATATAAAAAGCAGACTATTGCAATTCTTTAACATGAATATATAAAATATATAATATATTATTAGCTCACCTGAGCTGAAAGCTAAAGTGAGCTTTTCTGATCACATTTTGTCTGTAGTCCGTCTGTCCGTCAGTCTGTCTGTAAACTTTCACATTTTCGACTTCTCCAGAACCACTGGGCCAATTTCAATCAAACTTGCCACAAAGCATCCTTGGGTGAAGGGGATTCAAGTTTATTCAAATGAAGGGCCACGCCCTCATTCAAGGGGAGATAATTCAGAAATAGTGAAAATTTGATGGCAAACTTTAAAAATCTTCTTCTCAAGAATCACTGGCCCAAAAAAGTTGAAACTTATAGGAAACCTTTGTTATATAGGGTAGATTCAAGTTTGTTCAAATCATGACCCCTGGGGGTAGGGTGGGGCCACAATGGGGGATCAAAGTTTTACATAGGAATATATAGGAAAAAACTTCAAAAATCTTCTTCTCAAGAAAAGTAAAGCCATGATTTGTCATATTGATATGGAAGCATCCTAAGGTATTGTAGATTCAAGTTTGTTCAAATCATGACCCCTGGGGGTAGGGTGGGGTCACAATGGGGGATCAGAGTTTTACATAGAAATATGTAGGAAAAAATCTTTAAAAATCTTCTCAATAACAGCAAAGCCATGATTTGTCATATTAATATGGAAGCATCCTCAGGTAGTGTAGATTAAAATTTGTTCAAATCATGACCCCCAGGGGTAGGATGGGGCAACAATGGGGGATCAAAGTTTTACATTGAAATATATAGGAAAAAATCTTTAAAATTCTTCTCACGAACAGCAAAACCTTGTTTAGTCATATTGATATGTAAGCATCCTAGGGAGGAGTCACAATGGGGGATCAAAGTTTTACATAGGAATATAAAGGAAAAAATCTTTGTCTCAAGAACAGCAAAGTCATGTTTATTTATATTGATATGTAAGCATCCTCCGGTAGTGTAGATTAAAGTTTGTTCAAATGATTACCCCTGGAGGTAGGGAGGGGCCACAATGGGGTATCAAATTTTTACAAAGGAATATATAGGAAAAAAATCTTTAAAAATATTCTACGCAAGAACAGCAAAGCGATTTGTTATATTGATATGGAAGCATCCTCATTTAGTTTCAAATTCAAGTCCCCCCCCCCCCCTGTAAACTTTTCAATGCTGAATTGATTTGTGCTTTCCTAGCCATTGTGCTCAGGTGAGCGATGTGGCCCATGGGCCTCTTGTTTTCTTTGTTGTTTTGCTTCTTTTACACTTTCTATATATGCACCTTTCGGTTCTTAATCACCTCTGTTTCGTGCTAGTTGGCTAGTATCAGATGCAGACGCCATTTTCTTTCATTAAGAAGAAATAAATTTTAAACCAGAAATGAATAATTCCGGAATTTATTGTATTAGTATGTTTCCAATGATCGATTATGAAAATTTATCATCGATCATCGGAATCGGTAGCATTTTTTTCGTCGACAGTCGATGTTTTCTGATTATCGACACAACACTATCCATTATTAATGCATGGTATCTTAATAATTAAATGATCCACTGTTAAAAGGTATGCATGTACTTTATCTAGAATCTAGTGAATCCCTGGTACATTGTTCAAAATTTAGTGAATCCCTGGTACAGTTTTTCCGGTACCCCTACAATCTAGTAAACCACTGGTACAGTTTTCCCGGTATCTTTAAATTTTAATAAATCACTCGTACCGTTTTCTCCATAGCTCTGTAATAATAGTAAACCACGAAACAGTACCTCTATATAGTCTACTGAACCACTGGTACAGTTTTCACAATATCTAGGGTTTTAACAGTACCTCTGGAGTCTAATGAACCGCTGGTACAGTTTTCACAATATCCTAGGTTTTAACTGGACCTCTATAGTCTAGTCAACCACTGGCACAGTTTTCACAGTATCCTAGATTTTAACAGTACCTCTAGAATCTACTGAACCACTGGTACAGTTTTCACAATATCCTTGATCTTAACAGTACCTCTAAGAGTCTACTGAACCACTGACACAGTTTTCACAGTATCCTAGGTTTTAACAGTACCTCTATAGTCTACTGAACAAACTGGCATAGTTTTTCCAGTACCTTTAAAATTCTAATAAATCACTGGACCAGTTTTTCTCGTAGCTCTCTAATAATAGTAAGCCACGGTTCAGTTTTTTTCGTAGCTCTGTAATATAATAGTAAACCACGGTTCAGTTTTCTTGTAGCTCTGTAATATAATAGTAAACCACGGTTCAGTTTTCTTGTAGCTCTGTAATATAATAGTAAACCACGGTTCAGTTTTCTCATAGCTCTGTAATATAATAGTAAACCACGGTTCAGTTTTCTTGTAGCTCTGTAATATAATAGTAAACCACGGTTCAGTTTTCTCGTAGCTCTGTAATATAATAGTAAACCACGGTTCAGTTTTCTCGTAGCTCTGTAATAATAGTAAACCACGGTTCAGTTTTCTCATAGCTCTGTAATATAATAGTAAACCACGGTTCAGTTTTCTTGTAGCTCTGTAATATAATAGTAAACCACGGTTCAGTTTTCTCATAGCTCTGTAATATAATAGTAAATCACGGTTCAGTTTTCTCGTAGCTCTGTAATAATAGTAAACCACCGTTCAGTTTTCTTGTAGCTCTGTAATGTAATAGTCAACCACGGTTCAGTTTTCTTGTAGCTCTGTAATGTAATAGTCAACCACGGTTCAGTTTTTTTGTAGCTCTGTAATGTAATAGTCAACCACGGTTCAGTTTTTTTGTAGCTCTGTAATTATAGTAAACCACGGTTCAGTTTTCTCGTAGCTCTGTAATAATAGTAAACCACCGTTCAGTTTTTTTCGTAGCTCTGTAATATAATAGTAAACCACGTTTCAGTTTTCTTGTAGCTCTGTAATGTAATAGTCAACCACGGTTCAGTTTTTTTGTAGCTCTGTAATTATAGTAAACCACGGTTCAGTTTTCTCGTAGCTCTGTAATATAATAGTAAACCACGGTTCAGTTTTCTTGTAGCTCTGTAATGTAATAGTCAACCACGGTTCAGTTTTTTTGTAGCTCTGTAATTATAGTAAACCACGGTTCAGTTTTTTTGTAGCTCTGTAATATAATAGTAAACCACGGTTCAGTTTTCTTGTAGCTCTGTAATGTAATAGTCAACCACGGTTCAGTTTTTTTTTAGCTCTGTAATTATAGTAAACCACGGTTCAGTTTTCTCGTAGGTCTGTAATAATAGTAAACCACGGTTCAGTTTTCTCGTAGCTGGTAACGTCAACCAGGGTACAGTATATCTATATAGTCTACTGAACCACTGGTACAGTTTTTCACAATATCCTAGGTTTTATCAGTACCTCTATAGTCTACTGAACCACTGGTGCAGTTTTCTCGGTACCTTTAAATTTTAAATGAATCACTGGTACATTTTTGTCGTAGCTCTGTAATAATAGTAAACCACGGTACAGTTTTCTCGGTACCTCTAGAGTCTAATGATACAGTTTTCTATGTACCACCATAATCTATAGTGATTAATGAACCACTGGTACAGTTTTCAAGAACCTCTACAATCTAGTGAACCACTGGTACAGTTTTCATGGTATCTTTATAATTAAGTGAACCACTGGTAAAGTTTTATATGGTACCTTGTGAATCTAGTTAACCACTGGTATATTTTCAGGATACGTTTAGAATGTATAACCGCTTGTAAACTTTTTTTTGGCTTTATGCAGTCGGAAATTCCATGCTTATACTTAGAAAACTTTCCAGTCTGAAGTTTTTTCTGAAGTCCGAAGATACTGATTACAAGTGTACATCATCTGATAGACTTACCTGGTGGGAGCGATTTGTGGAAATATTATGTTTCAATCCTAAACTGTAGTGAAATTATATTAGAATTAATGCTCAATATTTTTAAGGCAAATTAACTTAACTTCAAAAGTTGCGACAAAACAATACGTTGTATATGTAGTGAAGATTAAATACTTGTATAATCAGGGAGTTTTCTTGCATGGGCATTTCAAACTTTGCCCCACTTTACAATAGGACGATGGAGAGAAAACATCACATGAAACACGAATAATGATCCATTGACACGACATATTTGTAAACACTTAAAGATCCCTGTGCATGATATGTTTATACGTGTTCTTGAATTGCTTAATAGGCAAAAAATATGTATCAGATACATGTATTTAGTAATTTAAAAAAAACTTACATCAAAATGATTTGAATAAACAATATGACGAGGCGAAGTAATCAATACCAAGGCAAACAATTAGGCAACAAACTTTACGTAGTACGGTCAATAACCTATGGCACTAAAATACCAGATGTGAAATTGTTCTCGGAACTCAGGATCAAACAGGAGTCAAACAAATATTCAAGCAGATTCTGGGACTGGGCTCGACTGACAAAACGCGTGATACTCAGGTGACCATTCAGGCCCATGGGCCTCTTGTAAGAACAGAAAGCTATTTTTAAAAATAGCGAAGCATGTGCAATTACATGTAGTTCATCATCGTAAAAAATGCAGTGAAATATAAAATCTAGCCTTGAATGGCAGACCCAGTTAGTGGATGTCCTCCTGTGACCCCTTTCTACAGTAAACACGAGATAACAAGTCATTGTGTCGCAGAAATTGAAATTTAACATTGAGAAAAAAAAAATTAAATTGATTATGGAGACGAAGGAGAGACGAGTAATGATTGCTATGGACGGCAGTAAACACTCGGAATATGCTTTTAACTGTAAGTAAAAACGCAACGGATCACTTAGCATTATTTCGACAACAGTGTGTTGAAGGTCATATTGCTATTTTTATCTATTTTTAGCCACACGTGTGGACTATCTATTTCTGATGCATGTTTGTCATTCTATTCTGCGTATTATGTTCACTTTCTTTTAAATTATTAATTAATCATTAATTTTAGGCATTTGAGACCGATTCTTTTTTCTGTATTATATCTATGTATTTTCACTATTTTGGCTAACCTGAGACTTTGCCTGTATGCGATGTGTATTAAGCATGTCTGTGTGTCAGGTGTAAATGTTTGACATTTCAAATTTGCCAGAGGCCGAAGTAAGGTCTCTGATCAAAGTTTATCTTGCATTAAATGTCTGTTTATGTCTGGTGTGGTTTTTTTTTCATATTTCTTTTTCATTCCATGATATATGCTCCCTGAAATCTTAAAAGTGCATAGATAGGGGAAAAACTTTTAAATTCATGGCAAAATTAATCAAATTAATATGCAAGCATCCCAGTGTATTGTAGAATATACAGTTTGTTATAAATGATCATGACCCAATGCAGGTAACGTTTTTAATGGCAATACACAGCTTTCTGCTAGAACATTAAATCTAATTACATGTATTTACCCCGACATCAGGTCTCAGATTCACTGTGAATTGAAATCGTTAAAACATCATAGTTTTATTTTGATTTGACAAGAAGAGAAAGCATATGGTGTCCCATGGGTCGCTTGTTTCAGTTTTACATTGTGTTAGAATTAAATATTTTCCAGGGTACCTCACAACCTTCAGAATACCCCAAGATGTTGTCCTTCTTGTTCACTGTATACAAAGACATGATCAGTTCCACGCAGGTAAAGATGACGTTTTTTTTGTTCAGTGTACATGTTATACAGAGACATGATCAATTCCAGGCAGGTAAAGATGACGTCTTTCTCATTCACGCTAAATGTATAGAGAGACATGATCAATTCCACGCAGGTAACAATTGATTTTACCTGGAGAGGGACTTTCACAAAATAAAGATCTAACAAATTAAATGATAGCGAATTCCTTTTGACGGCTTGTTTTTTAGACGATGAAGAGAGTATTCAATAAATAGTAACATTTTGTTTTGGTTTTTTTTTTAAATGACTTAATTTTACTCATCATTCAGTATGGATAAAGATTATGAAATAAATAATCAATCAAGTATGGTAATCTCTGAAAACTTTGATTCCAGCTCTGGGTATGTCTGACGTGAAAACGGTTTGTGATATCCTGGCTCAAGAAGAAAAGGAAGAGGAGAGTCTGAAAAAACACCTGGAGCAAAAACTAACGGAGAATAAGGTATACTCAGAATAAGGTATACTCAGAATAAGGTGTACACAGAATAAGGTATACACAGAATAAGGTATATAGAATAAGGTATACACAGAATAAAGTATACACAGAAGGTATACACAAAATAAGGTATACAGAATAAGGACTTATTTAAGCATGCACAGAATAAGGTACACACAGAATAAAGTATAGGGTACACACAGAATAAGGTATACAGAAAAAGGACTATTAAGGTACACACAGAATAAGGTACTAGTATACTGAGAATAAGGCATGCACAGAATAAGGCACACACAGAATAAGGTATACAGAATAAGGAATGATTAAGGTACACACAGAATAAGGTATACTGAGAATAAGGCATGCGCAGAATAAGGTACACACAGAATAAGGTATAGGGTATACACAGAATGAGGTATACACAGAAAAAGGTACACACAGAATGAGGTATACACAGAATGGGGTACACACAGAATGAGGTATACAAAATAAGGACTATTAAGGTATTCACATAATAAGGTATATAGAATAAGGTATATAGAATAAGGGCTTGTTAAGGTTTACACAGAATAAAGTATACACAGAATAGGGTATACACAAAATATGGTATACTCAGAATAAAGTATACTGAGAATTAGGTATACACAGAATAAGGTATGCAGAGAAAAATGTATACACAGAATAAGGAATACAGAGAATAAGGAATACACAGAATAAGGTATAGGGTATACACAAAATAAGGTATACAACAAATAAAGTATACACAGAACAAGATATACACAGAAAAAGGTATAGGGTATACACAGAACAAGAATAAGGTATGCAGAACAAGGTATACACAGAATAACTTTTACACAGAATAAGGTATACACAGAATGAGGTATAGGGTATACACAGAATAAGGTATACACAGAATAAAGTTAGCAGAGAGTGAAGTATACACAGAATAAGGTATAGGGTATACATAGAATAACGTATACACCTACAGGTAACGTGATACACTCTAATACATAATAGAAATATCATGTGATAAACAAGATAAACATTAAAACACAATATGATATACATTGATACATTGAAAAAATATACATTGATACATAAGATAAACATCAACACTCAATCAGTAAACATTGTTTCACAAAAAAATATACATTGATACAGAAGATAAAAACACTGATACAAAAACGGGTAATCACTGACACACAGAAAGCATACACTGATACACAGGATAAACATTGAAACAAAACACAGTAAACACTGATACATAAAAAATATATATTGATATAGAAGATAAACATTGATACACAACACAATAAACACTGATACACAAAAAATATATACAATGATACACAAGATAGACATCAATATACAACACAATAAACATTGATTCACAAAAAATATACACTGATGCACAGAAAATAAACATTGATACACAAGAAAGACACTGATTCACAACACACTAAGGGTGAGAACAACAGGGAATATGAAGTTGTTTGGCCCTGTCATTTGACTGTCTAGAACCAATCAGAGAAAACATTGTATAGAATAATTATAAGAAGGTATAATAAATATTGTTACACAAGAGGATATACACTGATACACAGGAAATATAAGTGATACACCAAGTTATTTACAATGATACACAACAAGTCATACACAATGATACACAGAAAATATAAGTGACACACCAAGTTATTTATACTGATACACAACAATTCATACACAATGATGCACAGAAAATATAAGTGATACACCAAGTTATTTACAATGGTACACAACAAGTCATACACAATGATACACAGAAAATATAAGTGATACTCCAAGTTATTTATACTGATACACAACAAGTCATACACAATGATACACAGAAAATATACGTGATACACCAAGTTATTTATACTGATACACAACAAGTCATACACTGATATACAGAAAATATAAGTGATACACAAAGTTATTTATACTGATACACAGCAAGTCATACACTGATATACAGAAAATATAAGTGATACACAAAGTATTTTATACTGATACACAGCAAGTCATACACAATGATACACAGAAAATATAAGTGATACTCCTAGTTATTTACAATGATACACAACAAGTCATACACAATGATACACAGAAAATATAAGTGATACTCCAAGTTATTTACAATGATACACAACAAGTCATACACAATGATACACAGAAAATATAAGTGATACACCAAGTGATTTATACTGATACACAGCAAGTCATACACAATGAAATACAGAAAATATAAGTGATACTCCAAGTGATTTATACTGATACACAACAAGTCATACACAATGAAACACAGAAAATATAAGTTATACTCCAAGTTATTCATACTGATACACAACAAGTCATACACTGAAACACAGAAAATATAAGTGATACTCCAAGTTATTTATACTGATACACAACAAGTCATACATTGATATACAGAAAATATAAGTGATACACCAAGTTATTTATACTGATACACAACAAGTCATACACTGATACGCAGAAAATATGTGATACTCCAAGTTATTTATACTGATACACAACAAGTCATACACTGAAACACAGAAAATATCAGTGATACACCAAGTTATTTACAATGATATACAACAAGTCATACACAATGATACACAGAAAATATAAGTGATACTCCAAGTTATTTACAATGATATACAACAAGTCATACACAATGATACACAGAAAATATAAGTGATACTCCAAATTATTTACAATGATACACAACAAGTCATAAATTATGATACACAGAAAATATAAGTGATACTCCAAGTTATTTATACTGATACATAACAAGTCATACACTGAAACGCAGAAAATATAAGTGATACACAAAGTTATTTATACTGATACACAGCAAGTCATACACTGAAACACAGAAAATATAAGTGATACACAAAGTTATTTATACTGATACACAGCAAGTCATACACTGAAACAGAAAATATTAGTGATACACCAAGTTATTTATACTGATACAAAGCAAGTCATACACTGATACACAGAAAAATATAAGTGATACTCCAAGTTATTTACAATGATGCACAACAAGTCATACACAATGAAACACAGAAAATATAAGTGTTACACCAAGTTATTTACAATGATACATAACAAGTCATATACACTGATACACAGAAAATATAAGTGATACTCCAAGTTATTTATACTGATACACAATAAGTCATACACTGATATACAGAAAATATAAGTGATACACCAAGTTATTTATACTGATACACAACAAGTCATACACTGATATACAGAAAATATAAGTGATACACAAAGTTATTTATACTGATACACAGCAAGTGATACACTGATACATATAAAATACATGGTTACTGTCTTGAAATATGAGTGATATTTGGGCGAGGGTAAGAAAACGTGATAGAGGGCGAGGCTTGCCGAGCCCTCCATCACGTTTTCGACCCGAGCCCAAATATTGCTTATATTTCAAGACAGTCTCCATGTATTTTGTTTATCCTGCAACACATTTATACATGACCTCCAAAACGAACTGTTTTCAACCGATTTAGGTACATATCTGCAGTTGAAACTAAGACGCCATGGCGTAAACATTGCAATATTCATGACGTCACAATGCTTTTAGAACGTTGGAATACATGCACGAGGCTTTATTAGGGCATTGACCGAATAAAGCTTTAGTTTATTAGGTTACCTTTATTAGGTCAATACAAGGGGTAGTTGCAGGACAAACAGAAAATATAAGTGATACACCAAGTTATACATTCATACACCAGAAAATAAAAACTGTAGTAGGCAATATTTAGTACACATTTAGGAAACATGGTGTACATTGATATGCAACAAGACTATATATACTCGGTGTAATAAATTTAATGACGAAAACAAAATTAAACAGACACTGCAAATAACAAGGTGTACATTGAAACTGAAGAACACAATTTTTGCGGTGACTTATTTTTGCGATATAGATATTTGATATTTATTACTGAGAAAAAAATTCACTAACTTTGCCTATTGTTGTATGGTCCTTAATATTACTTTATACGTATAGTCGAGAATTAATTTTTCGTGAACAGATGGTCTCCTGTATACATATGGAGAAATGATGTACAGTTTATTCATGAGGTTGCTCCCACGTGATTTACTTCTCATTAATATTCATAAGATCCTGCATAAACTCAAAATATTCCATTTCCTTATTTTTTTTATATTAAAACCTACAAACACAGTTTGTTTTGTTTTTTAAGCCTCCGTCATAGTTATTTGGGCAGAATTTTGGGTTATTAACAGTTGACAACTCAAGAAACCATCTTTTTTTTTTTTGGTAATAAGTAGGTCACACTGATGCAAGAAATTACCGTTTCAAATTAAAAAGGTGGTCGTAATTCTTCGTGAAATGATAAATCATCTGTATTTTATAAAAATAGGCATTCGTCTGCACCTATTAATCGGCGGAAGAACTCTGTCAACTTGCAATAAACATCATACTCTCGCTTCGGAATTTCAAATCAAAAAGGCGGTCGCAACTTTCACTTTGGCATCAACAATATTGTCATTTCCGGTAAAAGATATTAAGAAAAATCTAAACATCGGCGGAAGAACTTTATCCGAAATAGTTAGTATATAAAAAATCTGCGGGTTTTTGTTCGTTCTCTATATAAACTTAGTACAATATGGCCGATATGTAAATGAGAAGAATGAACACCATTTCTCCATATGAATTACTCAGAAATGAGGTTCTCGCGAATATAAAGAGATTTATAGTAGACACTGAAAAACTATCGCCTGATACTTTTTTGTTCAATATATCACCATTATCACTGGTTTTATATACCCTCCGATGTCGTTCCTTTTTTCAGTTAACGGGATCAGTTAAAACGGGAGTCGGTAAGCCAGGTGAGCTAGTGGTGTCTACTGCCCAGCGGGAGAACGCTGACGTCATCATCTGTGGTTGTCGTGGGATGGGCAAGGTCCGGTGGACCCTGACCGGGACGGTCAGTGATTATATCGTCCATCACTCTCACGTCCCTGTCGTCGTGTGTCGTCACCCGAGTCACGTGCAGGAGATAATAGGGGACCGGAAATGAGAGACAGATTACAAACCACGTGATTCTAGTCACTAATTTTAGCTTTATCTAATGTAATATATGTAGAGGTGATGGTGTATTTTATTAATATACTAGAAGTGGATCAATTTTGAAGCTTCATTGTAACTAATAATGTAATATTGTAGGTAAAATAAACCAATAACCCTGAATATATTGTGAATATTATATATAGATGTAACACTGTCGTTTTTAACTATTATCAAATGAATTATGCTTACAATTTTCGTGTTTTTATATATATACAAAGAAAAAAAGCAAAGTTTTAGTCAGAGACATTTACACTTGCTTCCATTATCCTCTTTCCGTCATATATGAATTTTTAAAAGGAATTTGAATAGAATACTACATGTAGTATATAATAATGCAAGTCTTATTTAATAGATGCAGAAAAAAGCATGATCCCTGACTCACGTTCTCAGCTCCATAACTATAAATCATTATAAAGTTCTGAAGAATCATGCATCTTCTGGGTCACTTTCGCGGATTTGATGGGCTTCTCTAACCCCAAAATTACAACTGATGGAATTCCTCTTACAAAACAAAAGTCTCGCTATGTATAGACTATAATACATCTTTCATACCGAGACTTTCGCCCCTGAAACAACATCATGCACAATAACCTCTCTTTTCCAACCGTCCACCAAAATTGGTATCAGAAGTAAAAAAAAAAATAAAGGAATGTTTCTGTTGATTAACATAAATTAACTGAAAGGTACAAGATGCATAGATATTTATATATTAAGTAGTAATACTCACAAACAAATGTAAGTGCAATGGAACAAAGAATTATAGATAAACATGTACATATACTTGAATGGTTACGGTAGAACCATCCATTTACACGAGCCTTGATATCATATATAATACACTGAAAACTCATATTAGATTCTTCAGCAAAGTGTTATTATTAACCTTACTAAATTAATTACCACTAAAGTTCACAGAGACAAACAGTCGTCTTTATCTCGTGTCACTGGATTTCCAGTATTTTGAGGATGTGGGGGTCCTTTTTGATCCCCTGTACGAATTCCTCAACGGACAAGTTGTCATCACAGTTTATGTCCATCTGGTTAAATATGGCGTCCGTTCGTTCTTCCGGGTCATCTCTCTTGGGGTCAGCCGACAGCGCGCACTCCACTTTGTACATGGCCTTAATTAATTAAAGAGAAAGGTAGATTTACTAATTACACTTCCCTTTTTGATTAGCGCTTCACAATTTTTTTTGTTAACAGAGATCTCAAAGGCAAAAACATTGCGAGACGGAGACACGTTGTCCATGAATCGCCTAATTAAAGTTAATATGAGAATACAAAATATAGTGCAATAAATAAGATTTTAATTTATTAAAAATGCATTTTCAGACTATGGACTTGTGTCAAACGGTATATCTCTCTCTATGGAAAATTCTGTCTGGAAATTATTATCGAAGGTCAGAAGTGAAAAGAACTTTTCTACATTAAATTTTCTCTGTATGCATGGTAGGCTAAAAATTCAAGGAAAAACATAAGGAGTCGGATTAGGGATTGAACACAAACAATAATATTTCCGGAAGTAGTAGCTTTTTTTCAGTGAGACAGGCACTTTAACTCTGTTTAACCATGAATTCATAAAGACACATGCGTATTGGCATTTAAATCTTGTGATATAAGCCTTGAATAAATGAACTTCAAATATTTACATAAAAGATACAAATATGTTATCATGTAAGTGTACTTTTAATACTACTATTTATATATAAATGGTCAGTGCTCCATGTTTTTGGGGAAGAGAAAAATCTATATTTTTACTTATATTGTAAGGATATACTTTAGATAACACGGATCGGACCATTCAATTATATCGAGAAATAATATTATAAATAGAAAATAAAAGAGAATGTTCAGTTTTGTCGAATTTATGCCCATATTTATTCTTTAAGGATTCAAATCTTTATCATGCTAACTTAAAATCAGAAAGTAGTAACTAGTAATCTGCTGAAAATTTAGAATTTATGAAGTAAAGCAGAAAAAACCTTAAAAGTTATATATGTTTATACATAGTTACATTTAAGATCACGATAAAATGATGTACAAACTTAAGGTAAATCTTTATACATACAGAAAGGACCTCCTTCATTTCATCTCTAGTGATAAATCCATTCCCATTAATGTCGTAAATCTGGAAGCTAAAGGACAGTTTTTCATCCACACTTCCTCTGAGCACCACACTGAACCCACACACAAACTCCCGGAAGTCCAGCAAACCGTCATCATTTTGGTCAAAAACACGGAACACGTGCTTGGCGAACTCCGAGGCGTCCCCTAGCGGAAAGAAAGTCGAGTATGCTTTCTTAAACTCGTCCACTGTCAACGCTCCTTTCGGCCAGCTGCTCTTGAATTCTTTGTACCACTCGTTGAGTTCATCCACAGTAAAATTAGTCTGATCTCTCAGCTCAGCTAAGGTTTTAGGAGCCAATTTACTATGACGTTGTCCCATTTTCTTTAAAATGCGGTGTACTACTACCACCAAATTCAGCTCAAAACAAGCTTTTATCATTTAGTTTATACATGCTTGATTGAACTTTTATAAACGTATTTTTGAAATACAATGCATCCTTGTTAATATCTAATTAGACAATATCGATTTAACGCTCAACAAACTTCCAAATAAGTTGGTCAAACGGTGATTTAAATACATAAAAAAAAGTCGTGTTATATCGGTAAATCTGTATACATCTATATATTAAGACCAAAAACAATGTACACATGTGGAAAAACATCACAAATATAAGAACACTCGCACTGACTTGATAAAGGGTCAGTTCATATTATAACATGAGTTAATGTACACATGTGGAAAAACATCACAAATATAAGAACACTCGCACTGACTTGATAAAGGGTCAGTTCATATTATAACATGAGTTTAAAGTCAACACCTTTTCTTAACTAACACCTGTGGCACCACCTGTGACAAAAATTATTTTTAGAGAAATCGTCAAAGTAAATTAGATACAATCAATATTCTTCTATCTCTGGGTAACACATTGCGAGTATATAGGAAATGATTTCTTTAAATAATTAATTGAAAAAGATGAATCTTATGAAAAAAGAAATGAAACCGATGTTAAAGAGTAGAATTTCCCCCATAGCCACCTTTCCCGTAGAGAAGGAACCCCCCCCCCCCCGGAAAAATCACACACTAGAGCTTAATTTCCCTTCTCTCTTTCCCAGAGTATGATTTACTCTTTCTTTAAATAGAATTTACAGGGGTCCGTGTTATATACCCTGTTCACAGATTTGTATTGGTTGTGGGTTTTTGAGATCGATCACTGTTCGTTATCGACACCTTTTTCGTATATATATGTATATAAACCGCAGCGAAATATTTTACATGGCTAAAAGTTAATTGAAATAAAAGCACTGCTATTATAAATGGAAAATAAAATGTTCAATTGAAAATACGAAGTCAGAAGTGAAGACTGAGATAACCTCGATTATTTCATTTTTTTTTTTTTTTTTTTTGAATTATTCTAGCTGCAAATAAGATACGAAAGAGCTTAAAATTTGCTGTTCATTGGTGCATAATATGAATATCTCAATGAACATGTCGAGAAGAATCAGACATTTACCATCATCAAAATTAAGAATTAATAAGAAAAGGGAAAATCATCATCTGTAAATGTTATATTATCCATTTCATGCCACTTATGGAAAAGAAGACAATTATCATGATCATAATATTTCTAAAGATGTTGAAATACAATTGCTACACCTTAGAAATAATTATACTGATTTCTCTAATTGAAATTTTTATCCAATCCCGTTTGAAAGAAAAAACGTTGTCGATCAGAAAAAAAATTAATAAATTTATACCTACGAGAAAATGATAATTCGGGGGGGGGGGGGGGGGATCCTATTCTAGAACCTATTTTCCGGTGGAAAATCCTACTACTCTACAGCCGGGGGGGGGGGGGGGGTATATGGTTATATATGTATAAATGAATATGATATACAATCATAGATCTTCAGACTTCATAAGAGAGAGAGAGTATAAACAAACGAAACGAAAACAAGCAAATTAAAAAATACATTATAAAAAAAACGAAACGAAACAAGAACATTTTTTTTTAAATTAATTAAAAAATATATCAAAAAGAGAAAAAAGACAATAACATCAAGCAATTATTATAGTGCAGGTTTACTAAATATCTTATGTACATTTCATGTCTTCAAGATTTTTTTTTTATTAATCAGGTATGAATATCCATGCGATTTATTCCAGTCAGGTCAATCGTCTATCATATTTTCATGTCAGCATGGTGAGGTGGCACCTTAAAATGGAAGAAGGGTGTGTAATGGTTTCCATTGAGTTTTTTACGAGCCTAAAAATTACTTTCATAAATTAGATGTGCGGTAAATAATGTCATCTAAAGAAAACGTTTTTTGATAATTAAAATGTTTGTGTATATAATTTGTCTACAGACATATCTGATTGTGGGTCACTATTTTATCACGTGTAAACAGACTGACCAGATGTTCTGTAGGTGACGGGGAGTGACCTCGTGGCTCCAAAAGTAAATCCGGAACAAAACAGAGAAATTGTGTGTAATACGGTATGGAGTCTAATAAGAGTTCTCCGACACGTAACGTGGTGATAGCCGTGGACGGAAGTTCCCACTCCGATATTGCATTTCAGTGTATGTATATTATTTTCGGTTAATACTACACAACCATTCTTTTTCTTTTGGAAAAAAATGTTCACCCAGAAAGTGGACTGTGAACTCTCTATGATTTCTACAATATATTGGCATTAGCCAATCAGAGCGCTAGGAATCATTCAATCAGGCCATCTTTAAAAATTTGTTTGGTTGCCCCCCCCCCCCCCCCCCACCGACTGGCTAATAATGGCTCGACTAAAAACTTTCTTTAGCCTCCAGGATTTTTTATGCATTCCACAAAATAGATTTTGAAAGTTCAGCATTAATGTTGTTCTGGGAAGAAAAATTTTCCCACCTACCTATTTTTTTCATCCCGAGTTGGGAGAGGGCAAACATTATTTTAAATTTGGCCTCATATATGATGGTATAATACTATTCCTTACACCCAAGGCTTAATAGACTTGCAACAAATTGAAGACTTCATTTTACAAAATTTAAGATAAAAATTTGTTGATTTTGAAATCCTCCAACAAGAAAAAAATAGCTTAATCCTGTCACCTTGCAACTCAAATGCTTAAGAACATACTTTCCTTTCTGACATCCTGACTCTCTGCTGTAGAGTTTATTTTATGGAATAAAATATGTCAGAAAAGACTGTACTTTCCTTCATTAAGAAATGATTTAAATACAGTTTGTTTGGCTTACCAGAACTTTTTTTTCTTTTGCACTGACAGGGTATCTGGAACAGTTCAGACGTCCTGGCGATAATGTCGTTCTTGTTCACTGCTTAGAGAGACACCAGGCTTTCCACGGGGGTAAATATATGTCAATGTTAATGAAACTCTAGGACCTCTTGTTCACTGCTTAGAGAGGCTCCAGGCTTTCCACGGGGGTAAATACCGGTATGCGTCAATTAATGTTAATGATACTCTAAGACCTCTTGTTCACTGCTTAAAAAGGCACCAGGCTTTCCACTGGTGTAAATATGTGTCAATCAAAGAAATTTTTGGTTTACTAGTAAGAGAGGCACCTGGTGCTTTTCACGGGGGTAAATACGCATAAATTATTGAAACTCTCGGACCTCTTGTTTACTGTTTAGAGAGGCACCAGGCTTTCCATTGGGGTAAATATGCATAAATTATTGAAACTCTCGTACCTCTTGACAAGTTGTCGAAGAACATAGTGAGAAAGATATGATAGAGAAGTTTCATTGACATCCATTATCTACTTTTTTGAGATTTTGGTCGGGCAAACATACATATAAACAAAGGCGAGAATAAATGCCTTCTGTCTTCGTTGGCAAGAGAATTGTATTATCATAGATGATATTGATCTCATTCGCAAGTCTTATTATTTTTATATGGATAGTGAGTAATTAGTGAGCTTTTTTTAATAGAGTGTGTCATATCTGTATCACATACGACATTAATAGTATCTAATTATTCTCTCCGCTCATTAGTAAAACCCATGTACTAGAAATGTTTCACGCAGACACGTGCTTCTCAAAACACGGTTCATAGTTCACTTATACGTACGCCAAAGAAAAAAAAAATCACCACAAATTTTGAAGAGAATTTGAGATTGAGAACATATAATGATCTGGGTGCGTTTTCAATCCTGGGGAATTGCATCTCCCAAGCCACACTAGGGAATTGCATCCCCCAAGCTCAACCCCCAAGCTCAATCAAATTTGTACACTTTAGGCCGAATATCATGTATAGTATTGCTATTATTATACCTCATTTAGATTCGATCTAATTTTGTTTTCATTCCTACAGCCATGGGGACGGCGGACATTGAATCTGTCTGTAACATAATGGCACAAGAGGAAGAAACACAGAAGAAGTTAGGGGTAGAATTTGAAAAGAAATTAAAATCAAACGGGGTAGGTATACACTCAACATGATATGTAAGGCCTATGCGTAAAAAATAATGATAAAAGAAGATTCCCATTCGAATATGTTTTATATGTACAATATTCAACTCGCCCTTCAGGCTCCTGGGCTCTGTGAATATATCCCTCTCCGGGGATTACTTAATCATCGTATTGTCAAAACAGATTATTGTTTTCTTCATATATGATTCAAAGATTAATTGATATAACTTGTTAAAGCAAAATAATTTTTTTAAAGAAATTATTAAATATTTATTCATGATTAAAATAGAGGACAAAATAGAGTACAAAATAGATGCCCGTTGAAAGGTTCATCTTTTCCATTTAGTTACAAATTTTCTGTCATGAACTCTTTTGTGTTATTAAGCAACACCTGAGTGTCTGTTATTTTTTTTATTTAGATACAGGGATGTGTGAAAACGTCATTTGGAAAACCTGGCGAAGTCATTATACGTCTCGCTAATGAAGCACAGGCCAGTAACATAATCATAGGTAGTCGAGGTCTTGGAACAGTACGTCGAACACTTCTAGGCAGCGTTAGTGATTACGTAGTACACCACTCGGAAGTGCCCGTCACTGTGTGTCGTCACAAACATCACACTGCGCATGTCACAGATCACGCGCATTAGTTATTCATGCAATTTACTTAATGATCACAAGTCAAGATTTGAAGGATTTGTAGAAGTTAAATGCATTGCTTCAATCCTTTAATATAATATTGTTTTCTGATATGATTATAGTTATTGCCTCCGCAGCATAGATTCTTAGATTGGAATCTTTCAAAAGCTATAACGAAACTGTAGTTTGTTTGAAGAATCACATTTATTTGATATATTTTAAAACTTTATTACATGTATTAAGATACATTTAAAAATTTCTTTACGTCTTTGATTGCTTAAAAATTTTAGCCATAGTAATTTTCAGAGGCAGAAAAGGAGATAATTTCATATGCCATTGTTCCGCCAAAAATATAGTCCTTGCTAGATTTCAAATTCAGTTAACCAATTTGATTTAAGTTGTAAAATTATGATGTGGAAAGAAAAATATAATCTTTAAAATCCATTAATATTACATCTAAATATTTAAGACGTATAAACAAATACACTTTAAATATTTCCTTTAGACAAAAACCAGACAAGAATTCCTCCCTAAAAAGGGACTTGAATCAATAGACTCCACCATGTCATGTTATTAAAAATATATATATAATTTTAAATGACATGATGCAAAATAACCTGTAAGATTTCTCTAGATGCATGTGCAGGTAATGTAAAAGTCTTCAAGAATACGTGCACAGTTTATATTATGCTATTGCGTTTAATCGTTATAATACTAGTACTGTGAGTATATTCTCTTTGGGTCTGAACTGATATAAATGATCCACTTATACTTATCATATAAGTTTGTTAAGTTTAATTTTTTCCTCTATTCTCTTCAAAATGAAATTCGTTTTTTTTTTCGTATATATTAAAATATATGATTATATTTATATATCATCTCTCTGTCCGCAAGACAGCGGATGGATACACCCAGTTTATGACCAAATTACCACTTTCAACAATAAAACATCTATTCTGAAAGAACACTAAGAACACATGTAAATCACAAACTTTACTAATAAAAGTTACAACAATCATTAACGATACTCAGCTATTTTTCATGGTGTGAAATCTTTGTAGTGACTCAAATAGTAAAATATTTGCTGTTTTTAACCAGTAATTAATACTTCGTAGGATTATTTATAAAGATAAAAGGCTCAATGGCGAATATAAATATATTCGAGAACATGCATGTTCGCGAATAAAAGATGTGAATAATTGCTGATTTACAATATATATCTATTTGTTAGATAGGCACTGAACGAATAAAATACACACTTGTGTTATTTACAGAATTCCACAGAATTTACTTGAAGGCACACAACTATTGTCATTGGCGGAATTCCTCTTCTTTTCCACGCCACTGTTTACACGGGAAGTCTCCATGTTCGTGGCATGGATTGACGTCACTGCTGTAATTGACCACTTCAAAAAGAAAAAAAAGTCAATAGGAATCGAACTTTAAATTCTCAAACCAGAAATAGTATATAATCCTATAAATGGATTTCCTTAGTATATTAGTTAAACCTGTATGATTTTTCAAGGCGGATTCCGCCAGGAATATGGGTGCAATCTAGCAGGAACTGGCAAATTTCGGGCATGAAGCGGAGACGGACTTTTGAAAAATTACGCCTGAATAGATTTAGAGGCGTTTTCCAGGCGTCATTTCCACTTTACGGGCTTCAGTTTGCAAGTTCAACTTTTCCTAGCGTTAAATTGCAGGAAAATTGAAATAGAAATTGCCCCTGGATCATTAAGGAGGAGTAAAAGCCTCTGATTGGTCAATTTAATTATCAATTAAGGGTCATTTCAGATAGGAGGTTAATATATGTTTGAATTTCGACAGGAAGGAGGGAGTTTAGTGTGAGTGAAATAGGAAATACAGATATATCAATGTTAATTAAGGCTTTTATACTTATGTCCTAGATGACACAGTATCTGCTGGTAGGTGTGATAATTAATTTCTGGTACCTACATGTATTTAGGTAAATGTGAATGTACAATGATTGTTATTGACTCTTTAGACTATTCGAGTTTCCTTGAACACATTCTGAGATGACATAGAGGCAATCAGACTGTAAAGTACTGAGTAAATGAACTGTGTTAAGTAATTTGTTTGATTTGGTGTCTTGATTGAAGTGATAAAAGTATTTTTAAAAGTTAATCAAATTCTTAGACATTATTTTACACTCATGATGGTGTCTCAGGGTCCCTTACGCAAAGAAATGAAACAGGTTTCATAAATTATATTTCTATACTATTTTAGATGTTAAGGACATATATGGCTGAAATATTGCCGACTCGGCGTTAAACAATATCAATCAATCAATCTAAACGCTAAATTTTCAGCTTTAACATTGTAAATCATAACTTTGCTTTTTTTAGCTCTATATATAATTATAGGTTTTTTAGGACTTCCCAGGCGTAAATTATGCTTCAGGCTTCATTTTTGTTTCCAGGCGTCATTTATTTTTCCGGGCGTAGCTCATTTGCATTTTTGGCCTCAAATTCCTGTTCAATTCCGCTTTGTTTCCTCTTGCTGTACGCCCGGAACCTGGATAACACCATATATGTAGCGAGACAAACTGACACCCGGAATCCTCGAAGTACGCCTCTATTCCCAATATATTTTGGGCGGAACATATCGTACAGGTGGTTACATAATGAGTCAAAATCATGTGTTTCTTTTAAGATATTTATATCACAAAGAGAAAATTTTATGAAAAATATGACAAACTTAACTGCACTGTAAAGCCAGAAAGACTGCAAAATAACAACGGTAGTAGGTACCGAATCGTTGTTATCGTTCATGACAACGTAACACAACTTTTTATTTTTAGCGTAAAACTTGTACACAACATTGAAAAGGAGCATGCAAAAGGTGAGGAATATGTTCTGATAATCGTTTTTATGCCCCTGGATCGAAAGATTCCGGGGGTATATTGTTTTTGTCCTGTCTGTTTGTCTGTTTATCTGTTTGTCTGTCTGTCTGTTGTCAACTTTAAGCTTGCCCATAACTTTTGATTGGTTTGAGCTATGACTTTCATATTTCACATGTGTATTCCTTTCTTTGGGTACCATCATATTTGACCTTTTGACCTTGACCTTGGAGTCTGACCCACTTTTGCAAAATTTTATGAGACTTTAACCTTGGCCATAACTTCTGAACAGTTGGTGCTTAGGGTTTCAAACTTCACATGTGTATTTTTTGTGACAAGGTCTTCCTTTGGATACAAACCACTTTGACCTTGGAGATTGACCTACTTTTGAAAAAAATTAACCTTGGCTATAACTTTTGAACAGTTGGGGTTTCAAACTTCACATGTGTATTCCTTGTGACAAGACCTTCCTCTGGATATAAACCTCTTTGACCCTTTGACCTTGACCTAGGAGTTTGACCTACTTTTGAAAAACTTTAACCTTGGCCATAACTTTTGAACGGTTGGAGCTAGGGCTTTCATACTTCACATATGATATCCTTGTGACAAGACCTACCTTTGGATACCAACCACTTTGACCTTTTGACCTTGGCTTAGGAGTTTGACCTACTTTTGAAAAACTTTAACCTTGGCCATAACTTTTAAATGGTTGATGCTAGGGCTTTTATACTTCACATATGTAATCCTTGTGACATCACCTTCCTTTGGATACCAACAACTTTGACCTTTTGACCTTGACCTAGGAGTTTGACCTACTTTTGAAAAACTTTAACCTTGGCCATAACTTTTGAATGGTTGGTGCTAAGGCTTTCATACTTCACATATGTAATCCTTGTGACAAGACCTTCCTTTGGATACCAACCACTTTGACCTTGACCTTGACGTTTTACTTACTTTTAAAAAACTTTAACCTTCGCCATAACTTTTGAACAGTTGCAGCTAGGGCTTTCAAATTTCACAGGAATATTCCTCGAGACAAGATGTTTCTTTGGGTACCAACATTTTTTATCTTTTTGCCTGGATTTTGACTTGCATTTGAGAAACTTTAACCTTCGCCATAAGCTGCCATACGGGGGAATCAGTGTTTCACAAACACATCTTGTTGAAGATTATTAAAATCCTTGGTCTACTGACATTCATTTCTTGGGACTTGAGACCATGGTAGCTTCTTCAACTTTTCCGTGCAGGCGCACACTGAAGAGGAAGAAGTGAAGCAATAGTTTTGTCTTGGAGCAGACATTTTTTTTAAGGTTCTGACACCTGTAATTTTCTGTGACTTAATTCTTTCAAGAATATAAAAAAAAAATTGCATGAGTCATGCCAAAAATTCTATTTTGACAAAGGATGACTGCACTTAACGCCGGTTTTTGGGTCTTTTTCGGTCGCTTCTGTTGCTTTTATATCAAACTCTTATTTCATTTTCATATATTTATGAAAGAATCCTGTCAATTTCGAGCCGAATTTAAATATTACAATGATCTTAGACTGTTATACAATAAAATGATTCTATGTTTTCTGTCCTTACTCTTTCCAAGTGTAGAGAATTTACACTTACCTGCCCTTGATTAAACATTAGGTATGCATGAGAGGTGGAGCTAACATTGTAAGAATGGCTCTAAAATTAGACTAGATAAATAACAATGACATGTATTTAAAAAATACGAGATCACTCTTTCCCATTCCTTCTCATTCCCTCTTTATTCTGTATGGCACAAGTACACTATTTTCAGAGGTTTCAAAAACGAAATTAACAATATGAGCGACGTCCATGTAAGTAAAGTATCTTTTAAATCAATGCCTAACAATTTAACGTGTTCGAGCACTTTGTCCTAGTTAGCACAAAACATGCTACTTTACAAGTCACGTGACGGAATTTAATATTCACAGAGTTACCTGAGGTAAGAAATCACGTGGTGAATTATAATATTCAACATGTCACAGCCCTTGGTTACAATAGAGAGAGCGATGTAAGAATTAAGAAGCAGTTTTTTCTCGTTTAAACCATGAGCGCATGTTTGTCTATTAATCTCCTTTTGACACAACATTGTTAATGCAAATATACAACTACTGTTAAACGGAGAACAATAGACAAACATGCGCTGACTATGTATAAAGTCAGTGAAAAGGTGGGCGTCCTCATTATCGTACGGAGATTCAAGGAATTGTGATGACCCCCGCCTTAGAAAACAGCTTCGTACTTCGTAAATACGTACTTTTATTTAATTTAATTACATAAAGTTGTAGATTAGATGTTGACCATTTGTGCAATTAAAAGAAAAATGCTTGTTTTGAAAGTTTATTTTGTCGCAATTTTCGCATGTCCTTAAGTGCAGTCATCCTTTCCCGGTTTTGCGTCACAGTGTCACTTTCATTGATTGGTTGTTTGTAAATGTTTTACATCCCTTGCGAGACCAATATCAGTTTTGAGCATCAATGATTTATCTTTTGGTACATAGGGTTGACATGGTATTGATATAAAAAAGAATAGTTGCTTTTTCACACAAGTACTCGTTGACAGGAGCAACCCTTCCCCATGTACACCAAGAGATTATTGTACTTTTGATGAAAAATACTTTTGTAAGACATACCTACAATGTATAATGCCAAATGAAAAGTCTGAAACCTATATACGAACGATCAAAATCTCTAATTATTTAATCTTGACCTAATATAACAGAATTTGAACCTCACAAAATATTATCCAACACAGTTTATGGTGGTCATATAATGAAGTATGATAAATGTCGTGGCCAAACATAACCTCAACCCCCCACCCCTTCCCCGAACCCCTTAATCTGACTTGATGGATTCTGAAACACTAAGACCTAATAATCTTTCCTATAATCTATCTATCTGGTTCGGATGAGAACAGAAAGCATACTGACCTTGACCTCCTTCCCTCCGACCTCGGTTTGAGTAGACATGTCTTCCCTATATTTAGCCAACCCTTTCCTGAGAATCTCCTCCACGAACCCATTCACGAGTTCCATAAAAGCTGACGTATCCTTCTGGTCCTTAAATGTAACCTGTGATGTCCGTCGCTGATTGGGTGGTTCTTTTTTAATCCCCGAAATATTCTCCACAGACGCCATCTTCTTACTCTGTGGATGTGACGTCAAAATCCATGTAATTCTCCTCCCCTGAAATTGAAAACCAACCTTAATATTACTCCCATTCTAGGGACATCCATTAGGTTCTTGTTCTCTAATATTACTCACATTCTACAGATGTCAATAGTCTTTTTGTTCCCTTATATTACTCCCATTCTAGAGAGGTCAGTAGTCTTTTTGTTCCTTATATTACTCACATTCTATAGACGTCAGTAGTCTTTTTGTTCGCTTATATTACTCCCATTCTAGAGACGTCAGTAGTCTTTTTGTTCCTTATATTACTCCCCTTCTAGAGAGGTCAGTAGTCTTTTTGTTTCCCTTTATTACTCACATTCTAGAGACGTCAGTAGTCTTTTTGTTCCTTATATTACTCCCATTCTAGAGACGTCAGTAGTCTTTTTGTTTCCCTTTATTACTCCCATTCTAGAGACGTCAGTAGCCTTTTTGTTCCCTTATATTACTCACATTCTAGAGAGGTCAGTAGTCTTTTTGTTCCCTTATATTACTCCCATTCTAGAGACGTCAGTAGTCTTTTTGTTTCCCTTTATTACTCCCATTCTAGAGACGTCAGTAGTCTTTTTGTTCCCTTATATTACTCACATTCTAGAGAGGTCAGTAGTCTTTTTGTTCCTTATATTACTCCCATTCTAGAGATGTCAGTAGTCTTTTTGTTCCTTATATTACTCACATTCTAGAGATGTCAGTAGTCTTTTTGTTCCTTATATTACTCCCATTCTAGAGACGTCAGTAGTCTTTTTGTTCCCTTATATTACTCCCATTCTAGAGAAGTCAGTAGTCTTTTTGTTCCTTATATTATTCCCATTCTATAGACGTCAGTAGTCTTTTTGTTCCTTATATTACTCACATTCTAGAGACGTCAGTAGTCTTTTTGTTCCTTATATTACTCCCATTCTAGAGACGTCAGTAGTCTTTTTGTTCCTTATATTACTCCCATTCTAGAGACGTCAGTAGTCTTTTTGTTCCCTTATATTACTCACATTCTAGAGACGTCAGTAGTCTTTTTGTTCCTTATATTACTCACATTCTAGAGACGTCAGTAGTCTTTTTGTTCCTTATATTACTCCCATTCTATAGACGTCAGTAGTCTTTTTGTTCCTTATATTACTCACATTCTATAGACGTCAGTAGTCTTTTTGTTCCCTTATATTACTCACATTCTAGAGATGTCAGTAGTCTTTTTGTTCCCTTATATTACTCACATTCTAGAGATGTCAGTAGTCTTTTTGTTTCCCTTTATTACTCACATTCTAGAGATGTCAGTAGTCTTTTGTTTCCCTTTATTACTCACATTCTAGAGAGGTCAGTGGTCTTTTCGTTCCTTATATTACTCCCATTCTAGAGAGGTCAGTAGTCTTTTTGTTTCTTATATTACTCACATTCTAGAGACGTCAGTAATCTTTTTGTTCCTTATATTACTCCCATTCTGGAGACGTCAGTAGTCTTTTTGTTCCCTTATATTACTCACATTCTAGAGATGTCAGTAGTCTTTTTGTTCCCTTTATTACTCACATTCTAGAGACGTCAGTAGTCTTTTTGTTCCTTATATTACTCCCATTCTAGAGAGGTCAGTGGTCTTTTTGTTCCCTTATATTACTCCCATTCTATAGACGTCAGTAGTCTTTTTGTTCCCTTTATTACTCACATTCTAGAGACGTCAGTAGTCTTTTTGTTCCTTATATTACCCCCATTCTAGAGACGTCAGTAGTCTTTTTGTTCCTTATATTACTCCCATTCTATAGACGTCAGTAGTCTTTTTGTTCCTTATATTACTCCCATTCTAGAGACGTCAGTAGTCTTTTTGTTTCTTATATTACTCCCATTCTATAGACGTCAGTGGTCTTTTTGTTCCCTTATATTACTCCCATTCTAGAGACGTCAGTAGTCTTTTTGTTCCTTATATTACTCCCATTCTAGAGACGTCAGTAGTCTTTTTGTTTCCCTTTATTACTCACATTCTAGAGACGTCAGTAGCCTTTTTGTTCCTTATATTACTCCCATTCTAGAGACGTCAGTAGTCTTTTTGTTTCCCTTTATTTCTCCCATTCTAGAGACGTCAGTAGTCTTTTTGTTCCCTTATATTACTCACATTCTAGAGAGGTCAGTAGTCTTTTTGTTTACCTTTATTACTCACATTCTAGAGACGTCAGTAGTCTTTTTGTTCCCTTATATGACTCACATTCTATAGACGTCAGTAGTCTTTTTGTTCCTTATATTACTCCCATTCTAGAGACGTCAGTAGTCTTTTTGTTTCCCTTAATTACTCACATTCTAGAGACGTCAGTAGTCTTTTTGTTCCTTATATTACTCACATTCTAGAGACGTCAGTAGTCTTTTTGTTCCTTATATTACTCACATTCTAGAGACGTCAGTAGTCTTTTTGTTCCCTTATATTACTCCCATTCTAGAGATGTCAGTAGTCTTTTTGTTCCCTTATATTACTCCCATTCTAGAGACGTCAGTAGTCTTTTTGTTCCTTATAATACTCCCATTCTAGAGACGTCAGTAGTCTTTTTGTTCCCCTTTATTACTCCCATTCTAGAGACGTCAGTAGTCTTTTTGTTCCTTATATTACTGACATTCTAGAGATGTCAGTCAGCTTTCCTTACATTACTCACATTCTGGGGACGTCTGTCTGCCTCTTGTTCCCTTTACCTCCCTATATTTATCTTCTTTGTGTGACTTACTCCTAATGATTTTATTTCTAGCAGCCGTTTATTTGAGACTTTCCATTATTAGATTGTATATCGGGTGTCGAATTGATGCTGGTATTCAATACTCTACTGTCCTGTTTTCTCCTGGTTGATATCGTTTTCAGATTCTGATGCAGAGTTTTTTATATAATTATCTGTCTAATGAAGCTTGCTTTGATGTAAAGATCTAACTATTCTGCATCATCTGCCCTTGGTTAGTTTAATTGAAAATAGCGGTCAATATGAAGAATTTAGTATTCCAAAGAACAAGTCATATGTGTCGCCTCAAACAGCAACATTAAGGTTGTAATCATTTAAAGCATAATTTTATTTTTCGTGTAGAATTGAAAAGGGTCGAAATTTATGAAATTTTCTTAATCCTTGAATTACAATATTGAAATTAAAATTCAAACAATAGATGGAAAATACGTATCAATCCTTACTTGCACACATAAAAATATCGATAGTAAAAAATGCTTTGAGATCTACTTTCTTTGCAGTAGCCTAAAAAAGCTACAAAATAACAACAACTACAACACCAAAGTAAAAAATAAGAGAGAAAAAAACAAAGAAACTAACTAAAACAATCAAACAAACCAAAAAAAACAAACAAACAAACAAACAAACAAAACAAAAAGGCATGGTTAAAATATAGCATAACTTGCTTAAAGAACATATAAAACAATACTGCTGTTACATCTGATACTGACATATTCCCACAATATATAAAAAAAATTACGAGTATCAAAAACCTTTGTACGACATTTTCTTCTCCAGTCCGATTTCAACACAGTTTTCCCGTCCTGATGTTTACGGAATGAAGAGACGGTTCCAGATTTGAACTTTTTATACCTAGTGGTCAGATGTTGTAGAAATCCAAAATAATCACAATCTGAGGGAAGATCTGGAAAAAATAAAAAAAAAATCAGTATCTCACTAAAAAGTAATCCACAACACTGCGCTCAAGAATTTTTCAGAATAAAACACTTATTTAGATCATATGGTTTGTAATAAATATACCTAAAGACTAAGTATCACTGTTACTTATATAGAATGTAGCTATTGCTTTTACCTAACTCAGAAATTAAATAATTCCTAGAGTGTGTACATAGAACATCTTCAGGTGATGGACAAAGGATACTGTATCATGTTTCAGATTTAAAAATCGATATATATACGGCGCAGTGATATAGGTTTTTACTGGACAGCAAGATACGAGGGTCAATTACGGTCCAAACTCTGGACAAGTCTGCCAATGGCGTGTTGCTTACGTAGTCCGTGTTGTAGGATTGATATAACAGACATTTTGTGATTCTGTTCAGCTTATGCATGTTTAATGGTTTTCCATATTATATTACTTGTTAACAGATACCTTATGTAATCATGACGCTTAAAACTAGTTGTGGGGGTATAATGGGTACAGATTGTAAATATTAACATTTTATTCTGAAAGCTGACTGGATGGATGGAATTTATGGAAAAAAAGAATTTTTTGAGAATAAAATTGTATTTTTTCTTTCCTAATGTAAAAGCCAAATGTTCTTTCTGCATACGATACAGATAATAATTTTCATCAATACTCAAAAAAAATACATGTACATGGATAGCTTAAGTGGAATATCCCTAACAAAAAAAATCCTATAGTTAACAATAGTTTACTATAGGTAACTTTAGTTTACTTTAGTATCAAAGATTTTACTAATAGTCAATCAAAGTTTTTACTATCAAATCAGAGTATTTTTACTATGGATTTCAGATCGTTGTATTTTATGTTCTCCAATTCATACATGTATATTTTTTTTATATTAAATGGAACTATTACTTGTATTTTCAAATATTATTTCAAAATTTTACATTAACTGTTAACAAATTTAAGAGATTTTAAGCTTTGAAATCTAAAAAAAAAAAGTTTACTATAGTTAACAATAGAAAATGTGTGATAGGGGTACCATGAAAAATAAATATCAAACAGGCCTCACAACAAAGCACAGAGACAAACATAAATATATTGTTAGATATAATATACCAATATGTCAAAGTTTTTAATTTTTTTTTTTTAGTTTAACGAAATTTTTCGAGGTCCAAACTTCCCGAATCTTCATAATGATCATAAAGATAGTTTCTCTCGTTATTTTTATAGCCTACCTTGCAGAGGAACATATTGTTGTCTCTTTTCAGAGGAAGTAATGAAGACTTCGTCGATGGGTATATAGACGCCCTGTTCCCCTGGGGAGGGGCTCGGGTTGGAGTTATCTATTATCCTGATGCTTCTCTGTAACGATCGTTGTATGGTGACTATATTTTAATTATAAAATGTCGCTCTTTTTCAGTTTTCTGGCGTTTGAAGGGGAAATATTGATATTTCTTAATTAAATACATATGTTTGCTGAAGGTCAAAATGTTGATTTAGTTAATGCAGCCTAACTTCGGAAAGTATACAAAATTTTTGCTTACTGTTTTCTGATTTAAAAAAAAATATTTTGAAATACCTCTGATTTTTTTTGTTCTTGTGTTATAATAATTATAATAAATCAATGTTAATTTGTGCTATTGTAATTAGAATCAATAATTAATTATTATAAATAATAATTAAAAGATTTTTTTTTTCATACGTCCAATTCAATATTTCCCCAGTTGCGTCTGATGTTTTCTACCGCCGTCAGTGGGTAGGATAACACTCCCCAGATGGCGCTGATGGCTTCCGGTCTAGACTCGTACTCCAGTACGTTAGTTCTTCCGCTGACGTACAATTTGTTCGCCGTGAAGTTCATACAGGTCGTGATCTGTTAATCTGATTTATCATTAACACCTTGTCCAACCATGTGATGTAATTCTTAATTGATACCAAAATGTCATATTTTATTTTTTTTTTATTGAATATACATGTACTGCATAGGTTTAAAATATATAGAATAAATTGATTAAATCGCTAAAAATAGGTCGTGCGCCGGAATGTAGACACTTGATTTCCGATTCCAATTATGTAAAGTGATTAGCGAACGTTAATCAATTTTCAGAGAAACATAATTTATCTGTTTGCTTTCTTTCATCAACATCCCATTTAAACATGTTAAATATCTTGAAAACTTATCACTGAAGTCTGTTTTGTAAATGCTTACCTTCGGAAACTGCATCAAGACTCCATCACTCCACATCCATGAGTACAAAGCCTCGTCCTGATTAATATTTCTACAACCTCCAATCACTAAATGTTTATACCCCGAGGGAAGATGACTTGGAAAGGTAAACATGACGCTGACCTCAATGTCGTCTGTAACGGGTAATGTTGTCCAGCTGATTGTCTGCAGATAAAATATTTATATCTGTGATATTAGTGTTCGCCTGACTTTGCTGGTAATCCAGAAATCCGGTATGTGTACCTACAAGACTCTTTATTGGGATCAGCCGGAGTGACATAGTACTTTCTGTGTACCTACCGAACTCTTTGGGATCAGATCCGCCGGAGTGATATAATGTACGATCTGTGTACCAACCGGACGCTTGTTTCGGATCAGATCTGCCGGAGAGATATTAAAAGAACGACCTGTGTACCTACCGAACTCTTTGGGATCAGATCCGCCGAAGTGACATAATGTACGACCTGTGTACCAACCGGACGCTTGTTCGGGATCAGATCCGCCGGAGAGATATTAAAAGTACGATCTGTGTACCTACCGGACTCTTTATTGGGATCAGATCCGCCGGAGTGACATAATATGATCTGTGTACCTATCGGACTCTTGTTCGGGATCAGATCCGCTGGAGTGGCATAATACGATCTGTGTACCTACCGGACTCTTGTTCGGGATCAGATCCGCCGGAGTAACATAGTACGTCCTATTGCTTTGTAGGTGAGGGAATGTGTAAAGGACTAGTTTGGAATCCTTTGTCCTGAGAGCGTTGCACCTAGAGATAATTCCAGTTTGTCCGAGAAGTTCTATCCAGTGCCTGATCTCGTCTTCATCTTCAGTTATATTCTGAACAAAAACAAATCAAACATCTCGGTATCAGTTCTTATCGCCAATACTAAATCATAAATTTCATATTATTATCATATAAAATTTTAATGCAATCTGATTTAAAATCAGATCTTTGTTACGCTCCGAAATTCTGATAGTGGCTGTATAGCTGTAGATTCTGTAGCTGTAGAACCTGTAGATTCCTTATTTTACGCGAGTACTTAAAATCGCGAAATGACTCGTGAACATCAATTCGACAGGAAGAATTCGCGAGTGGATTGTTGATAAAGCTTTTTTTTAAATATACTAGATGAAATCCCGCGCAAGCGCGGGGAATTGAATTTATAACACTACCGACAGAAAATATATTGTAGTTTCTACTGACAGCCTACATGCTTATAGAAGGAAGAAATACTTTGTTCAAAATCACACAGGAAGTAAATGTACGTCTCCACCCCCACCCCACTCCCTTTTTGTAAAAACTTGAAAAATACCAATTTCATTTAATTGACGTTTATTGTGAAACCTGTTATATAATGTTATGGATATTGTACTTCAGATGCTCTTATTTCATTTCCGCCAAGGATAAAAGGAGCGAATACACATGTATGCACATTTTACTGATAAATTGATTTTTTTTTTGGGGGGGGGGGGGGGAATTCACAGGTACTTGGGTCTTGGTTTATAAATATGTATGTACCTTATTTACCTTTTTTACATATCAATAAGGTACCCGGTACATACATATTTATATACCAGGACCCAAGTACCTGTGTAAAAATTAGCTGCTTAACGCCCTATGAATAGGCCGAGTATTTGATACAAAAGACTGTATTCAGAAAAAAACTGAAATGTATTGATTAAAGCACAAAATTTTACAGCTTTAATTATATTTGAACAATATCTTATTCTTTAATTTTCTCTTTTCATGTAAGCAAGTTTATTACGAAGTACAAATTGTACTTCGGGTTCGTTGCCACGATGCACTCAGTAAGGAAAATACAAATTTTACCGATAAATTTATTAGAAAAACCTACTACATATATGTAATAGTCTTTCGATATATAAATATATTCCCAATTTATAGTGTTATCAATGATTTACCATTATTTCAATGACCATTCACACAAAAGCTTTTTTTTTTTAATTTTCGTGCAGCTATAATCGCCTCGTTTTTCTTTTTAACATCGGGCTCGATGCTATCTGATGTTCTAGAAGCTTCCGTCAATATTAAGATCGGCGAATGACGAAAATAATTTGCACATTTCCGTTTTTAATCGGTTATCACAACTTATTTCTTTTATATCATATAAATCAAGTTTTGATTGAATAATAAAGTGATGACGTTTTATGAAATAAATAAACGATTGCTTGTTGTCAGTTTCATTAAAAACTGCCAGTAACGTAGATCCGCCAAGCGGAAACGCCACCGTACTCACGTTTTTGCTATTTCATGGCTGTTTATATAAAATAACAGTAGACTTTTAATTTAATGTACGACACTTACTATGCGAGTGAAATCTAAATATAGTTTACGGACATCATCTTGTTTATAGTGTGTTGTTAGAGGAGTAAGTAAGAACTCTATTGCACCCGTTTCGGAGTTTATTTGCAAAATTTATTAATTTATATGTATAGATATTTCAGCAATATAAAAAAGAGTAATTTTATTTCGTGAAGGGTACTTTTCGCGAAATTATGCGATTATAAATTCCTCGCGTATTTTATCTACAGTATGTGATGTGATTAAATTGCTTTTTTGTATACTAAGGATTATAAGTTTAACATCGCCGTTTTGTTGCCAGTAACTTGTAAATATACCTATCTCATAAGCTATACCGTAGGCAAGTGTCATGTATGCAGAGGTACATGTACCATCTCGGTACAACTAATTTACCTTCTCAGTGCGGCTGCCTATATTATTTCAGCATGGCTACATGTACCATCTCGGTATAGTTACATATATGTTACATCTCGGTATAGTTACATATATGTTACATCTCAGTATAGCTACATATATGTTACATCTCAGTATAGCTACATATACCATCTCGGTATAGCTACATATGTGTTACATCTCGGTATAGCTACATATGTGTTACATCTCAGTATAGCTACATATGTGTTACATCTCTGTATAGCTACATATGTGTTACATCTCTGTATAGCTACATATGTGTTACATCTCAGTATAGCTACATATGTGTTACATCTCTGTATAGCTACATATGTGTTACATCTCAGTATAGCTACATATGTGTTACATCTCTGTATAGCTACATATGTGTTACATCTCTGTATAGCTACATATGTGTTACATCTCTGTATAGCTACATATGTGTTACATCTCTGTATAGCTACATATATGTTACATCTCAGTATAGCTACATATGTGTTACATCTCTGTATAGCTACATATATGTTACATCTCAGTATAGCTACATATGTGTTACATCTCTGTATAGCTACATATGTGTTACATCTCTGTATAGCTACATATATGTTACATCTCTGTATAGCTACATATGTGTTACATCTCTGTATAGCTACATATGTGTTACATCTCTGTATAGCTACATATGTGTTACATCTCGGTATAGCTACATATGTGTTACATCTCGGTATAGCTACATATGTGTTACATCTCGGTATAGCTACATATATGTTACATCTCTGTATAGCTACATATGTGTTATATCTCTGTATAGCTACATATGTGTTACATCTCTGTATAGCTACATATGTGTTACATCTCTGTATAGCTACATATATGTTACATCTCGGTATAGCTACATATGTGTTACATCTCGGTATAGCTACATATATGTTACATCTCGGTATAGCTACATATGTGTTACATCTCTGTATAGCTACATATATGTTACATCTCAGTATAGCTACATATATGTTACATCTCGGTATAGCTACATATGTGTTACATCTCGGTATAGCTACATATATGTTACATCTCGGTATAGCTACATATGTGTTACATCTCGGTATAGCTACATATATGTTATATCTCGGTATAGCTACATATGTGTTACATCTCTGTATAGCTACATATATGTTATATCTCTGTATAGCTACATATTTGTTATATCTCGGTATAGCTACATATATGTTACATCTCGGTATAGCTACATATATGTTACATCTCGGTATAGCTACATATGTGTTACATCTCGGTATAGCTACATATGTGTTACATCTCAGTATAGCTACATATATGTTACATCTCGGTATAGCTACATATATGTTACATCTCGGTATAGCTACATATATGTTACATCTCGGTATAGCTACATATATGTTACATCTCAGTATAGCTACATATATGTACCATCTCGGTATAGCTACATATATGTTACATCTCAGTATAGCTACATATATGTTACATCTCGGTATAGCTACATATGTGTTATATCTCTGTATAGCTACATATATGTTACATCTCCGTATAGCTACATATGTGTTACATCTCAGTATAGCTACATATATGTTATATCTCGGTATAGCTACATATGTGTTACATCTCGGTATAGCTACATATGTGTTACATCTCAGTATAGCTACATATATGTTACATCTCGGTATAGCTACATATATGTTATATCTCGGTATAGCTACATATATGTTACATCTCAGTATAGCTACATATATGTACCATCTCGGTATAGCTACATATGTGTTACATCTCGGTATAGCTACATATATGTTACATCTCAGTATAGCTACATATGTGTTACATCTCGGTATAGCTACATATGTGTTACATCTCGGTATAGCTACATATGTGTTACATCTCGGTATAGCTACATATATGTTACATCTCTGTATAGCTACATATGTGTTACATCTCTGTATAGCTACATGTACCATCTCGGTATAGCTACATATATGTTACATCTCTATATAGCTACATATATGTTACATCTCAGTATAGCTACATATGTGTTACATCTCGGTATAGCTACATATGTGTTACATCTCAGTATAGCTACATATATGTTACATCTCGGTATAGCTACATATGTGTTACATCTCGGTATAGCTACATATATGTTACATCTCTGTATAGCTACATATGTGTTACATCTCGGTATAGCTATATATATGTTACATCTCGGTATAGCTACATATGTGTTACATCTCTGTATAGCTACATATATGTTACATCTCTGTATAGCTACATATATGTTACATCTCTGTATAGCTACATATATGTTACATCTCTGTATAGCTACATATATGTTACATCTCTGTATAGCTACATATGTGTTACATCTCGGTATAGCTATATATATGTTACATCTCGGTATAGCTACATATGTGTTACATCTCTGTATAGCTACATATATGTTACATCTCTGTATAGCTACATATATGTTACATCTCTGTATAGCTACATATATGTTACATCTCTGTATAGCTACATATGTGTTACATCTCGGTATAGCTACATATGTGTTACATCTCAGTATAGCTACATATATGTTACATCTCTGTATAGCTACATATATGTTACATCTCTGTATAGCTACATATGTGTTACATCTCGGTATAGCTACATATATGTTACATCTCTGTATAGCTACATATATGTTATATCTCGGTATAGCTACATATATGTTACATCTCGGTATAGCTACATATGTGTTACATCTCTGTATAGCTACATATATGTTACATCTCTGTATAGCTACATATATGTTACATCTCTGTATAGCTACATATGTGTTACATCTCAGTATAGCTACATATATGTTACATCTCTGTATAGCTACATATATGTTACATCTCAGTATAGCTACATATGTGTTACATCTCAGTATAGCTACATATGTGTTACATCTCTGTATAGCTACATATGTGTTACATCTCTGTATAGCTACATATATGTTACATCTCTGTATAGCTACATATGTGTTACATCTCTGTATAGCTACATATATGTTACATCTCAGTATAGCTACATATGTGTTACATCTCTGTATAGCTACATATGTGTTACATCTCTGTATAGCTACATATATGTTACATCTCTGTATAGCTACATATATGTTACATCTCAGTATAGCTACATATGTGTTACATCTCAGTATAGCTACATATGTGTTACATCTCAGTATAGCTACATATGTGTTACATCTCGGTATAGCTACATATGTGTTACATCTCTGTATAGCTACATATGTGTTACATCTCGGTATAGCTACATATATGTTACAACTCTGTATAGCTACATATGTGTTACATCTCTGTATAGCTACATATGTGTTACATCTCAGTATAGCTACATATGTGTTACATCTCAGTATAGCTACATATATGTTACATCTCGGTATAGCTACATATGTGTTACATCTCTGTATAGCTACATATGTGTTACATCTCAGTATAGCTACATATGTGTTACATCTCTGTATAGCTACATATGTGTTACATCTCTGTATAGCTACATATATGTTACAACTCTGTATAGCTACATATGTGTTACATCTCTGTATAGCTACATATGTGTTACATCTCTGTATAGCTACATATGTGTTACATCTCGGTATAGCTACATATGTGTTACATCTCTGTATAGCTACATATGTGTTACATCTCGGTATAGCTACATATATGTTACATCTCTGTATAGCTACATATATGTTACATCTCGGTATAGCTACATATATGTTACAACTCTGTATAGCTACATATGTGTTACATCTCTGTATAGCTACATATGTGTTACATCTCGGTATAGCTACATATATGTTACAACTCTGTATAGCTACATATGTGTTACATCTCTGTATAGCTACATATGTGTTACATCTCTGTATAGCTACATATGTGTTACATCTCTGTATAGCTACATATGTGTTACATCTCTGTATAGCTACATATGTGTTACATCTCTGTATAGCTACATATGTGTTACATCTCGGTATAGCTACATATATGTTACAACTCTGTATAGCTACATATATGTTACAACTCTGTATAGCTACATATGTGTTACATCTCTGTATAGCTACATATGTGTTACATCTCTGTATAGCTACATATGTGTTACATCTCTGTATAGCTACATGTATGTTACATCTCTGTATAGCTACATATATGTTACATCTCTGTATAGCTACATGTACCATCTCGGTATAGCTACATATATGTTACATCTCGGTATAGCTACATATGTGTTACATCTCGGTAGGGTTACATATTTGTTACATCTCTGTAGAGCATTTCCGTACAGCTATACGTTACATCTCGATTCATCTATATGTTACATCTCAGTATATACGGCTGCATATATGTTACATCTCGGTACAGCTTCATGTAGCAGTAGCACCTACTGCGACACAGGACCTCGGTTTACACGGTCCTTCGGATGAGACCGTATAAACCGAGGTCCAGTGTCGCACTAGGTGCTGGCACAAAAAAGATCCCTCACTGCTCAATGGCGCTGAGTGCTGAGTATAGGTCAAAATTTGCAGCTCTCCGCCGGCAAGTGTCTCCATATGAGTGAAAAATTCTAGAGAATGACGTTAAACAACAAACAAACAATCTTGAAACAGTTATATCTTGGTACAGCTACTCGTACCATCTTGGTTCAGTTACATGTTACATCTCGGTACAGCATCTCGGTACAGCTACATATTACATCTCGGTACAGTATATGTACCAATCATATACTTAATATCCAATATATATACATTAATCTTTTTCATCAGTTTACCTTCAAAATAAGAAAACAAGAATCAAAACTTTTTTAAAACGTACTTGCCAAAGTAGAGGTAGAAGATTCTCTCTTAGAATTCCCTGCTTTGCTACATCTTCCAAAACCCTCACCAGAATCCCCGGGTCGGGGCGTTTAGTAATGTCTGCCCCCCAAAACTTCTGGGAGTCAATCTGATAGACCTTGGTCTGGTCCAGCACGTGCACGGATATCAGTATTTGGACTAATGCCCGGGGGTCAGTGCAGATAGTGGGTTCCTTGTTTACGGTAAACAGGCGGAGTATTATATTCTGTAAATTGTTAATCAATATGAAGTTTACTCGTGCATGTTTATGTTTTTTAATTAGATAATTTATTCACATTCAAAACGTAATCAGCACAAAAAAAGCATAAACGAGTGACAATAATTTTTTTTTCTAATTAATAAATCAAGTAGATTATTTCTTGATAACGTAGTATCCCTCTTGTTTCCTTTAATCATCTCAATAAATGTAATACATGTAAAAAGTCCGTTTGAAACTTGTAGTATAAATATTAGTATGTATACGCTTTGGTTGCATGTTTGGGGTGAAATTTTAAGAGCAGTGAGGCGCTCTTATAGCACAAACTGGTCCTACGCTCTTTTATATTAATTTTATTGTGACATATGTTTGCTATTGCTGTAATATTGACACTGCGACCGAGAAACCATTGCCTTCTCCAGATTTTTAGACGATAATTTGAAGTTTGTCATTATTACCTTTGATTCCAGAGCGTCAAATAAGTCCTCGTTTTCCGGGGATATTCCTATATTTTCTTCAAAATCGCCCTGCTTCATCAAAATGTTCCTCGATGATTTCATCTCTTTTATAGTTTTGATTACGGAAGCATATTGTTTCAATAAAATGGAATTTTTGTGTAACTGAAATTCAACTCTTCTGAAGATCTCCACTTTTAACTTGTGGATTTCCTAAATGAATGAATAAATTTATAAATAAATAAATATACGGTAAATGTGTTTCATGACTTCAGGGAATATTGCAAGTCTTTACAATCCTTATTATTGCATTAAAGGTGCATTTAACCCTTGCAGAACTATATTTCAGTCTCTTTTATAACCCTTTCCATTAGTTATAAATTAATGCAAAACCTTTTTCAGCGGAAGGTCAACAACGTGTAATATGAAGTCTGATGGAGTGTCTGACTCTAAAGAGTTCTCCACTTCTGTGAGGCTGTCGTGCAGAGCAGAGACCCTAAGTTTGGACAAGAAGAAAGATCGACTCAGTGCTCAACATCTGGACAATTTACATATATACGTCAAATGAAATTTTAACAAATGTAGGAAGAATATTGACCATAAATCAAAATAGTTGATAATATTTTTAACACAACATTAATTTGTCCAGTTCTAAGGTTATTAACTTTAACTTTTGTGATCTTTTTCCCGGGGGGGGGGGGGGTTAAATTCACCTGTTTGTGTTTGATATTGAGTATTTTTCTTTAACCTTTATGATACACCTTTTCAGCTGTGATTTTGTGTTGTGTATACTAGATTCCGGGGTGTTTGTGCCCTCGTTGTGTGTACAGACGACAATGATGTTCGGGCTTGATACCTGAAAATGGAGAAAAAGATATTCGTACGACTTGCCTCGATATGCTTACATTTGAAGAAATAATAATAAAAGGATAGTCCAGAACAAAATTTTATATATATTACCGTACATGACTGGCTACCCTTACCTTGGAGTGAATGTCCAGCCATGTTTCTATGAAGTCGTCAGCTGCCTCTGAATCGGAGGTAGACACACACAGAAGGAACAGCGAACTTCTGGTGAAAAAGAAACTTTGGATTCCGCGAAAAATCTGAAAAAATATCCAACATACTCAGAGAAATTTAAAGAGGAAAATGTGCCTGTGTGTTAAGGGTTATTATCTATATCTGTATTCTAAAACGAGGAAAGCTATTGACAAATAAGTTGATGGTTCAAGGATATCAATTTAATTGTCTTTTAAAGGCAACATTTCGCAAACTCTATAGTCAATACAATGACCTTGTCAGCAATTGTTAAATAGAATGTTGACTGACGTTTTTCATTCAAATTGTTAGGTCATTATTTTTACACTGAATTTTCTACGGTTTTTTCCGTTTGTTCGATCATGACAAGGAGCACACGGTGGGTATGACAGGGGATGCTTACTCCTCCATGGCACCTGATCCCACCTATAATGTTTTTAGAGGTCCATGTTACTTTGTGTTGTTTCTATGGACTTTTGAGTTTGATTACTGTTGTTTATCTTCATATTTCATTCAAAAAAGTAAACTTTTCAAGACAGAATTACCTATAAGGGAATAGCACTGCTTCCTTTCATAATACTTATCAAATACTTGTCAACAGTTATGATCAAAATAATGAAGGTATTTCAGTATAATTAATTTTTAAGTGTACTTGCGAAATATCGTATTGTATAAGTGTAAATGTAATTACTATATTGTTTGTTTACAATTTTGCTCTGAAAGATAAAATATTACCCGTCTCCCCGACCACTCCCAAATCTCGACAGGTGTCGCTGTTTCCTCGTCATCGCCTGTTAATACACTGCTATCTGTAATCAACATACTAGTAAATCATTACCATTGGCGGCAAAAATAGAAAAAGTCGAACACGATACTGATGACGATGATCAAATAATCACATTCATTCTCATCATCATGATAAGGTCTATACTTTATCTTTAATAAACATTTCTCCTGACCAGTGGGCATAGGATGCTCGTTCTTCTTACTCTAAATTGTAAAATAAATAGGAGATGCAATTGCAGAACTGTGTTTCTTTTCGCCTAAGGTACAAATTCTCAGCAATGTTATCCGATGTTCTGTTATAACATTTCCTTCTTTGGCTATCCGCCTTATAATTGATTAGCTTTTAAAGACAAAAGGTTACAACAGATTATAAGGTATTACGCAAAGGTTTTCTTTTTTAAATTGTCATTGTAAACTTTGTATTCTATTGTTTTCTATACTGTTATACTATTCTATACATCCCCCCGTGCCCCCCCCCCCCCCGTTAATTCCTTCAGCCATACCCTTTAGACACGATTTATTTGACAGTACCCGCTCGCACCAAAAACAGAGTTATAGTCGTCGAGATGTATTACTTAATGTATGTCAGGTGCTTTAGATGAGAGGTTTCTTTTTTAATAAAACGTACAAAAATTAAAATTTATTAAAAAAAAAAAAAACTAAGTGATTTTTGGTGTTTTTGATTTGACTCCGCCTTCAATAATTAACTTTAAACAGTTTTAAAAAAGGGTTTGCCATTGAGCGAGAGTATTGCTTAACGCTGATCATGCTGATTAGTACTTTCAATTCAATGAAAAAAAATTCAGTTTTATGCAAATGCTTCTAATTATCTTAAAAATATTTGTGTTTTTTAAAAAGTATTTGTGATAAAATATCCCTAATCAAGCTTGAAATAAAAAAAATATTCAAATCCCAAAACTCTTACTTGTCTTGGGAGAGAAATTCCAGGTATGGATACTGACTCCATTATCACACCGGACTCTGTTGTCATGTTCCGTCACTCCAAATATGGCGGTGATGAGGTCTGACTTACCACATCCTGGACGACCCAGCACAAAAATCCTCATCTTTAGGATTAATAAATCACATAATCGCCCCCAGAGTTACAGTCTTTGTGATTTAGCAAAACAAAACGCATGGTAAAGGGTATAGGTCTGGTATATATGTTAGAGAGCCCGTGTTTTTTTAATAAAAAAAAACACGCGCTTTATTTCTGACAGACAAACGGACAAAGAAAATGAAACACTGTTTCTCTGTGATACAACAAAATAAAAACTGTCATATATGTCATAAGCAGTATGTACGAAGTGTTGGTAGCTTGGTGAATTATAAAAAAAATCTCCTACAGCTAGGCCTTTCAGTAAAGAACTTCCAGTCGCGGACTGATAAAGACACGAGAAGAGTGCTTGCTGAGTAAATATGTAAAGGAAGTACTTGATCGAATTCCTCAGAATTTTTCATGAAAAAAAAATCAATTGATTCAAGATCGAGGATTGGAAGATGACAGAGACTTCAAAGGAGGCTCGGCTACTGTGTCACCCAGCCTTAGAAATTGTGAATAATTTATTTTATTGCAAAAACTGTGTAAAGATTTAGCTTATTTGATCAATCAAGATTTTTGTAATTTAATTAATCAGTATTTCAAACTTCCAGTCTCAGGTCTTGTACTACACTGGTATTGTAAATGCACCTACAAAACAATTTTACTTTAGAAAATTATAATTTCTAACGTTGTTATTTTGTTCAATTCATTAATTAATGAAAAGAAAAGGTGCGTCCGCATCATTATTTTTACAACACCTGTAGTTGTTTTAATTATAACCGAATAATTAAAACGTTAATGAAAGCAATTATAATGAATTTCGTTCTTGCTGCTTAATTAAGACAACCAAGTCACGACCGCACATGTCTAATAGCAACAGGAGTTATTTAAAAGGAAGAATTTAATAATTGGATTAAAATGCGATTACATTTTGAGTGAGAGAATGGACATTATCAAAAGAAAAAGACAAGAAATAAGTTATTCAAACGAAAATAAAAAAATAAGAATGAATGAAATATACAGCATAGAAAGCAAGGTAGGAGTATTTTTATTTACCAAAACTAGTAATATTCTTCACTGACCACACCGGAAGATATTCCTTGAATGGTTTAGATATTAGAATATATATTATTTATGCGCATGCGTTAGTATTTGTTGTGATTTCGAACAGAAACTGAGAAAGATGTGAGAGACGGTAAACTAGCTGCCTGATACTTTGCTTGAATTATTTCCTTGTCTATGAATAATTCCTTTTATTTTAAAATTTTGTACTGCACTATTCTGTATGAATATTCTGCATCTTGCAACCGCGTACGATTTTAAAGGTTTGCATGAAGCCGGGAAATGTGTCTAAACTTGCTTTGGATGACACTGACAGTGTTCAGTAAATATATTATCACTCATTAGATAGTATCAGATTTGAAATCTTTTGTTAAGGATTATCTACAGAATGTACATTAATACTATTATTTGCAAAAAAAAAAAACAAAAAAAAAAAATCAATTTTTCTAGTTTGTTCGTAATTAACAAAGAATCTAACCCCCCCCCCCCCTTTATCATACTGTAGAGTATTTGTGTTGAGTTCAGAGTAAATATAGGATTCGATTGTCAAAATTTAAAGATTCAAACTTAAGTGTCTAATATTCACTCTCTTTTTTATCACTCCTTAAGGATTTAATACAAGATATTGCCAGTCCGAAGATGGCCAGCACAAGCTTGTTAGGGGGGTCTGGCCATAATGTCACTGGCTTGCCACCCATTGTCCCAAATCTGGCCTCATCTCTACCTCAGCTTACATCAGAAACCGAGCTCCAGAAACTGCTCGCTGATGAACGGATGAGAAGCCAGATGCACAAAACCAACTATGAGCAGTTAAAAGAAGAGCACAAACGGTAGTTATTGTTTATTTTATCCCAGATTTTATTCAGAACAAATAAAAATAAAATAATGTTATTTATGTAAATGTGCAAATTATAAGGTAAAGAGTAAGTTTTGAATGCTATGATCACTGAATTTTAGGTTGCAAGATGAATATGCACAATTGGAGGAAGAGATTAAAAGGACGGTGGAAGAGAGTAAGATTGTACAGGAAAAGTACAAGACAATGTACGAACAGACTCGAAGGGAACTCGGCGAGAAGAGCGCTCAAATGGAGGAAATCCGAAGTAGTGTAAGTGTAATTGTTGGCCATTTCTCTGTCATTTACTGTAAACCAACTATTTGCATGTGAGAAATATCTGTACTCTTCTTTTACTTGCGAATAATTCTCACCTTCAAGCCATTACTTTTTATTTTGTTTTTGTAAGAATATCTTCTCAGTTGCAAAAATTAATTGTTGCAGATGGATTTCAAATGACAAAGAGCCCCCCCCCCCCAAAAAAAAAAAAGAACTCAAGGTGCAAATGTGAATAGGTTTACAGTAATTCAGAGCAGTTTTTGGGATTTCTAATAATTTACAAATTAATAGGGACATAATTTCTAGGGCTGTCACAAGTACCCGAAATAACCGAGAACCGCGGTCCAAGTTGTTCGGTTCGGTTCCGGTTCCATTTTTCCAGATTTCGGTTCAGGTCTGGTTTATATATTAGAGTCTGCTCAATACAAAAAATGGCATCGAAATCAAAGGAATGATGATGATAACAGTGATAAATAAACATCACAACTGAAATCTACTTCATTCCATGACAGAATACTTGTCACGGAAGTATTAGATAATTATCAAAATGAGCAGGAATGGTCAGGTTGTGGCTAATAGTAGGCCAAGTAGTTCTACACATCGATGTCTAGACGTTCGCATGGTTAAGATTTGTTTTCAATGTAAATTTAATGTAACAAATGAAGATTTTTCATTTTAAATTCATGAAATTAAGGTTTAAAATAGATGTAAAAAAACGAACTGAAAAACCTGAAACCAAACCGAAAATTTACAGAACTGACCCGACCCGAAAAATTTTGGAACCGTGACAGCCCTAATAATTTCATGAGTAAACATACAAAGACCACAATATTCATTGGGGTTTTCAGCTGGTAGGTATGGGGTACCTGCAAAATCCATGAAAGGTGGACTCCAGTGAAATAATGATTCCAAACTCCACAGTTATAAAAAAAAATTGCTTACCCTTAAGGATTTGTACATGAATTTTCTAAACCGTGTAAACTGTGTAAGATATTTTTTTTTGTAATCATGTAAAATAATACTTTGTAAAATTTTAAATTAATATTGTTCCTTTGATAATGATATAGTAAAGTTTGTTACATAATAATTCATGGAAGTGAAATAAATTTCCAGGTATTCACTCCCCAGCGTCTAGAAATAATACGAACTCAGGTAACGGAGGAAATATCAAAGATTTACAAGGAACGTTATCACAAACAGGAAGAGGAAGTGGAGGAGTATCGTACGCTGTGTAACCAATTAAAACACACGCTGGCCTTCACACAGTCCGAGTACGAGACCCAGAAAGCTGAGTATCAACGGATTATAGAGGAATATAAGCTTAGTGCTGAGGCAGAGGTAAGTGATCATGATGTCATGTACAAACCGATCAAATTTAAGTAAACATATCAGCAAAGATTTAAATGTTAAATCTATATATTAGTAAGATCTTATTGTATGAATGATAGATAGGATTGGGAAAATAGTATTAAATTAATATACTTTGTAAATGTATGTCGCCATTTCTTCAGTTCAACATTTATATGGTATTTAGTAAGAAAATTTTTTAAAAAGTAATTAAATGAAAACACTTCTGTTCTTTACAATTTTCATTTTTTGTATGTGCCAAAAGCTAAAAAACATACATATTTTAAAACATGGTAAACACAAAAAAAAATTGAGTAGTAAAACTATCAATTCAAATTTGACATATCATAAGAAAAATTTTCCAGTGTATATAGAGGATATTCAATGTTTTGTAGATGAATATGGAATTTATTTCACAAGTGGGATAGGATTGTTTGATATTTTCACGAGTGCGAAGCAGGAGTGAATTATCAAAATATAAAAAAAAATCCTGTCTCACGAGTGAAATAAATTCCATATTCATCTACAAAACATTGAATTTTCTGTTTATTACATTTTCTTTGATTTTCCCTTTGCCTCTGTCTTTTCTTAACACAGTGTCATAGGCTTGACGTCATAGTTGAGCGGTTGAGACGTCATAGCTTAGAGCTGCAGTTATGTGATTGAAAACATTACATAGCATGGATTTTAGTAACATATTTGGGAAGAAATTTGCAGTTTTAGCTCTATCAAGATGCTTAGTTAATATCTCTATCTTATGACAGGCCAGAAATTAATTTTTATTTACTTTGATTTCCTTTCACACTGTGAGAGAATATCATTTTGGTATCCTTTCACACTGTGAGAGAATATCACTTTTATTCAGTAAATAAATCACGGTATTTCACTATTGAAAATGTAATAAAATGACATACTTAAGTAAAACCACAGATATTGAAATGATAATTGCTGATCTTTTCTTTGATTTACATTATAAATTCTTCAAACAGGTCACTAATCTACGTAAAGAAAGGGAGACAACCATCACTAAGGTGCGAGAGGAGAGCAGTCAGGACACGGAGCGTGTGCGGATCTTACAGAAGGAGAATGCGCAGTTACTGCTGAAACTAAAGACGTTAACCTTAGAACTGGAGGAGCTACATGCTCAGAGAGAAAAACAGGGCTTTGAGACAGACAACATCACCCGTGTACAGGCTAAACAGATAACAGAGCTCTCAGCCTCCGTCAAAGGCCTCGAGGTAAACCAGTCCTGTACTGAATCTTATACAGTATAAATTTATGTAGGATCATTAAAAGAACTCAGTTCTCAAATTTGAGAAATCTGTAGGCACCTTTCATTTGCTAGATTTAAGGCTTAGAGTTTTTTCCCTATGTTTTGTGATATTTGGTATGCATTTGTTGTATATAAAGAAATATGTTTATTAAATAATTTTTCAGACTGAGCGTGAATCACTTCGTCGACAGCTTGACCAGTTACAGCGAGATTTAGCTCTAACTGGTGACACTCATAACAAGCTGACGGGGCAGATCCACGAGCTGGAAAAAGAAAACGCTGTCTATAAAAATAAACTGGAGGAACTGACACACAAAAATAAAGTAGACCTCACCAACCTCAAAATGGAAATGTTAAAACAGCGGGGGGAGTTAGAGAGGGAGAGAGACAAGCTACTGAATGTGGTGGATGGTAGGTTATATTCAGGGTTAATTAAAAGGTTATAGTATACATGTAACTTAGGATTTACAAGGATGAACATGAACTGTTGATTTAATTAATGATGGATTATATTTAGAGTTACTGTAAACCAACTATTATTCATGGCATTCTTTATTTAGGATTCGCCAGTTTGAAATCCTACTGCGACTACTTATTTTTGTGACTGATGAAAATTTTTGCATAAGTGCTCAATGATATAAATGGTTTGTGGTGAGAAATATTCAGGGTTAAAAGAAGCTGATTAAGTCATTTGGTGAATATCTAAGTGACAATAAAAAAAATGATATTTTGTAGATTTACAGACAAAGTTAGAGATAAATAAACACACAATTGACCAGCAAGCTCGAGCTCTGGTGGAGAAGGAGAGAGATGCTGTCCGGCGAGTGCAGGCCGCGAGGGAGGAGGAGTTTGTAAAACTGACCAGTGTAGAGAGTGAAAAGTAAGTCATACTGACCAGGATATAGGGGGGTAAATTTATAGCAGGTCGATTGAATAGAAATCATTTTTAATTGACCAATTTACCACAAGACCATTGCGTTTATGATACATGGAATATAGCACTGAATGACAATATGCAGTCCAATTTCTTATGATAATACAAAGTATATTAAGCTAGCTTAGCAAATCAGCTGCTTCTTACAATGTACAGTGTGTGACAAAAGTTTATCAGTTGCCTCTTACAATATACGGTATGAGACAAAAGTTTATCAGCTGTTTCTTACAACATTTCTCTTGACATTTACAGACTGGCATTAGAGACAAAGCTGCAGGAAATGGACCGCCGGAAGATTGACCAGGAAGCTTACAAACATGCCGAGAAAGAGAAAATGGAGGAGCGGATCCGAGCAGCAAACGATGCAAAGGAAACAGCTGAGAGGGAACTTCTAGTCTTAAAGTAAGTCATGGAAAGGGAGGGAACTTATAATCTTAACATAAGTCATGAAAGGGAGGGAACTTCTAGTCTTAACGTAAGTCATGAAAGGGAGGGAACTTCATAGTAAGTCAAGGAAAGGAAGTGTTGAATGCTATATATAGATGTAAGCGGTGTGAAGAGCTCTATAATTCATTAACATTCTCTTATTTGTAGGAGTAAAATTGACCATCAGAATTCTCTACAGAACCAAATAGAGCGAGAACGCAGTGAAAATTCAGACTTAAAAAGTAAAATCTCAAAACTGGAGACTGAAATCAATGCATACCTGGGAAATGAACACGATATGACAGATGATAACTTACGGCTGAGAAATCAGGTGGAATTACTCCGGGAGGAGATTAAGTTGACCAAGGGTCAGCTAAAGAAAGTTCAGGACAATCACGATATTATATTGATGCAACAGAAGAGTGCATTTACAGAGGAAAAAGCTCAGATCGATCACAGATTACAGGAGCTCCAGGGCCAGCTAAAGGAACTCCACGGCAAATACCAGAGGGCCCTCACAGCTTATAAAAAGGTGAGAGTCTAGGACAAAATTTTACATCATTAAGGAAACATATTCCTTTCACCTATGAAAAGGGTTAAGAAACATATCCTTATGACTATTAAAAGTCTACGTTCAATACTTCCATTTGAAGATAAGTATGTGTATTGTATTTCTAGGCATTGTGTAAATTCTTCATAAAATGTATAAATCTTTATGTGGAAAATTTTGAATTGTTTACTGTAAAATTATCTTTGTACATACATTTTCAGGTATTTATTTTGTATCAGTTACATGTGATTTATATAATCTCTTTATTTAGTACAAGAAGAAAAGCACACATGTGGTGGAGCGATTAAAAGACAAAATAGAGATTTTAGAGGCCAAAAATGTGGAAATAGAATTGGAGAAAAAGGCGTTACAGTAAGTCTTTTTTTTTTTTGTAAAACATGCATGTATATTTTAGATCACAGACCAATATACAGTGAAATAAAACATGCAAGTAAAATTTTTCTCGGAAAATTATTATTAGGTTCTTTAGTAGCTGAATACTTTGTCAAAAGTACAGATTTTAAACTTGATGATAACCAAATAATTCAAAAGCCAGTGCTTTAGGAAGTAGCTCTTCTGTACCTATACGTCTATACGTGTTAATGTTGACATTTCAGAGCCTGCGTACCTCAGGATATTTACAGCAAACTTAAGAAACAATGGAAGGATCTCCACAGGCGACACAATGAGTTCCGTAAAGTCTTGTTGTCTAGCGTATTCCCGGTCACTATTGGTGATATGTCCTTTGCCAATGTCACAGTTCCAGTTGATTGCACATTTCTACCCGGAAATGTCAGCTTTACAGAACAGGTACATAAAAGGTTACCATTAAATTACATATAGAGAGAAAATTCATCATAACTGTAACATAAAAGCCCCTCATGTAGTGGGTGTTACTGGGAAATTACTAATTTTCGTGGTGGTTTGATTTGCATGGTTTTCATGGGATAAGGAGACCCATGAATTCATGTCCCTCAACTCCAACACTTTTTGTACCATGAAATCAAATCCCCACAAACTGATAATATTTCCTCAAACCCCAAAAAACTGACCCCACGAAAATTAGTGATTTCACAGAACTTAACACTCTTTATAAAATGTACTTTAGATATTGTTTTATGTAACAGATGTTTATCTCTCTTAGTTACCTGTTGAATGACTTGTAGCTAGTATTAGTGGAGTATCATTGTTTACGTATTTTTATGGTCTTCTCTGCCTTATTTCAGCATTAGTTTTAATTGACTTCATCATAGCTAGAGGTAGTATACTGAAGCTCTATATTATAGCTGTACTCAGAAAATCAAGGCTTATCTCCCTTCATAATCTCTCCATGAATTTGTGTGCCAACTCTAAATATACATGTAAACAGAAAAAGATCATAAACTTGCTGCATGAAGGTGTTGTCAGTTTATCTGGAAAAGCTTTGGATTTTCTGCATATGGTGTATCAAATGTAGAAACGAGATTAATCAATTTTCACAAAGTTACAATTATGGTAGCTACATGTAAATGTACAACGTTTATCATCCATTCCATCAAATATTACTTCATTTTGACAGATAAGTATGTACCTAACATCTAAATTACTTATAAATCATTAATCAGTACATGGATTCACCTTTTACACAGTTATATCATTAGTTAATTATTAGACCACCATACCATTGATTAATCTTGTTCTGTGTCTGTTCTGTACTTGTACTGTGTTGCATGTGTTTATGTTGTATTCCTTTAAATTTTTGGGGGCTTTTGATGTCGTTTTCGTTTATATTTTCCTACTTTTGTTTCTCTTCTCAGAAACTAAAATTGCCTATCCTGTAAATCAGAATCACATGTCAGCCTTACCTATCAGATCAGATGTACAGATCATATTACAGTCTCATATTTCACATTATCATTACAAAATTGTCATTTTTGAAAAATTGAAAGGTCTCGGATTGATCAATGATGGAAAGTGGCGAAGTACATTCCCAAAGTGCACAGAAAATCTTGCGCTGTAAATTGCACCATATTTGCATTATGGGATCTGTAGCGTTATGGTCAAAGACTAAAATATAAAACCATAACGCTACAATTCTGTAGCTTGTCCCTCTTGTACTTAAGGCAGATACCTGGTTTGTGACCTTTCTGTCCTATTGATCTTAAAGATATATTTATTTTATTAAGATAAAAATCTCTTGAAATAATGGATTCCTGGTTCAGAATAGAATTTCTGTGGGCCAAGTTTTTTAATGTTATCTATTTTATCAGTGTTGTGTTATTTCCTGATTTCAGAAGAAATGAATCTCATTATGTAGATGGTTAACATCTGAAAGTTTAGAATATTAAACGTTGACTTTGTCCAGCTGATATTGAGAGAGATGTTTGTTTAAATATACAATGATTTAATTTTAGGAGAGAAAACACCAGGAAGACCTTCGTCTACTGAAGCAGAGACTCGATCGCGTGGACAATAACCAACAAAAACAGCTGGAAGAACTCCAGGAGATAGCCTCCAGCACGTTCAGGGGGACCTTCCCAGAACTAGACGAGAAAATCGGGGAAAGGGTCATCGAGGAAAAAATTACAGAGTCAGAGGTCATTATAGAACACGAGAAAATCGTGACAAAAGACGTCATTGTGGAGGATGAAAGTATGGAAAAGGCAGACTCTGAAAAATCCAGCTGATGACAGTGGGCCGGAATTCATCCTTCATCATACTCATCTAACTATTTATCAGATAGCAACTTGTATTAAGAATTTTTAGAAAGGAACAAATACCCGAGGAAAGCTTTTCTGAGACAACAGCATTACAAGAAAGCCTTCATAGTTTTTCAGAATGAAACTGGCTTTCTACACACTGTCACACTGAACACAATGTCATATTTTCCCCCTCAAGTGTAATGCATAAAATGTTCCCATGTACCAGTCTAATCAGAGATTTTATTTGGAATTGCCCCGTGGATTTGATTTCAGTGCTGCTCGGAGCCTGGCTTGGACAATGATTTAGTGTAAAACGAAGGTGTTATCTGATCATTCTAAACCTGTAATTCTCTTCTCTAGCTGTGATATATAAACTTAGTGGATATTTTCTCTACACATGTATTTATATTGTATATTTACATATTATATTTATGTTTTTGTTAATTGATATTGACTTTAATCTCCATGTGCCTTGTTGTGGAGTTGCATAGCAATACTGGAACAGGTGCTTTGGTCAATGGTTTCTTTAGAACTACATTAACATAAAGAGAAGTAGGGTTGTGCTGTTTTATACTGTAGTGGAAATATTTTTGAAGTACAAAGTGCATCACTGAACTTTCTTATTTCATATTTTTGATACAGACTAAATGTCAAATGTAAATAAATTCTCTCTGACTTCCAACTTTCAGTCCACTTGCAACAAATATCTTCTAGTGCATGGAGGTAAAGTTCAGACTGATTTTTTTTTTTGTGATGTATTTTATTACAAAAAAAAAATAAATGATAAATAATAAAGTAAGTCCTGTCTTCTTTTTGAATTATATATACATGTAGCAGTTGTAATTTCAAAGACTAGAGGTTCACTTTATGCATGAAATGGCCCAGTGTATAGACCATTTAATCAGGTATCATTCTACAATTTCAAGCCTAAGCAGATTATGTCTTTTACTGCGATGGTTTCAATCATTAATTCCTGTATTAAGAAACAAAGCATTATATTGTTTATTCTCATCACAAAAAACAGAGAAAGAGTGAGCAAGCTCAAATACCCAACGCTCCCAAACTGGTTGACAATGTTGCACATAATGAATGGCAATGCTATACATTTAATACAAGATAATTAACACCCCCTTCACTTTTACAGATGTTTGTGAAAAAGCATCCAAGATGCAAATTTCCTGTGAATATGCTCATCTACACAGTAAATGTGTGTACAAAGTTTCATGAAATTCTGTACAGTGGTTTCAGAGGAGTTGCGCTGACAAAAACAGAACTGACTGATGGACAGGTCAAAAAAAACTAGAAATCTGACCAGTCAGCAAGGGCCCCGCCAAGGGTTAGAAATATAAGGGTGCAGATTAGGGGATGAGAATTTTACTTGATTCCAAAAAAATTTCAAATATATAAAGAATAAGCAATAGCAACTGCTAAATATCCAACAATCTGTAAATAGTATCCTTGTATTTACATAAGGCAGTAAAAAACATCATATCTATAATAACTCAATTAAATGTATATTTAAAAATGAATGAAGCATGTGTTTTCTAAAATGCCAGCCTTCAGTGAATGCAAATATCATCCAGGGTTGACCCTAACTCCAAAACAAATATCAGTTGCAGACAAAGGTGTTAATTAATCTTAAAGTGACAGAAAGATTAACCCTCTAAAATATTCTGCAAACCAGCAAGATAATCAAACCCACGGGATTAATTATACTGCTCTCTCAACCTTTTCTTCTAAGTTTACAATGAGAACTTTTTCAGCAATGATAGAATGAGGTTATTATCTGAATACCTGTTAATTAAAATAATTAGTATTCTTGAATTTACATAAGGCAGAAAAAAAGAAAAAAAAGAGAAAAGAAAATAATAATAAAAACGATATTTTTATCTATATCTTGTTTTTAGAATTCAATAAAATCATAACTCATCGTGTATTTTACCAAAATAAAGTATGAACATTATTTAAATCAGCATTTCAGAGAATGTAAACATCATTCAGAATTGACCTTAACTTCAAAACAAACTTCATTTTCAGACAGAGGTGTTAATTAATCTCAATGTGGCATATAAAGATAAATGCTTTGGATTTTCTTCAAGAGGAAAGATAATTAATCCCAAGAGACTCATTGCAGCCTTTCATAGTTTACAATAGGAACATTCTCAGCAGTTATCTCTCTTTGCCCATTCACTCTTATATAAAGTTAAGGAATCTACCCCACCCACCCCAGCTCCAAACCGGATGACATAGAGAACCAAACTTTGCACCAAAATATGTCTTACTGCCTATTCAACCAACATACCAAATTTGAACTTAATTGGTCGACCCTAAAAAAAGTTATTAGAAAAAAAACAGAAAATTTGTGGACGGAAGAATGACAGACAGACAGAGTGATTACTATAGGGCACCCGCAAATCCTTGCAGGGCCCTAATTATTCCCTCTGCAACTCATTTGGTGTACAACCACTTGCTTAATACCTTGTGATTTATTAAGTAAGGGTTTATATTTTTCGTGACAAGAAAAATGCCTGCACATGTCCAATGTTTAAAGATACTTATTGTATTAACCATCTACTCTGTAATGACAGATACATGTATTATGATCCTTTTATACATAATCGTCGTCAAAATGCAATATACCTTGTCATCTCTGATTTCCCGCGGACATGTGTGTCTATACATGTACGGTATACTGTCTACGCATTTCCTTCATCAATATTCATGAAAAGGCTCTTGCTTAACTGTTTTTTTTTTTAATTACAATTACTTTATTAGTAAAATTTTGTGGAAAGTATATACATAATAAAACACAAAGCACACAGTCACAAAAAATCATATATGTATAAATCAACATTTATTGCACATTCCCAAAATGCTCAAGTTCTACTGACTAGTAAAGATTTTAAACAACCAATGGTACTTGTACTTCTGTGTTGTGATTATTTATTGTAAAACAGTCACCAGAGCATTTGAGTCGGAGTCAAGTGAACGCAACATGTATGGACTAGTCCTCAGTCACCTGGTTGGACTAGTCCTCAGTCACCTGGATCTCTGAGTCTGACTCACTGTCACCAAACGTGTCCTCCGTCAGCCCAAAGTCACGTGACCTAGCGACTGCCATGGCAGCCAGACTGGAGGAGAACTGAAAGTTTGGACTCTGTGTTGTTAAGACTCCAATCCTTGGCACAGAGTTTGGAAAACTTCCTAATGAACAATCAACAGATTCTTCTGAACCTGTTGTGAAAATCCTTTCTTTACAATGATTATCATTTTCAGTGTCTGTGTTTAGTCCACAGTCTAAATCACTTTCAGACTCAACACTTTTTAACTGTTCAACAGCTAATTTACACTCATCACAACTCAAATCTTCTTCATGACAAAGCTCCTCATGTATGGGAACACCTTCATTTCCAGAAACGCAGGATAAATCCAAGTTGGTATCTTCATGACTATCCTCATTTTCATAAATCCTCTCTATTAATTTCTGACCTACATGTACTTTCTGGTCTTCTGTTGTCACATCTTTCCTCTGCTCGCTGTGATTCTCTGTGGTCGTGTGGCCATTCTTTCTTTCCTGGGCTATCCCCTCGCTGTGATTCTCTGTGGTTGCGTGGCCGTACTTTCTCTCCTGGGCTATTTTCTCCCTCCTCCCCATCTCCCGGGCCCTCACAGAAATCACCGACTTAAGCTCGGTCAGTAACCGCAGGGCTTCCTGTTTCTCTTGCCTCTTCCTCTCCTGAAATATCCAACAAGACTGATAATTTGTCTCTTAAAATTTTCTAGATGTCAGAGTATTTAAATTTGTTGTTCACGTATGGAAGGTAATATTAATACAGGTCATATACATTTCTTTGTGCCTGACAGGAAAAATGTCTTTTACACTCTGGCATGAACTGATCATCTGCCATTTATAGAAACAAAAGCATCTTTAACAATCAACAACCACTTCTACAATGACAATGCTAAATTGAGTTTTTACGTGGCAAACATTACGCCACAACTGGGTATTCATCCTGTGGGTTAAACAACTTCAATATAAAGTTGTTTTTGTACATGTGAAGTTTATTAACTTGATAGAGGAAAAGCTACCTTTTCTTCTGGAGTAAGATACTCATCCCAGCTATAATCTGGGTCATTTTCTGCTTCCTCATCAATGTAGGCTTCAAACACCTGAAACATGGATGCTATACATATATTTCTTTTTCAAAACAGTCAAAATTTTTGTCAACAAATTTTATTTTGTGAAATGTAATATCTTGAACACAGCCATCTCCAATACCATGGATATGTCGAAGGGGGTTGGAAGTCTCAACCACTTTTCTTGAGTATTTTACTCTCACTATCTCTAAGTGGGTATCTCAAAGTTCTTCCTCGCTCCCATCAAGTTCAGTATAATGAGGTTTGACTGTACACCATAACATTAATGTGTGATCTATGAAAGAATTTTGTTAACAAGGGCACAGAAATTGATATTGCTTTTTAAAGAACCACAAATAGTAATTGATTATCTCTGACATTCCTACCTCATCCTCTATAATTGGAGGACTGGTGTTAAACAGGTCCACAGGGGGTACGTGGATGGGGGTTTGAGTATGTTCTGTCTGTGGGGGAACCTCTTCAGTCCTTTCTGCTAGTCAACAAAAAACATCACAGCATGTATAAGAATTAAGAGTTAAAAACTAGGGACCGGCCTTTTAATGTACATTTTCATACTAAATAATGAGCAAAACATTTTTTTACTTAAGAAAAGAGAAGGGTGGAGGGGAGGGGGGAGCCCTCCCCCCATCACTTAACAAGAGGCCCATGGGCCACATCGCTCACCTGAGCACACTGGCTAGGCAAAAGCACACATCAGTTCAGTATTGAAAAGACGGGGGGGGGGGGGGGGGGGGGGGGGGGGGGGGGGTGGCTCCTCCCTATCCCAGGGGTCATCATTTGAACAAACTTGAATCTACACTACCTGAGGATGCTTCCATACCAATATGACTAAACATAGCTTTTCTGTTCTTGAGAAGAAATATTTTTTCTATATGTTCTTATGTAAAACTTTCCATCCCCCATTGGGCCCCACCCTACCCCTGGGGGTCATCATTTGAACAAAATTGAATCTAAACTACCTGAGGATGCTTCCATATCAAAATGACTAAGCATGGTTTGCAGTTCTTCAGAAGAAGATATTTTCCTTTATATTTCTATGTAAAACTTTGATCCTCCATTGCAGCCCCGCCCTACCCCCGGGGGTCATGATTTGAACAAATTTGAATCTACACTACCTGAGGATGCTTCCATATAAATAAGACTCATCATGGCTTTGCTGTTCTTGAGAAGAAGATTTTTAAAGATTTTTCCTATATATTTCTATGTAAAACTTTGATCCTCCATTGCGGCCCCGCCCTACCCCCGGGGGTCATGATTTGAACAAATTAGAATCTACACTACCTGAGGATGCTTCCATATAAATAAGACTCATCATGACTTTGCTGTTCTTGAGAAGAAGATTTTTAAAGATTTTTCCTATATATTTCTATGTAAAACTTTGATCCTCCATTGTGGCCCTGCCCTACCCCCGGGGGTCATGATTTGAACAAACTTGAATCTACACTACCTGAGGATGCTTCCATATAAATATGACTCATCATGGCTTTGCTTTTCTTGAGAAGAAGATTTTTAAAGATTTTTCCTATATATTTCTCTATGTAAAACTTTGATCCTTCACTGTGGCCCCACCCTACCCCCGGGGGTCATGATTTGAACAAACTTGAATGTACACTACCTGAAGATGCTTCCACAGAAGTTTCATCTTTCCTGGCCCTATGGTTCTTGAGAAGAAGATTTTTAAATAATGCATTTATTTTTTCACTAATTCTTAATTATCTCCCCTTGAAAGAGGGCATGGCCCTTCATTTGAACAAAATTGAATCCCCTTCACCCAAGGATACTTTGTGGCAAGTTTGGTTGAAATTGGCCCAGTGGTTCTTGAGAAGAAGTCGAAAATGTGAAAAGTTTACAGACAGACAGACGGACGCCGGACAAAATGTGATCAGAAAAGCTCACTTGAGCTTTCAGCTCAGGTGAGCTAAAAATACTATGGATTATTTCATTCATTCATCTAGACTAGAGTGAAGACTTTCAGCTATATACATGTACAAGGACTTCCAAAATCTTTCAACTGTCTGTCATTGTATACATACCCTGACATGACTCATTTTTGTACAGTACATACTCTGACATGACTGGTATTTTGTACATACCCTGACATGACTGGTTTTTGTACAGTAAATACCCTGACATGACTGGTTTTTGTACAGTACATACCCTGACATGACTCATTTTCCTATAGTACATACCCTGATATGACTGATTTTTGTACAGTACATACCCTGACCTGACTGGTTTTTGTACAGTACATACCGTGACATGGCTGGTTTTTGTACAGTACATACTCTGACATGACTCATTTTCATATAGTACATACCCTGACAAGACTGGTTTTTGTACAGTACATACCCTGACATGACTGGTTTATGTACAGTACATACCCTGCCATGACTGGTATTTGTACAGTACATACCGTGACATGACTGGTTTTTGTACAGTACATACCGTGACATGACTGATTTTTGTACAATACATACCCTGACATGGCTAGTTTTTGTACAGTACATACCCTGACATGAATGGTTTTTGTACAACTTGTTGAGCCGTTCTAATCCCTCTTCCCAGCATCCTTTGCACGCCAGTAGTTCCTGTTTGATTTGATCCCACAGAGCCTCTTGTGATTGGTTGTTTATAGTGTCTTGTTCAATCTCTGTATTCTGATTGGCTGAATGCTTTATAAGGACTGACAGTTTTCTGACCCTGAGGTGTCAAGCAAAAAATTAAGATAAATAATGTCATTTCCTTCAAATTTTGTCAATGTAGTTTCTGGGGATGAATGCGATTTCTCACCATTGCTTTATTACAATTCATTTTTTTTTACTGAACCATATACATGTATTAAAACATACACATAATTACACCAGTGTTTAACTACCATCCTCCCTGACTGGTATTCATTAATACCTCAATAAGGCTGCCTGTAAATGAAGGTCAAGGCTGTGGACTGCTATGTCAAGGTCATTCATTTGACTGAGGTCAGATTTTTGCGGTTGTGTATCTGACAGAGTTGTCACACTGCTGTAATAACTGTGAAGGGTCCCCAGTTTTTGGATCCACCCCAGGACCTTCTCCAGAATACCTTGTGTCTCTGGGTGAACAGCGATACTTGGTGAATCTGAATTTTTGCAGGTAAACCCCATCAAAAATTTATTATGATTTTTTTAACACCCAAAAAGTTTACAATCTTTTTTAATTATCCACATTCAATTACTTTTTTTCAATACAATGAAATTTTTGGTTGTAATAAAGATGAGATACTAAATGAAATATAGCTTTGATTTTAATTACAAATATTCCTGTATGTAACCTGATGTGTGTTAACTTACCTACAGCCTGCAGTACACGCAGAATGACACACCTGCAGAACTCCGAGTACTGCATCCTACAGACATGATTAATTCCCTGTCATCAATAAAGGAATGTTGAAATATGTTAGACACCAACAAAATAAATATTTCATTAATACAAAGATTATATGAATAGTAGAGATATGCATGAGTACATACCAATGAACAAAGACTTTTTCACTCCTTTAACTTTGTACTAAACTGACCCTACATAAATGACTTTAGACAATTTTTTGGGTACTCATTCCCCTTGGTAGAATTATACTGAGGTATATTGTAGAGAAATCCAGTTTGTTTCTTATGATGCTGAAAACATCTACACACCTTGATGGCTGATATAGAGAATCCATCTGTCACCTCCTCCAGGCGGGCCAGGGACACTGAGTTGTCCCCCTCCACCTGCAAACATGGACCATACTCTTCTAAAGGAATGTGGGCCAGAAAATTAATGGAGCTATCCACCGGTAAAGGGTGTCTGTAAAATGTTATCATATAGAGTCAGGATCTGCTGGTAAAGGGTGTCTGTAAAATGTAATGATCTACAGTCAGGGTATCTGAGTGTAAAGGGTGTCTGTAAAATGCATTTAGAAACAGGAGCAGTCATGCCTGCAAAAATCGGTACAGGAGAAATCTAAAGTACCAACCACTGATACAGACAGTCATTATTCAAATGAAAATGGGTAAGTTTTTTTTTTTTTTTTTTTTTTTTTTTTTATTTAAGTCAGTATCATCATCTACATAAGTAATATTTTGCTGTAACCTGCACTTCATTTGAATTGTATGAATTTGCAAAAAAGAAAATCATTTGCTTCCAAAAATTTCCTACAATTTTCCAGGGTTCGAAATTACCAGTCGGCCATTCTCCATTTGCTGCCAATTTTTCATATGCATGGGCAACTTAAAATGACATTCAAATTGCCCACTTGGCAATTAGAAAATATTTCTTTTCCAATTTTGACAGAATGTTTTTTTATTTTTCTTTTGAAAAATTTCATAATCAGTGAAGTGCTTTATAAATACTAGTAAGAAGATCATCTATTTAAGCATCCACAATGTGGCATCGACAGAGTCTGTAAACACAAGAAACCATAAACCACTGTTGTTATTTGTGAATGAAAATGTGCCATGTTCTCTATATCTATTATTGAATAACCATATCGATCCTGTAACAGAAGAGTTTAATTGCAGATTTAGATAAGCCATGCATAATGTTAAAACTGATAGAAATGAATGAAAAATGTTTTTTTTTTATTTGTAAAAATCAAAGTTATAATAATTTATGGGCAAATAAATTTTGATGTAGGCCCATTGCATTGCATGGTTAAGTAGCCCAAATGGCTAGCAAATATTTCAAGTCAGTTTTCTATTCAGCTTCTCTGTTTTACTAATATATTAAAGTAGATGAGAATATGTTATAACGAAGAAATTCACTTTAACCATTCATCACGCAGACCCCTGCCTCAGTAAAATTCACAAAATAGGCATACTGGCAGTATTAAAATTAATCATACGAAAAATATATTAAGGGTTGCCTTTAGCATCTGTTTAGATCATGACAAATGTTTTATTTTTGGCATGTACAATGTAAATATGAGCAAAAAGATTCAGGAGTGCAACAACTTTGAATTTTGAATAAAAAAAATGAGAATAAATAGAAACATCTTAAAGCAAATGTAACAGTCCAATCCCATCATTGAAAAACCCACAGTCAATATCCCTAAATGTTTGCCAGATTCACCTTGGGTTTCTGACAATATCCCTAGTACACAATACTAAACTGACAGATCAGTTAAGTGTCTTTTGGCTAAAATATTGTCCACACTTAGTTTCTTACTGAGTGACAAGCTGACCAAGGCAAACTTTTATTAGTACCATTCAGTGCTTCTTAAGACTTACCCTGTCACTAACTGACCAGTCCAGTCTTCAGTAGTTATCATACAGTCCCTAGACATTACTGAGTGACCAACTGACCAGTCCAGTCTTCAGTAGTTATCATACAGTCCCTAGACATTACTGAGTGACCAACTGACCAGTCCAGTCTTCAGTAGTTATCATACAGTCCCTAGACATTACTGAGTGACCAACTGACCAGTCCAGGCTTTAGTAGTTATCATACAGTCCCTAGACATTACTGAGTGACCAACTGACCAGTCCAGTCTTCAGTAGTTATCATACAGTCCCTAGACATTACTGAGTGACCAACTGACCAGTCCAGGCTTCAGTAGTTATCATACAGTCCCTAGACATTACTGAGTGACCAACTGACCAGTCCAGTCTTCAGTAGTTATCATACAGTCCCTAGACATTACTGAGTGACCAACTGACCAGTCCAGTCTTCAGTAGTTATCATACAGTCCCTAGACATGACTTACTGAGTGACCAACTGACCAGTCCAGTCTTCAGTAGTTATCATACAGTCCCTAGACATTACTGAGTGACCAACTGACCAGTCCAGTCTTCAGTAGTTATCATACAGTCCCTAGACATGACTTACTGAGTGACCAGTTGACTGGTCCAGTCCTTAGATGCTTTCATACAGTCTCTACACATGACTTACTGAGTGACCAGTTGACTGGTCCAGTCCTTAGATGCTTTCATACAGTCTCTACACATGACTTACTGAGTGACCAGTTGACTGGTCCAGTCCTTAGATGCTATCATACAGTCTCTACACATGATAAACAGCTGATGTCTCAGTTGTGGACACTGTCTCTGGTATCCCAGCATTCCATTCTGTTCCAATCGACACAGGGGACTTCTCTGGCTTATTCTTCAATATAAAATAAAATATCATTGCTCCGAGTAATTGTAATTAACGTAGAACCTACGTCGTATGACGTCATACTGAGAAAATTAGTTTAGACTGTCTTTTTTGGTGCTAGATCCATTATGACGTCATAATTAATTTAATGTTACTTTTTCCCGTACTTTCTTCAAGAACGTCTCATGTAATGAAGTTACACAACTGTGATAATGTGAATGACATGCAAATATTTTGAAGGAAGTCAAAAATCCTAAGAAATCTAAATAGTACAATATCTTGATGAAAAGTGTCTGAGTCAAAGATCTGTTAAAAATTGTGTGTAAATTTTGTAATGTCTATCATGAAATGACGTGCATTCCCTTTCATAATTATTTGTTAATTATTCATAATGGTTGGTGTATAATAATAATGTTTCCTGAAAATATCTTTTTAAATAAAAAAATACATTTTTTGATAAATATTCACATTGTAAATCTGAACGTAACCCCAAAACAGTAATTTAATAATTAAATCCTGTGTAAGTGCAAAAAGGTCAACAAAAGAAGTATGGATAAATAGAGTGTTCTCATTCGTTTGCGGGGAAAGGTATATATTTTAATCACTTTTTGTAATTATTTGGGTGTGTTCTTCATCATATTAAAGATTGAAAACATTCTGACAAAGACTTTAGAAAAATATTTACAAATTTAGGTGGTAAATTGACTCAAAAAATATTGAGCACATTTGCCTATATTCGTTGAAATGTGGACTTAATCTTTTATGTCAATTGAATAAAAAAGAATTTATTCTTGAATAATATTGCTAAATTTGGTTCAGTTAATAAAGTCTATAAACGACGATGTTTGAAGAAGTATTTTTGTGATTTATTATATTCTCCTTATGACCAGTACCCCTAAAAATGGCTGAAAATATGTAGTCGCTGTGTAAAATTATCCTTCCAAGTTGCACAGACTGCACTACATTTAATAACGAAGAAACATACCATATATTTTTAACTGATTGATAAGCGAGAGCTAATTTATCATTTTGAAAAGTTTGAAAATCTTGTGACAAAGACTTTTCCGACATAGGTTCTACCTTAATAGCGATTCTCTGTAACCACTTAAACTTCTTTGCCACGCATGGTCACCGATTTTGATAAAACTTTGCCCATTATTACAACTTGACATCAGAAACATATATCAAACGAAATTTTGTTGCTATGTGTCTTGGTTGCCATGGTAACAGCCAGAAAAGTTGAAAAAATGGAGATTTTCAGATTCTTTGAATCTTTATTAAGCCTTAATAAAGACTAAGAAAAACAAACAAACCATTCTCACAAAAACATGACACCTTGTTGCCATTTATGCTATAAAGAAACTATTTAGAATTTATCTCTAAGTAAGTGGTAACCATAGGTACATTTGGAATACATTTTAGATGCTGAAAAATGATGAAAAACGCTCATTATTCACTAATTATAGATGTTACATGATCAAACTCAATCAACAACCAAAGAAAAACAATAAAACTATTTGACCTTAAGTAATTAGGTATTGGCAATATTATTCTAAAAATAACTTTCATGGTTGCCATGGTAACACAGTGTAACCATGCAAAATCTGTTGCTAAGATTGGGTTAATGCTACTATCTTGAGGAAATACAATAAAATTCATGACTGACACATATACATCCTTAGGACCTTGCAACACTGACAACATAAGAAAAATTGGGATTAATTCTTACTTTGCAGTGTAACCATGGAAACAACGTACCAGTTGTTTAAAGTGATATTTTTGTGCTGCTTTAGGAATTTACTTACCGTTTAATCAAGAAACATATTATTTTACTCACCTTGAATAGTACTTATCTCGTAGAACTAAAGCTGAATATCATATATTGATAAAGTTTGTTGAAAAATACAACACTGTTGCTATGGTTACCAAGAAGGGAAAATATTCGATTTTGTTACTTTTATATCAATATTAAATCCTATATGCCAGCTTTTTGCATCCAGTTAGAGATTGGGAAGTAGTCAAAATTGAAAGTCAGGTTAGTTGTTCATGTATATCAATCATAAAAGTTTTGGGAATCTACATACAAGGGTACGTATCCAAGGAAACAAAATATTTTTCAGATTTTTATGCATATTTTTTCGGCTAATTTCCATAGCAACGCTCTATTTAAAGAACCGAATTTGAATTTTTTGAAATGTGAAAATTAGGGTGACACCAACGCCTTTAAAAATTGATCATCAGTTAAAATAGAAATATGCTTTTTAAAAAGATAGGATAAGATTAAAACACAAAGAGAGTAAATTTAAAATCCCTTTGTGATATTAAAACCATGGCAACCATTGCCAACCTATAAGAAATATCATATTTCGTCCTTGGTATATGTTACATGGATCTCTTGTCTATTATTTGCTTGCATTTCAACCTATAATTGTTTTTATTCTTAAGTGTATGACTTTATAAAATTAAAAGAACAAAATTATTACTTTTGAATACTTTGTTTCCATAGTAACGTATGTAATAGTTGATTTACCAAACATGTTTATCATGCATTTAAGACATCAGGCCTTCAACTTTCAGAAACAGTCATTGCCACTTGTTTGCTTTGCTGCAAATGTTAACTGTGGGACTCTGAACATGTTGAAAAATGCCAATTTTCAAACTTTAGGACATGTTGCTATGGTAACCATGACATGTAGCAACCCATATTTGCCTGATTTGAGTTAAGGGTATCAAAGACTTTTATCATAGAGAGTTTGGAGAAATTCTGAGACTATGCGTGCCACAGCTCCTATATAAAAGTTAAAGTCATTACAGAGAATGGCTCTTAATATCTATTATACAGGCATCTGATGTAAGAATTCCTTGACTGTGATTATTCCTAGTCACTTCTATGTTTCTTCATTAGATTACTAAAAATAAATCATGTAAATTATTTGGGGCTAAGGCACCCGTGAAATCACATGTATCTGGCTCCAAAAACAACTATTTTTTTTCTCAAAAATGGGAAGGTTCAATTAAATCTTTAAATCTTTTTAAAATATGTTCCACAGGGTGAAATGTTGAAAGGCAATCATTGTCTAAGGACCAGATACACCATAATTGGATGAAATCTCTTACAGAGTGAAGCCCCTGGCTACCAGCTCTGATTCCTGGATCAGTCTCAGACACTTTCCAGTCCCTCTGAAGAACTCCTCCCCACAAGTTAACAGCTGGGTCACCTCCTGGTCCAGTCTCTCTAAAGTCCACTTACACCATGCCAAGTAGAGGGCCTTCCCAATTAAATACAGGAAGTACACAGAGGTTATGATTGACATGGCATCAGTGATTTGTTTGTATTGGAAGGAGTAATCGGGCCACATCAATCTCCCAAAGAAGTACGATGAAAGGAGAGGAATGCATAACATCAAGTTTCTGGAAAAAAGAAAGTGCAAACTTACTGATTATTTTTTTTACTGAAACTTTTACAAATGCAGAACAAAAAATATTAATGTAGAAATGTGATCTAATCATTATCAAAATAAATTACACTGTATACTTTAAGAAGTTTTAATACATTTTTACATAAAAGCTTTTTTTTGTGTTTGCATGTTTCTTAGATATCTCATAAAAAATTGAAGTGACTGATGAAGGGTTTACCATTTATGATAAATATTTTTCTTGGATGATGAATATTTGATGACAGAGCTTAGATGTAAATGAATGTACCTTTACATATTGGTTGGGGATGGACGTTAGGATGTTCATTTATATACACTAAGATGTCTTGGAGCTGAGTTTTAGATGTTAATGCACATAAATTTAGATGTTAAAGAAAATTTTTTGTCAGATGATCTTGCATGTACATTTAAATGCTGTGACACAGTAACACAAGGATGTATCTTAATGTACATTTAGATGTTGACGAAAATAAAACCTGGAATGTTGATGCATTGTTGATGAAGAATTTCATGGGAAAAATCAAGGATGTACATGCATGTACATTTCAATGTGTGTGTTCATGAATGTTCATTTAAATTTGGTGAAAACCTCCATCTATGAACCAAACTGTATCTGATACAAACATTTTAGATCCCAGTGCTGGGTCCTGTTTCCCTGGATCAGTAACCTGATTCAGTCCAGAGAAATGTTCCAGGAAATTCTTGTCCTCTTCTTCTAGAACCCGACATTTTACAGAGGAGTCCAGCACTCTCCTTTTGTAGAACAGTTTCTAAGATAACAAAAAAAATTAAATCTGATTGGACACTAGGCTCCATGAACAATACTGAATCATAAGAGGTAACTATAAACAAAGAATTCTCTGGTCAAATATCCTCCATAATTATAATTAATTAATTACTGTAAATCTGGAAATTTTTACGTCGGTTTATTTTTGCGAATCCGGGTCAAAAAGATGTTGATTAATTTTTACGTTTCAAAATTTTGCGAATTGACATTGGTGCTAAAATTAAAAAGCGCTGAAAATTTTCATAGCAGTTTATAAGTTACGCACGTGTTACGCATGTACATACAATATTAAACGATGCTAACATTCAATAATCGGATTATAAATTACGCATGTATATACAATAAATTACGCATGTACATAAAATAAATTATGCATGTACATACAATACTAAATCATGCCAATGTTCAATAATCAGATAAAAATATTAGAAGAGATAAAACATCTAAACTATTTAAATTTTTCATAATATTTTAATAAATCACGCATATACATAAAATATATAAAACGATGTCAGCTTTAACTAACCTTCAGATAAAAACGTTTGTTCTTAGATAAAACAACTGGCCTCTCTTTCTTAGAGAAATAATTTAAAAGAGACATACTGCCTGTCAAACCATGGGACGATATTGAATGTAGTGAAGGCATTCTCACGCACGGAATATCACACGTAATTAGCTTGTAGTATAAAGAGGTTTCTTAATATGACCACTGCTTATGAACACCTGCTCATCTTGTTAAAAATAGCAAATATTTTTTGTTTTCATTTTTTGTTGTTGATTTATTTTTAAGAAATATATTTTTGCGAATGCAATGCATGCGCAAATTTGCTAAAAATTTATCTACGGTAAAAATTTCCAGATTTACGGGTATTATTAATCATAAAGTGAAACTTGTTTAATCTAGATGTTGTATTCCGAGATGTTGCCTAATATGATGTCAATTTAATGACCTCTGGAATAAATTTTATTTGTTTAAAATGTTGTCTAATCTGGAATGTTGTTTTATCTGGCCAATATCTATGGAACCAATGGTGTCTGGATTAGACATTTTACTGTATATTTGTATATGTTTTAGATTCATTTACATTTTCATATTGCATTAAAAAAATGTAAAAAATAAAAAATCAGTTCTACATGAAAAGTTAACCTAATTAATTCATATAATTAGAGTTAGTACTACTTTTTTACTTACAATTTGATTGACTTCCACCTTAACTCTGTTTATTCCGAATAAAAGTGTAGCAAGATTTAGGAAACATTGGAAACATTTATTTACTGCACTTGATTTAATCTGAAAAGAAATACCATGAGTACAAAAGGGATAAAATTTCACAAACACATGTATGTAGTTTCATTTCATGATCATATTGGATTTATTAACATGTATAAATTTATATATAAATTTAAGATCTAATCAAGTATTGCTCACTGCTCCTCTCTGAAGTGAGAGCACGTTTCCTCTGTTTTTCCTCTCTCTTTCTGTGTTGCTAGCTACGATTTTCTCGGTGGTCAGGTTCTCTACTCCTGTTTCAACAAGATGTTGGTGGAGAGGAGAATTCTGTAAAATATAACGCAACATTTAAATAAATCAAGATTTAAAGTTGATTCAAGAGTACTAGATAGAACGTTCTATCGTTAAAATGATATTGTCCTATGGACCCGGTTTAATGATAGAATTCGTTCCGTGTATTGGCAATGTTGCAAAATAAACATGGGCAATAACTCAAACTCTGTGCATTTTCTATGAACAATCCAGAGAGTTCCGAATGTCATCATGGTGTTAAATTTTAAGCGAGGAAATAACGTTGAGAAAATGAGTTGAATTTTCGTACTTATATAGATTATTTTTTATGTTAAAAGGCATATACAATCTCAAAATGGTTTGTTATGATTAATTTGGTAGTTATTTTCAGTGCAACTCCTTTTGTATTCTTCAAAATCATTTCGGAGTGGATCCACTCCGATTCGCTACATTGCAAGTACATGGGACGTATTCTAACTGTGGTGAGGGCTTGTCCCGAGACACAGTTAGATTATTTTAACAACAAGAGTACCAGTTGGCCCTGTAATTTTATGTGCTGCTTCTTATGAACTGATTCGAATGGGAAAAAATAAGAGTTAAAGTGTACACAGTTGAGACAAATCAAAACATGGTGAGATTGCTTGCTTTGATATTGATTTTTTATAATAATTCCATTAATTACACAATGGAATCTACTTCCACAGTCTTTGGTCCAGTCTCCTTATGGAGATACACAGTACCTTATATTTAGCTGGAAATTAAACAGCTTGAATTAAATATTTTAATTTTTTTCAAGGTGCTTTGTGTGTGTGTGTGTTTTTATTTATTTATTGTGGTTGTCAATATGCAGAAAAAGTTGCATTTTAGCGACATGAAAGTTTTCTACTTTCTAAAAACTATGCATAAAAAGAAAAATTCCTTTCAAAATTTGTCTCATTTCCACAGACTACCACGAACAGATGAAAGTTCCAAAAGACTGAAAAGTTCTGGGCTGGCAATTGATTGGTAACTGAACACTTGCTTCTTGAAAGATCTCAAACTATACAGCTTAACCATGCACTAAACTATTCAGAAAATTCGTAAAAATTAAAGATACCTCGAACAAAACATCTTCATCAGTATCGCATTCCATGTTTTCCATTCAATGTTTGTTAAGCGCCCCAACATCCTTCCGTTCGTAGCAATCTGAATAAGCGTTTCAGTGATTAAGACATTTGGCGCCAAAATAAATCTGGAGGAAAAATACTTAAAATGTAAAAGTGAAATAAATTCCATAATTTTCATGATCTGATGACTTATATATAGTCTAGAATTATTACATGCTTTAGGTGTAAGAATAAGCTGACAATCTTTGTTCCTGTGGAACGGGTAAAAATGAAAGGAAACGAAAACGAAAGTAGTGTGATAAAACGAAAGTTTAAAATTATCATGGGATCATTCAGGTACGTAACATAGGCACTCCCCAGCTTAATTGTTAAAAAATATATATCTACTATACTATAAACATAACAAGGCATGAAACTAGCCCCCATGTTGGATTCCGCTTAGGGGCACTTTCTGACTTAGAGCTAGACCCTATTATGTTTAATTATAGTATAGTAGACATGGTAGATCTATATATATTTTTAACAATTAAGATGGGGAGTGCCTATGGTACGTTACAATAACTCAGAAAAGTTTTAATATTCAAAGTTTGAAATATGAAGAAAAAATTAAAATTGCAATAAAAAAAATCACTTTATACTGTACAGAAAGATCTAGGCAACTGTTCAGTGCTGTTTTTAGCAGAGGCCAGGGCTCTGTTTACCTGTTTACAGGCACAAGACAGGTAAGATACGTATATGCATAATCTAGATGTATCTACATGAAATCAGTTGAACCAAAGACATGAATAAATTTTTTTTCGTAATTTTTGTTTGCGCTTGAACTTTATCGTTATTTTTCTCACAATACTATTTTCTTACTTTTTGATGTTGAAATAAAATCTAGACAATGAATGGCTCTATTGTAATATTAATGGATTCTAAAGTGAGAAGGATTTACATGTTTACATATAAATACATGCATTAGTTAAAGCACCCAAAGTTTATCAAAGTGCTTCAGAAAAGAGCTCAGTATTATAGTGGGACAATTATTAACAAAGCCCCCCAATGTTGGAATATTAAGAAGCAACCCCTTGACAAAAAAGTTCTGAATCAAAATTATTGGAAAATATTTTCCAGGAAACCAACTCCGAATTTGGTCATCGGCTCATAGCATCCCCTAACATACGGAAAAAATATCTTTAAGACTGTTCCAAAGTTTTATTTATACAAGATTTACAAGATTTATTGGTCCAATTTGGGCCCCCGGAGGAGCAAAAAAGATTTACAAACATGAAACAAAGAAGGAGGAAGATCCAAATGATAGAACAAACATGATCTTAAATATAATGAGCAGTGCTTAATTGTATAATCATTGATAAATGCATCTACAAGAGATATATACGAGTATACATATTGTAATATAATAATAATATATAGTCAAGTAACTGGAAAGATACATACAGGCTGTATATTCATATCAAAGAACAGAAGAGATGATATATTGCCATTCCTACATGTATATACATCCCCAAATATATTTAAATTTTTCAGTTAAGGTAGATTATCAAGGAATCTAGCAAGAGATCTTAGGATCTCAGGGTCTTCATTAGTCATGAGCCAATGAAATTGATTATCATATGATAGAGACTGAAAATTTTTACATTTATTATTACGAATATTTATGAGTTCAAGTCTTTGTACACTAAAATGAGGACATACAAGGAGATCGAAAATGAATTTCATCCTGAATCTCCTTGTGATCACAAAGGGAACAAATTCGTTCATCTTTAGGTATTTTTTGATATCGTCCAATTTCAATTTTATATAATGCCTGCTAATTTTGGGCTTAAGCACCCCAAAATGTATACAAATTGTACTCCATCATTAATTAACCCCAAAACAAACAATAAGTATCCATTTCAAAAACAATTATGTGCTGAAATAAAGAGTAAAGAAACTTACAAAATTATTGTTCAAGATAGGGAATGAAATTTATAGTTACTTGATTGAAATTGCTTTTCCCTATTTTCTTACATTTACATCACTGTGCTTTGAACAAAAATAATGGGGTCTTTTCATCCATATTTGATAATTAAATAATATACATGTACTTAGCAGATCAAGTTAATTTGTTTTCAAATACTTTTTGTTGGCACTTTAACCAAAATAACGAGGCCTTTCAACTAATTCTGTGCATGTACTGATTGATTATTGCTTAATGCCGAGTCAGCAATATTTTAGCCATATTTCTAGGCTTTTAGTAAGGGAATGGCTTTGTGAAGACATGGACATTAGATTTCTGTGGTTTTAACATGTAGGGAATGGCTTTGTGACGACGTGGACATTAGAATATGGCTCTGTGATGAAATGGACATTAGAATGGCTTTGTGACGATGTGGACATTAGAATGGCTTTGTGATGACGTGGACATTAGAATGGCTCTGTGACGATGTGGACATTAGAATGGCTTTGTGACGATGTGGACATTAGAATGGCTCTGTGATGACGTGGACATTAGAATGGCTATGTGACGATGTGGACATTAGAATGGCTTTGTGATGACGTGGACATTAGAATGGCTCTGTGATGAAGTGGACATTAGAATGGCTTTGTGATGACGTGGACATTAGAATGGCTCTGTGACGACATGGACATTAGAATGGCTTTGTGACGACATGGATATTAGAATGGCTCTGCAACGACGTGGACATTAGAATGGCTTTGTGATGATGTGGACATTAGAATGGCTTTGTGACGACGTGGACATTTGAATGGCTCTGTGGCGATGTGGACATTAGAATAGCTATGTGGCGACGTGGACATTAGAATTCTGTCACTTTTAATGTGTATCTTAGGAGCATTTAAAAAATTAAGATGATTTTGTTTTGAATATTTGACTATTCTTGGTTAATTTACTAGACTGTAACATTCTGCTTAGTGGCTCTGTGACAAAATGTTATTGTATGGAACACTTTGACTTAAATATTAAAGGGCACATTTCTTTCTATTTTGGAGCACTTTTATTGGCATTAAATAAAAATATTAATCGAACTGAGTAATGCAAAAACAAATTAATCTTTGTTTTTTTGCAGATACAGATTTTATTAGCATGTCTGCCATAGTAAAAATTTCTGAAGAAAGATATGAGTCCAAAACATATAAAACAACCCCTGGTAGAAATGGTACCATCTGTCGACCTGTAATCCTGGACATCAGAAAAACCCACTTTGGCCTGTTCAGTCATGAGAGACCCTCGGCTTCCAGGGACGTTGACCTTCTAAAGGAGACGTTCAAAAAATTACCAGGATTTCACCCGGATCCTTACATAATTAGTGATACGAATTCTGAGAAAGAACATGATCCTTTGTACTCCATGGACAACCTTAGAAAGGAACTGAGTAACATTGGTAAATGTTCGAGGCTCTGTGTTTCATAATATCTGTGTAGTATTTTGAGTAGTTACTAGTAAGCTATTTCAAATTTCTGTTAACAATCAATGCAGATCTACATGTATGTGCAAAATTCATCATTACATTGTTTTTTTTTTTTGTTTTTTGTTTTTTTGCTTTATAATGGTTTTTTAGCTCACCTCAACGAAGTCGAGATGAGCTTATGCTATACCGTCGGCATCAGCGTTAGCGTCGGCGTCCCAGGTTAAAGTTTTAGGAGCAAGTCCCATTCCCAAGTACCTATAAGCCCTACCTGGACCAAACTTGCATGGATGATGCATCTAGGGATGGACACTACCAAACTTGCTTCGGATGCTGGATCTTACCTAGATTTTCCAGATGAGTGACCAGGTTAAAGTTTTAGGAGCAGGTCCATTCCTAAGTAACTATAAGCCCTACCTGGATCAAACTTGCATGGATGATGCATCTAGGGATGGACACTACCACACTTGCTGCGGATGCTGGATCTGACCTAGATTTTCCAGATGAGTGACCAGGTTAAAGTTTTAGGAGCAGGTCCATTCCCAAGTAACTATAAGCCCTACCTCGACCAAACTTGCATGGATGATGCATCCAGGGATGGACACTACCACACTTGCTTCGGATGCTGGATCTGACGTAGATTTTCCACATGTGAGTCCAGGTTTAGATTTAGGAGTAGTCTCGTTCCCAAGTAAATATAAGCCCTACCTGAACCAAACTTTCATGGATGATGCATCTAGGGATGTACACTAACCAACCTGCTTCGAATGCTGGATCTGACCTAGATTTTCCACATGAGTGAATTTTAGCCATATTTTAACCAAATTAGCGTGGATGATGTATCTAGGGATGGACACTTCCAGACTTGCCTTGGATTCTGAATCTGACGTACATTTTCCAGATGAGTGACCAGGGTAATTTTTTTGGAGTAGCTATATAATATTATGGCCTGTTATGAATAAACTTGCATAGATGGTGCATCTAAGGATGAAAACTTCCAGACTTGCTTTGGATGTTGGAACTGACCAAAATTTTCTTGATTACTAAACAGGTCAAAAGTTTTTTGAGCAGGTCTATAATTAAATCAAACTTGCATGGATATTGATCTTGGGATGTACCCTAGAAAAAAAATATGATGTGAAATTTGCCTTACATGTAGATAACATTCGTCGAGGTGAGCTTCGTAATCTTTGATTACCTATGTTTCTTAATTTTGACTTTAATTTCTTTTAGCCAGTAATGAAGAGATCACCAAAAATGCAGAGGTGTTCCTATGTGTGGTGCTGGCGTTTGGAGAGTCGGGGTATTTCTATTTACCCAATGATCCAATAGATGGATATAAACAGCGAAGTCGAAAACCTCCAAAATTCTCTGTCAATGATCTGCTGTCGTATTTCAAAGGAAACTACTGCCCAAATTTGATCCTGAAACCAAAAATTTTTCTTATACAGGTAATTATTCCTGACCAATTTTTGAGAGCATGGAAATTCTGGAGATCATTTGTTATTAGGAAAATTTGACATACATGCAGGAAGCAAAGTGTAAATCGCCATAGGCTCATGGGCCTCAGTGCTTACCTGAGTCACATTCCTCATCCAGCATGTGATGGATCCAGTCGTATAATGATTTTGTGGATTTCTTTGTTTAAGCTGTTATCAGAGACATAAATAACAGAGGTACGCAAATATTCAATGTCTCGTGTGATCTCTCGGTCCCTATTGTTTACTTTTTACAAATCTCATGCAACTTAAATCACATAAAATTTTAAAATTATCAGATATAATAGAGTAAAAATTTTTAATTTATATTAACAAATTATTCAGGATCTAAAACAATAACAAAGGAGAAATCTGAAATTGCAACAGGTCACTCTTGTTTGGCCATATCGCTGCAATTTTGCCGACTTTTGATCATTGACCTCTTTAATTTGCCTAGTTTGATTTTAAAATTCAATAAACTTTTCAAATCATACACCCATATATAATAGAATTAATATTATTACACTTGTGATAGAAATACAAGACCAAAAAAAGTTATTCCTAGGATAATACCAGGACTGTCACACATTTCAGTAAACAAACATGTTAATGGTGGAGTTACAAATCTCTTATTTATGTCTCTACTGTTATCTACCTGAGTGGTGGATCCAGGAATTTCATAAATGGGGGTCTGGGGCGATGAATTCTTACAAATAAGAGGTGTTTTTTTTTTGTTGATTTTAGGATAATGAACATGTAAGTTCTGCATACAAAAAATTCAAACGAGGGGGGGGGGGGGGCACGCCCGGCGCGCTGGTGCTAGATCCGCCTTTGACTATGTTTTGTGTGTACATCTTCTGAGTATCTGACCCCTTAGGACACATTTACAAAATGGACTGCTTAAATTTTTCTTTTTCATCCAAATTTCATAAAACACAGCATTTTAAGATGGAGGTTGTAGTGACAGCCTTTGCTATAACTAGTTGTCGTAGTAACTGTAATGATTCAGCGGACACCACCTAGTGCTGGATCTGACCTACATTTTCCGGATGAGCAACCAGGCTAGGGTTTTTGGTAGGGCTGTGTATTGAGCAAGAAATTCTGATATGATACAATATTTTATAAAGCAATATGGGATATATTGGATTCTCAAACAATTCTATCAAAAAATTAATGCATAAATTTGATGAAAACTGAGTGTTTTATAACCCATATATGTTGAAGCTCTTGTCTCACTACAATTACAAAATACACTTCAACCTTTTAATGACTGTAAAACCAGCACAGAGCTGTGGAGAACTTTTTCAGATAGCCAAAAATTCGGACCGGCTAGAAGACAAAATAAGCTGGTCCGATGCGATATTCGCCGGTCTGAAATAGTAAGTCACAAAATGGAAAAAAGCAAAACATATACTCACTTCATTACACATCTTTTTACTTAATAATGATATTCAATCTCCATTTCCAAGTCCTCTTCTGTTTTCGTTTGTTGCATTTATAACAATACTGGATTTCACTGCTTTTGGGCAGGTGACAATGCTAATTCAGCATAGTAAACTACAATAATAAATAATTTTGAAGTTAAGAGGTCCTGGCCAAACTTTTCTCAAAAGCTGAAGAGTGACATACCTTAATTCAAAACAGTTAAATAGAATCTTTGGTGATTGAAATTCCCAACTTTTTCACAGAATTATAAGAGAAACTGCCTTCCTGATATGTACTGGAAGTTATTTTTTTTATGACGATACATTTTTGAATATCAGTACATATCAATATATTGACACAACCCTAGTTTTTGGAGCAGATCCATTCCCAAATAACTATAAATCTTTAGGAGACTTAACGGTGCATGGATGATACATATAAGGACATACACTGTCAGACATACCTTGTATGCCTGGTCTGACTTAACATTTCCAGGGTGATTGAAGGGTCAGAGATTTGGGATTTGTATCTAAGGAAACACACCAACAAGAACATTTGATTAGTTGATATTTAGCGAACATTAATTTGATGTGAGACTTTGCTTAACTTAAAGATAAAATTTTTTGAGGTGAGCTTGTTAATCTTTGATTTTCTTTGTTTTGTATGTACAGACTTGTAACCCTAACCTTGACCAGAAGGATAGATCACTGTTTTTTAGGGAGGGAGAACTACTGCCCAAAATACAGAGGACCCCAATAGAAGCAGATATACTCATCTATCACTCCATTGTGTCAGGTAAGATTGGGGTGGGGGGGGGGGGATACTACCCTGAATACAGAATAGAAGCAGACATACTTATCCATCATTCTATTGTGTCGATTTCTTTCTCCTTCAGTTTTGATCTGACTACAGTAAAACATTATACTTATGTAGACTATTCCAAGGTTCGTAATTCTGTCTATCATTTTTAGCCAGGCTCGTTGCTCATAGAGCAATAGCCGGCTTCTGTCATGGTGTTGAACCGCATATGCTGCTTCCTCACCGCCAAATCAAATTTACAAGTAAAAATTTATAATACGTACGCTCAGTTGCTTTTGTGACAATACAAACAATAAAATTAGACAAAGTAAAGTAAACTGAGGAATTTTCTTAACAAATAAACATAAATGGTAATCTACTTTCTCCCATGTTCTTCAATTAATTATTAGGGCCCTGCTCTGCGGGCGCCCTATAGTGATCAGTCTGTCCATCAGTCGGTCCGTCCATCTGTCTGTCCGAGATCTCTTGTCCGGAGCATATCTTCTCTCTCCTTGGCCCAATCTGGCTCATACTTCACCCACAGAGTGTCTTTGGGTAAAGAATGTGCAGTGACTTTGAACTATGTTTCTAGGTCTAAGGTTAAGGTCATAGAAGAATTGTGTGAAAAATTCTTGTCCAGAGCATATCTTCTCTCCCCTTGGTCCAATGTGGCTTATACTTCACTCACAGAGTGCCACTGGTCAATGGATGTGCAGTGACCTTGAACTTCTGTAGAGATGACTATAAAGGGTAAGGAGGTGGATAAGATATACAGGTTGGTTATAGAATATGTCTAGAATTACGGGATGAAAGTTCGTTGATTGACAAATGCTTAACTCTAATGTGTTATATAGTTGGACTAATTGACGACTGCACAACCTTAATTCTAATGTGTTATGTTGTTGGACTAATTGATGACTGCACAACCTTAATTCTAATGTGTTATGTCGTTGGACTAATTGATGACTGCACAACCTTAATTCTTATGTGTTATGTTGTTGGACTAATTGATGACTGCACAACCCTAATTCTAATGTGTTATGTAGTTGGACTAATTGACGACTGCACAACCCTAATTCTAATGTGTTATGTTGTTGGACTAATTGATGACTGCACAACCTTAACTCTAATGTGTTATGTTGTTGGACTAATTGATGACTGCACAACCCTAATTCTAATGTGTTATGTAGTTGGACTAATTGACGACTGCACAACCTTAACTCTAATGTGTTATGTTGTTGGACTAATTGATGACTGCACAACCTTAACTATTATGAGTTATGTAGTTGGACTAATTGATGACTGCACAACCTTAACTCTAATGTAATCTGTAGTTGGACTGATTGCAAGGACAGACATAACAATGAACTGATATTAAGACAAGAATATTAAACATTAGGAAAGAAGAGAATTGTAAATAATGTTCAATAATTTAATAAATAAAAATTGTAATTTCTTTCAGGTGGATATACTGACAGAATGAAACCAGAAACAAAGAGAGGCCTAGGAGAGAACATTGACCACATAGGAAATACTGATGGTCAGTCAGCCTGCCAGTTCGTGTACGCCCTCTATAAGGAGGTCACGGCTCTCACTGACCACAGGGAAGAGTTTGAACTGACCGATCTTATCCTGAATGTAAATAGGTCACTAGATGACTTTATTGAGAAGGAACATTATAAATCTGATGAAAGAAACAAACCGTGGAATATTGAACCTCCAGAGGTCCCTGTATGTATAGACCAGCTGACTAAGAAACTGGTGCTAAAGACAAGATAAGCAAACCCTGGAATATAATACATGTACTCCCAGAATTTCCAGTGTGTATGGATCAACTTACTAAGAAACCTGTGTTTAAGACACCATAAACTTATAATTTTATACTGTTATATAGATTATATACCATATATAGATTATATATACCATGACAAACAGAGCAGCTAATGGCGTAAATACTACATGTATACTGACAAGTGCCAAATGATACAAGAACTTAAAACAGACTATAGCAATCACATTTCAACAATACCCAAACTCTCTTTATTACATCGAGATCCCCTTTGTTAGGTCACCTGAGCCAAGGCTTTGGCTTATTTAAACAAACTAAGTGCATGGTTATGATGCATAAGGATGCCTTTTCAAAAATTGTGAATTTCATGGCCCCAGGGTCAGGGGTTCTGGTGTTAGGGTGGGGCTCTATTGATTATATAGTGAAAATGCATTGATTCTTTGAAAATCTTCTCTGCTACTGGAGATTATTTAAACAAACTAAGTGCATGATTATGATAGGCAAGGATGCCTCTTCCAAAATTTTTAAATATATGGCCTCAGTTTTTGGGGTTCCTGAGGAGGGGGGGGGGCTCTATTGATTATATAGTGAAAAAGCATTAATTCTATTAATTAATCACTATTTATTCCTGTCTGCTCCTTAGCGTTGAGCTGATAAATAAATTGCTTAGCTATGATGAAAATGGGAGCTTCGAACAGAATTTTTAAATCTTGTGGTCCTAGGATCAGGGGTTCTGGCATAACGAGGGGGGGGGGGGGGGGGCTTTTGATAATATAGTGGAAAAGTGTTAATTCTTTGAAGTCCATAGTTATGAAGATGAGGGTAACTCTTCCAAATTTGTAAATTTGTTGACCCTTGGTCTTGGGTTCTGGTGCTAGGGTAAGGCTTCGTTGAATCTGTAGTGAAAATGCATTGTACATGTGAAATTCTTCTTTTCTTCTGGGCGTATCGGAAGCAAACTGAGTAAAAGTTTAAATGATATAAGTAAGCGTATTTCTACCAGATTTTTGAACATCTGGACCATTTGTCTAAGCATTCTGGTCCTGGTCAGGGCTCTATTAATTTGTATTCTACTGAGAGAAGTTATTCCCCTTTTCCATTCACCTTTGATAATTAATCACTGTAAATAATGTATTTGAAAGGTTAATAGAATAAGATAATTATGCAAGAATGTTTATCGTATAATTCAAAAAGTACTTTCTTAGTTTTAATAATCAGGTAGTCCTGTAAGTAATAGATAAATAAAAATGAGACAAAAATAACTTGTCCTATTAAAAGTTCTTCAAAGACCATAAGAGAAGTAAATGCTGGAGGTCTTAATATGGGTTTAAAAATAGTACAGAAGCACTAATAGTTTGTTAATAGTCTGCATGGTGATAGTATTAAGTGGGGGACAGATTAGAACTTAATTTATGAGTTGATACAGAATACTAGACTAATTATACCATCTATCGATTCATTGTATTGTTATGTATTCTTTCCGGATATCTATGGATTCATTGTTTTGTTATGTATTCTTTCCGGATATTTTAATGCCACACTCAACCTGGGTTTATATCGGTAACTTGGAGTCCCAATCAAGTCTGAGAAAACAGAAGGACCTTCAACAACCATATTGTATTCTTGGGGATAGAATTAGATACTATAAAAATGGAAGCTAGACTTCCACAAGAGAAAATACAAAAAATCACTTGATTCAGCCAAGAAATGCAAAAAGATCACACTGCGGAATCTTCAATCTTTGATTGGCTTATTGAATTTCGCATGCTGTGTAGTTGAACCAGGAAGAGTTTTCCTGCGACGTCTCATAAATCTGACAAAAGGAGTTTGTAAACCCCATTTCAAAATTCGTCTCAATAAGCAGGCTAGGCTAGATATGGAAGCATGGAGTGAATTCGTAAACAATTTTAATGGAAAATCTATATTCCTAAACGATGAATGGCAAAACTCTGAAAAACTTCACATGTACACTGACGCGGCTGGAAGTTTAGGATATGGGGCAGTTTTAGGCAAAAAATGGTTTTATGGGAGCTGGGAAGAGATACGTTTACAAGAATATGATATTACATGATATTACATTCAAAGAATTATTTCCCATTGTGGTAGCTGTTGAAACTTGGGGGGAAAGTTTATCCAACAATTCTATACTTTTTTATTCAGATAACATGGCAGTTGTTTACATTATTAACAAAATATCCTCAAAAGATATTCCAGTCATGCATTTGGTTAGGCGTTTAGTTTTAGCTTGCTTACGCTTTAACATTCTTTTCAAAGCAGAGCATATTCCTGGGAAACTAAATATCTTACCAGATTTACTTTCGCATTTACAGGTCGACAAATTCCGGGTCTTGGCACCACATATGGATCAATACCCAGACAGCATACCTCTCAAATACCTTCATGTCTAGAAGATACTGCATCTGAATTATTGCAAGCTGCAATTTCAGTCAATAATCATTCATCTTATAAGACTGCACTTGCTGTATATGACAAATACTACAGGCAAACTTTCTCATCATGCTCAAAATTCCCATCCCAAGTTACTGATGTAATATACTTTGTAGCATGGTTACACCGCAAAGGCAGATCTTATAATACAATCAATACATATTTAAGTGGGATCTCTTATCATCATAAAATCCAAGGGCTAGCAGATCCAACACAATTTTTTGTGGTGAAAAAACTTTTTAAGGGGGCTCGATCAACACCTGTCAAGTACCCCTGATATTCGGTTACCCATAACACCCAAAATTTTGTTTCAGTTAATTAAAGCTTTAAATGTTACGGTTTGTGGAAAGTTTAACAAGCGTCTTCTGGCGGCCATGTTTACACTAAGCTTTTTTGCTTTCTTGCGGGTAGGAGAAATAACTGCAAAATCTACAAGGTCAGGGCACAGAAATTTAATTCAAATGAGCAATTTGTCTAAGGATAAAAAACAAAAGAAATTTATGACTTTGACACTTCGGCATTTTAAGCACAATGACACATGCAGACCAGTATGTTTGCAAATAGCAGCTCAAAAATGCAAATCTATATGCCCAGTACAATCAATGACAAAGTATCTTCAAGTAAGAGGGTCAAAGCAGGGGCCTTTATTCTCTTTTGATGGAGCCAATCCAATTACACAGTCATTTTATACATCGGCATTGAAAAATGCTTCAATTGTCTTATATTGGACTAAACACAAAGCACTATAAATCGCATAGCTTTCGGATAGGTGCAGCATCACATTCACTTCAGTGTCACATTCCTGAAGAAAAAATCCGTCTCATGGGTCGTTGGAATTCAAATGCAGTAAAACGTTACTTTCGAATCCCTGTATTTGATTGTATTGATATTTCCCCTTCAAGTCAGACTGTCTGAGGCAGCTGAATTTTTTAGGGGTTCATACTCAGTACCCATAGTGTTGTTGGTTTGTACATTGCTTTATGTTAAACTATGTGTCCACAAACTGGAAGAGAAATGTAAAACTTGTGATGAAGTAGATTGTATAATGTGACATTTATAAAGTATGTAACTTTACTGATATCAACAATGACTGTCTGAGGCAGCATTTTGGTATATGTGAAACTGTTCTGAATAACTACAATGACTGTCTGAGGCAACATTGCTGGGAATAGGTAACTTTATTTGTAACTACAATGACTGTCTGAGGCAGCATTCCTGTGGACATGTCATTTTATCGGTAACTAAAATGACTGTGTGAGGCAGCATTTGTTGGTATATGTAACTCTAATGCAAACCACAATGCCTATGTAAGACAGTATGAGGGTGTATGTTATTGTATTGTTAACTATCTTTTTTGGTACCTATAGCACATACATTGTGCAAAGTTGCTTAATATTGTCAGAAACATTTAATTTTTTAGCATAATCTTATAAATAAGTTTGGACGATTTTGTTTTTCTTACAAATGGTATGATAGAATAACTAGCTTGTACATATAGTTTTTACTCAAGTCTTTATGTATGCATAATTCTTTACATCAGTATGACTCCTGTGGCAGCATATGTTCAGTTGTAAAAACTTTTTATTTTTTGTAATGTAGTAAATTCTTTAGTTGTTTTGTACCGTAGAACAATTTATGTGTAGTTTTTCCCCTTTGCTGTAGATTAGATGTCACAATAGTCTTTTTCTCCCCTGAATCTTGAGTCAGGTGCTCTACCAACTGAGCTCAGGCAAAAGAACCCGTCTGACCGCCAACTGAACATTAGTAATTCTGTGTTCAAGGTCCATACTGTTTTAAGCGGTTTGTTTGCTCAATGAATGCAAGGTGGATTTGCTACTAGGAAGTTGTGGCTTTTGACAGTAATTTGACCAATTTTGCATGGCATCTTTATTGCTAGAATGCTAGAGTCTGGAACACGATTCTTTTTTCCGCTTCATCAAAATTAAAATTGAAAACAGTAATATTCTCAAGATCAAAGTTTAAAGTAAGTAAATGGGTACCGATTGTGATATTGGGATTTCCAGTCAACTATTAAGTCGTGATTTTTATATTTTTAGGTCACCTGAGTCACTCAGGTGACCTATTGCTATCCGTTTTTGTCCGTCGTCGTGCGTCGTCCGTCGTGCATCGTGCGTTAACATTTAAACATTTTCAGCTTCTTCTCTGAAACCGCTCAACCAATTTCAGCCAATTTTGGCATATAGCATCTATGGGTGAAGGGGGACAAAAATTGTGAATTTCATGGTCCCTGCCCCCCTGGGGCCTGAGGGGTGGGGCTAAAACCACCAAAATTAATGCAATCTTTAAAAATCTTCTTCTTTACTCCTGGACATCAAGCAGTCAAACTGTTGACATGATTGTAATAAGCATTGAGCCCTCTACCAAAATTGTGAAATTCATGGCCCCAGGGTCAGGGGTTCTGGTGCTAGGGCGGGGCTATATAGATCATATAGTGAAAGTGCATTATTTCTTTGAAAATCTTCTTCTCTACCCCTGGGTATTATTGAAACAAATTGAATACATAGTTATGATAAGCAAGAGTGACTTTACCAAAATTGTGAAATTCATGGCCCCAGGGTCAGGGGTTCTGGTGTTAGGGCGGGGCTATATAAATCATATAGTGAAAGTGCATTATTTCTTTGAAAATCTTCTTCTCTACTCCTGGGTATTATTGAAACAAATTGAATACATAGTTAT